ACACTTTGGGCCCATGCCTTTGAAGAAATCATGGGGAAGTGACGAAGAAGAGGGCCATCCCGTTGCCGCCGTCTATTTCCCCCCCTTGACCTTTTGTTTGCATTGCATGGCAGGTGAAAGGCGGGGAAGAAGACAGTGTCGACGACGATGGCGATTTCTAGTTTTGGAATGGTTATTTTCGAGACGCACCTCGGTCTCTCGTAGGATGTACTCCAAAGGCTCTTTTGACAATCACAACGATTCCGACTCTTGTTTTTGTGCTTGTCTTCGTCATGTTTGTCTAGTCAGCGATGCACACCAACTCGGAGGATTCTCGAGAAAGGGGCACGGCCACAGGCATAGGTGCACGAGCATGAGTGAGCACGGACGTACGGAGCAATACATTCGTACGTATGTGCATTAACATATATGTACAGAAGTAGTACATTGCATATTTGTGTGTATGTGTGTGTGTGTGTGTGTGTGGGTGGGTGGTTGGGTGGGTGGTGTGTTGCCTCCTTCTGTCGTTGTGCTTGCACATTTTGTGTTGGAAAACTGGAAACATTTCGCAAGAGACACAAACAGACTCAGACGACAACCCCATAAGTGTGAGGACCGGGTAGGTGGACGGGAGGTGGACAATGCACTGCAAACTGCCGGGTCGATCCCGCGTAGAAGATGTGCCAATGAATATCTCTCATTTTTGAGTTTTTGCTCGCTCTTGTCTCTCCTCACCCTTTCGTTGTCTCTGTCTCAGCTAGCAACGTCAACATTCTGCCTGTCAATTGCCCGTTCTGGCTCTCCTTGTTTTCTCGTTTATCGACCATCGTTTATGGCGCATCGGATCGTGTCTCAGGGGACTTCTCCAGATTTTTGAGAGTGGCTTTTTTATGTTCATATGTCAATTTGTGTGCCGCCTCTTGCCGGAATGTCTGAGAATAAAAAGCAACTTAGTGTACTGAAATCCAAAGAGTGGCCATTGGGACCGCTGGAACTACTGCGTAGGTGAGACAAGGTGGCAAGGAGACGGTTGGTGCCACTTGCCGTGGCTGGGCCAATCCAGGGAGGGCTGAGGAGAACGGTGAGGTTGCGAGCCTGAAAGTACATTCTCTTGGGAGGATCTTAACAAACGTTTAGGCGGACTTGGGTGATGTTCAGGGAGACTCAAAAGAGGTCTCAGGAGACTTGAACTTTCGAGGCTGATCCAGGGAGGCTGAGACCTTGATAACTTTATCATCCACCTCATTTTGTGTAAGGCGCCACAAAACGGCATTGGTCTACAGTGGACCGTAGCGGACGGGAAGGGTCTTGGGCAAAGGCGACAGAGAGTCCCAAAAAAAGACAGGACAGGGATGACGCCCGTTCGAGTCTTCAAACTTCACCGGTACATCGTTTTTGATGTCTCTCCAGCGGTTGCCCCCTTGCGCCCGAGCAGCGCCAGAGCAGCAAACTGTGCGCCAGAACGGGTAAAAACTTGCGCCAGAGAGCTCCGCCAACTGTCAAGAGACCCAGACGTCTAACTCGCGACGGCGGCGTTTTGACAAACTCGCGACTACGACTGTGTCTCCGTCTGGGTGTCGATCGCTGGGTCCCCAACCCAAGGGTTTCTGTAAACACAAACCGGGCCAATGTGTCCAATGTGTCCTTGTAATACAACGTTCCGAGTATCTTTCTCAACGGCCGCTCTTCTGCTGTTGTCGTTGTCGGCGTCCTGCCCTGCCTCGTTGAAGTTACTAGGGACAGAAAACCAACCCGTCTCATGTGAAGGTATTGTGCTCGACGCCTGTATCACAAGCAAATAGGATAATGGCTCACCTGTCCTGTATTTGGCCCGGCTCGACGCCAACTTGATATCCGACGTAAAAGTCGAAAAACGCTCCAATCGCGTACCAAGACTATCGACAAAAGCGGTAAGGAACAGACATTCAAAATCGACGGGGCGATGGACGGAAAGGGCGGGTCCACAGACAGAATGACAAGAAAGTAACTGGTCGAAAGATTTCCTGTGTTTCGAAAAGGGGTCTGAAGCTGGGAGCTTGGAAAACGACCAATGCCTCCAACCCCCCGTCTTTTGTTGTGTTACCATTTTTCTTGCACTTGCTCTTCGTTTCTTTTGTGACGCCTTTCTCTGCGGCTCTTGCCATTTTTTTCTGGCTCTCGGTATTTTGTTCCCCTGTGGGTCGACCCACTTCCCACGTCCAAACAGAGAAGGAGGCCCTGGCCCACACCCACCCTGCACGTGCACCCATGCTTCTTCGATCTTTCTCTGTTCCTTCTGCACCTTCTTCTCTTCCTCCCGCACCGCGCTGCATCGTTGCCTCGCTCCTTCCTTCTGCGCCGCCACCTCCCAATCTACTTCGTAACTGGCTGAGGCCCTAAAATCGGCATCCTGGCCGCGGCGAGGCTTACAGTTCTGCTGCCCCAATCAACGCGTTGAGCAGCCTCCCACACGCTGTTTTCACAGTAAGGGACAGCAGGCAATATAGGCTTGTCAAGCAAGAAGCAAGGAGGAATCCTGGCCCCCAATTCGACGGAATTTTTGCCTTTCTTTGTGGGTGTGGGAGTTGTGGGCTGTTGAGCTGAGCAGCGTATCATCGTAAACTGACAGGAGCGATGTTTTGCCACCTGGCTCCTGCCTTTCGCTGTTTGCGTTTGCTAGTTGCCTCTTTTCCAAATGTACTACTCCCAGGCTCGCGGTCGCCTGCTCAGCTACCCCTTTTTGACTTTTTTTTTTAAGTCTTCTTTTTCCCACTGCGACTATTCTCTCATAAAGTGTCGCCTCCAAACTCTGTCACCAGGCTCAGATGCAGCCACTCACAGGTATGATCGGCATCCCCAGCACGTTTCTCTTATTTGCGAGCATTCCTCTGCGCGTATTCGACCTATGAACTTTTCCAGCCGCCGTGCCTTTTGTCAACACTTCAAGGGACAGCAAAAGTGGCGGGATCCCTTTCTCCTCTCCCCATCGCCTGGCTGTCTGCGGTGACAAGAAAGTAGCACCACGGACCAGGGATAATAAACTGACACCTGCTCCGGTGCTAAGCGATAGAGCACTAACAACAAGTGTACGGAGACCATTCGCGCCAACAAGTCCAGACAGCCAGACAGCCTCTTCTTTTCGCCATTTTAGAACGACAGGGTAAAGAGAAACCGAAAAGGGCAGTTGCCGCTAATGGTCGCCGTTGCGATTCGTCCAAACCCCATCCCTAACGGACCAGGTGCCCACAACAAGTTTTGGTTGCTGTCACTTTCTCGTGATTTTGTCGAGTCTAGAGTACTCCGCAACTGCCTGTTCCTTGTTTCAATACCAGCTATGGTACCTGAGCGAACGACATTGGTATCTCGCAGTTATCTTTTCACGAAGTAAGATGCATATCAAGGCCGGGACTTTCAGAGACGTCGGTGTGGGTCGTTTGTAACTTCTCACTGTTTGGCCATGTCGGCTCCGGATCTATCTTGTGTCTTCGACTGAGTACTTCTTGCGGGCGAGAGGCAAGGGAGTACAAAGCACACGACACAAAATACAAAACACAGCCCAATGCCGTGCTCTGGTGCCGGATTCGAGCTCCCAAAGTCGCAAGCCCTTTGTCCCTTGGAAAGACGAGCCCATCCGTGTTGGTGGCCCTTCTTTGGCAAACACTCTCACACTCTCGACCACAGGGATACGTTGTCAACAAAGTATCTTACGATTCTTACTGGGGTAAGGTATGGATCACTGCCGTCAGGACCAAAAGCAGCAAAAGTGAGGGAGAGGACACGAGTGGGAAAAGTGATGGGCACTGAAGCTAGAGAACCCACACGGAGTGTGATCTGGGACGGGGCAAGTGAACCGACAGGGGTCAGAAGAAGACCCAGAAAGAGGGGAGGGGGGGTGAGAAGAAAGGATGAGGCGATCTCTTATTTTCACATTTTCTTTTATTCGTCTTTATTTTTTTGGTGCTTCATCCGAGCAAGGAGTGTCCCATTTAATTCACAGGGCCTTTTCCATACAGAGACACTTTCCCATTGTTCCCCATTCGGTGCCTTCCATCCCCCTTCTCTTCCATGCACACACCTAACACACCCTCTCCTACCCCAGTCCCTTTTTCTCGTTCGCGAAGCATACAAATGATTCTGGTCCGCCACCACCACCTCCGCTTGGACTCCCGATTTTATTCTTTCCCTTTTTTTCCTTCTTCGGTTTTATTTTGGTTTATCATTCAAAAATTAGAAGACGTGTATCTTGACGCGCCTGGTTCTTTTTTCTTTCTTGTTGTTATCTTTATTCCATCTTAATACTTTTCTTTTGTCTACGACTATTCTTTCACGAGATTGCGCTGCACGACCTTAGCATTTCCTCTTTCGGCGTAAACGACCACCTTTCACGGCATCTGAAGCAACGGGTAAACAAAAAACTGCAACCGACCAGCTACCACTACCTCCATCACATATCAGAACACAATGGCAAGGACGGCTTAACCGCAAACGAAATCAACGGACTACCCGCCATTTCCTAGACGAAAATCAACTCGGACGACCTCGTGTAACGCTTACCTTTTTCCCCTGGCCGCCACACCGTTCTTTTTTTGGTCCCTCTCAGCATCCGTATGACAGCTTCGAGCAACAGTCAGTTGCGGACGCAAGCTTTTCCCATCGTACCACCGTGTACACCGTCTCGCCAATCCTTCTTTTACTGACGGGCTGCCACGTTAATTTCTGTTCGTCTTTTTCTCTCTCTGACGACCTTTTCTCATCTTTCCTTGGACGGACAACACCGGTCAGCAAGAGGACGAGAATAATCCTTCGGAGGGAACCTACACCCACGGAAAAAAATTACGACGCTACTTGAGGTCGTGTCATACAAACTCGCTCTTTTTACTCTTTCTTGGACCTGGGCAGCCTGAGAGAATCGTGCGACAAACTGGTGATATCCTCTTGAGACGTGATTAAAGGGAAGGCCTGCGAATCCCAGCCTCTTCACGTCCCGGCGCAAACACCGAAACAATACACTTTCGCCGTCACCACAAGACCAATTGCCCACCATGTCTTGCATTGCGCCTTTTTTGCCGGCGCAGAACTATAACGACTCCAAAGGCTGTAAGTATGGGGTGGGGAGTATGGATGGTTCGAAGACTGGTATCGACTGAAGATCGAAAGACTAACGCCAACTCCAGTCATCGATGGCCGGCTATGTTCGAACCTGACCGGCACCACATGCTGTCTGCCGTGCCCGCTCACGGACTGGGTTTACCCGGACAGTTTCGTCACTCTCGGCGTCGCCGCGGACTGGATCGCCGTCGTCAGTACTATCTGCTGCGTCGCTCTGCTATTGTCGTGGGCCCTTTTGCCCGTCGACAAGACGCACCGACACTATCTCAGTATCTGCTTGACCTTCAGCGTCGCCCTTCTCAGTCTCGGCTTCGTCGTCCCGCTCGCCGCCCGCCCGCAACAATGCGCCGATGCCATTACTCCAAACGGTATGCACTCCAGCAGCGTCTGCGGCGCGTCTGGCGCGCTCCTTATTCTCGGCGGCTGGTCAGCCATTATGTGGATTTTCTTGCGCTCGCTGTCCCTGCACCTGCAGATCTGCTGGCAAGTTGTAGTCGGCCGTAGCTTCATGTGGGTGTCGCATGTCACCGGCTGGGGCATCCCCGTCCTCGGTACCACCCTGGCCCTCGTCTTCAGCGGCGTGTCCTTCCGCTTCGGTACTACCTGCCACATCAACCACGAGAACTGCTTGGCGGATTTGTGGATTCCGTTGCTCGTCTTTGCCGGCTTGTCCATTGTTGTGCAGCTGGTCACATTTGGCTACTGCATCAAGGTCTATCTGGCCTCGCTCAGCGACAACGCCGCATCGACCGAGAACTCGGGCCTGCCTTCGTACAGCAACAGCATCCGTACCATGACGCCCCGACAGGCCTACCGCCGTGTTCGCCGTGTCATCCAGCTCCAGTGGCGCGGTATAGCCATCGTGCTCATTATCGTCATCGACGTCATCTTCTTCAGCGTTGTTTTCGTGTTCCAGGACAACACCGTGGCCGCCATCAGTGCCGACCCAGCAAAGGCTACTACCTGGCTGATTTGCCTCGCCACACACGAGGGCGACAAGAACAAGTGCCTCGATGACGCTGCCGCCTTTACCGTCAACGAAGCTACCATCGGTGCCGTTCTCGTCCTGCTTGCAGTGAGTCTTGGCCTCGTGAAATACCAGACAGACACGGGTTATGTTTTAAAATAAGTAAATAAAATAGCCTACTAACAATCCTAGATGAACGGCATCTGGCTCGTGTTCCTTCTCGGCCGCCTCTCCATGGCCCACGGCTGGGTGGACTTGCTCACCCCCGCGTCGCGGCGCAACGCCAAGCGCGAGTTCGTTTCCGCCGATGCACGGCTCGACGACCTCAAAAAAGATACACGTTCGTACGAGATGCTCTCACGAGATGCCTCATCCTCAGCGGTGGAGGCAGGCGGCGGCGGCCATGGTGGTATGGATGCCGCCATGGCCATGTCTGCCAGCAACAAGGACAACGACATAGTAACCAGCTTTTCCTCACCAACAGGCCTCGCGTCACGATCAGCCATGTCCCCGTCGATGGCGGGAAGCCGGGGCCCCGGGGCTGGTCACTCGTCGATGTCCCCCGGGTCGACTCATGAGTCGTCGCGTATCGCGTCGCCGCCGCCGGCTCTCATGGACTTGAACGCAGCAGCGGGTCTCGGCCTGAGCAACGGCGCCAGCAACAACCGCGGTAGCAGCGGCGGCGACACCATCGGCATGGGCTACAACGGTAGCATCAACCAGCATGGCCGCTATGGCAGCCACAGCAGCTACGCAACCGCCACAGGAGCTGGCGGTGCCGCGAACGGCACACCCAGTGGGCGCCGCACGCCTGATTACTTCGGCCAGACTGCGCGCTACAACGCGCCCGCGCGCTCCTTCTCCAATCCGCGTCCACCCACCGCCAACTCCATAAACGGACCCAGTGGGCCAGGCTCCTTTGGCAGCCCAGCAACTAGCACCCGGACGTGGGATGCCAGCCAGACATATGCGCGGGCAACATCACCACCGACGTCCCCGCTGGCAGCGGGCGGCCGCTCGGAACCGATCCGGAGCCACAGTCGTTTTAGCAGCCGCGGTGAGAGCCGGGGTGGCAACGACTTCGATACGGACAACCGTCACCCGCTGGGCATGAACCGGATATGAGCAGCACACGCTGCTGAAGCTCCTCTCTCAGCTGATTAACGTCGGCTATCACGTCCACTTTCGTTTCCACCACTGGTCTGGCACTCTGTAAAAGCCCCATTACTTCGACTGCCATGTCCCGTTACGTCGCCAGAGAATAAGGCCGATGTACGAACATATTTCGGAAGTGCGACTGTTTGGGACCGCATCATTCCTTTTATGCCTGACTATCGTGTCACTCTTATCTTGACTTGAGGCCGCCATCATGCATTGGCAAGCCGTCACAGAACCAGCACACGATGCGTCATTGGAGTGAATGATTACAGGAAAGGGACTCGCCCTAACCCATGATAAACCAGCAAATTATCTATTGCATTATCTTCCTTTGTTTCATATGTTGTTATTTCTCTTTACTCATACCCCATTCTATTTTCTTACCTCTTTTTTGTGCTTTCAGCGAACTACTTTCTTGTTTATGTTACCATCTTTTCCAACTTTTCGCCGTCCTTGGGGCGTGTGTTGTACCTTGTCTCTATACTCTTGTATATATGGGAAACAAAAAGGACTTTTCTTGGAAAAGAGAGTTGTGGGGCCAAGGTGTAAAGGCGAGGAATATTTCCTCGGCCAGGCCATGCACAACACCAGCGACGCGACTATGCGAACATATTTCGGGGCGTCCTGTTTTCTTTAAAACTTTATTGAGTTCACGAGGGAAGGACATAATAGGATGGAGACGACGGAACGGAAGATAAACGGACTAGAGTCGTATGTAATAGAAACCATGGTCCTCTCTTCCTTCATATATATATATACAACACATATATTCACAGATAAAAGCTGCAAAAGCGAAATATCAGTCAAAACACTATAAAACGTAGGTTCCCGGCCAGCAACAGTTGATTCGCTGGTGCAGATGGTCAGCAACACGGCATTTGGTCGCGTGCCACTCTCTCCACAACTTTGGGAGCGCTGGTTTGAATTAAAATGCGGGCGCCCTGGGACGGTACTTTTGTGTAGTGGGTAATTACTACGCAAAAGCCGTGAGGCCTAGGAGCCACATGCACCACCAGGGCCGTTGAGAGCCTTCGGGTGTCGCAGGGGTAGTCAGATTCGGACCAGTAATACTGGGTTTTCCTTGTCTGCCTGGGAAAGGAATTGTCCTTGTGAATGGTCGCTTCCGACTTGATATGAAGAGGCACATCCATTGAGGTCTTTCAATTCGTACATAGTATGCAAAGGCATAAAATATGGTGGACGGTGAGCACAATCATGGCAAGATCCCAGTTCGTGCGGCTCTATTGATCTGACAGGAAAGGTTGTCCGGTCGCATTCTACGTCTGAAGAGATGCTGTAGTGACTACAATAAATATATAGGCGAGCAATTAAAAGGGCAAGGCAGACGTATTCTTGTGTAGAACGGGCATAAATTGAACATACTGAAAGGAAACGAAAATGGAAACGAAAAGGAAAGGGACAAGAGACAACATGGAGACACCAGAAGATGGCACAGCGCGGGATATCTACTACAGCCAGGGCAGGCCATGTGAAGGACCATAGGCTGGGAAGTCTCGCCCACGCAAGCGCCCACGCAAGCCGCCTCGAAACACGAGCAGCCACAGAGGCCACGGGTTGGTCCAGATCTACGAGACACAAAAGCACGCGAAGAAAATCGCAAGCATATTGACTGCAAACGTCAAGAGGCACAAAGGAGATCCGCGAGTCGCAAAGGGCAAAGACCAATCGACCCGTCAAAGTCAAATTGATCCGGCGGCGCATTCGGGTGCGGCGGGTGAGAATGCGAAAAGAAAGAAAACAGCGTAGAAGAGCCAAGAACAGGCCAAAATATTAGGCGCCACTGCGGTCAGATTTGGAGCTCCGACGCTTCCGCTCGCTGCTGCGATCACGTATCCCGACCAGGCCGAAACACCGCCTCGACGGCTCTTACACATGCGCACCCGCCCATTTTTGACCGTGATGTCTCTCCTCTGACATTCTGAGACTGTTTTTCATCCAACTCGCACTTGTTTCATTCCACATTCCATTACTCAGTGTTCTACCTTTCGACTTACCATGGCGTAGCGGAGCTGGCTGTGAAATAGAACACGTATTGAAACCTCGAAACGTCGAAACGTGGAACGCCGAAACGTCGCAAAAGTCAAAACATCGAAAACGCAATAACCTCGTCGTCGCGATCATCTCCAGCCTCGCTTTCTGCCTCTCTCTCGTCGTCTCTTGTGTCGCCTCGGTTTTTGCATCGACTGGTCTATACCGACGACCTGTTCGCACCTTCCCCATCAGTCCAATTGCGCCAGCCTCGCCTGGAGCCTCGCCGCCGACTCATTCTCATCTTATTATCTTATTCACCCCCCACTTCCATTTTGTAGACTCTCCACCGTCACATACCGCCCGCCATGTTGGCAAGGCTCCAGTCCAACACAGCCCGCATGTTCCTCATCCTGGCCATCCTTCTCGCCGGAGGCTTCCTCCACTATTTGTGGAAGAACGAGGCCGCTCTCTCCGCGCCCTGGATTCCTGATGCCGGCGCCCGCCTGTTCGCCCAGCGGCCCCTCGGCTCCCCTCACTCCGAATCCTACATCAACCACTACAAGCTGCCATTGCGCACCCGCGGCCGCAACATTGTCGATGCCGCCGGCCGCCGCTTCAAGCTGGCCTCCGTCAATTGGTACGGCGCCAGTGACGAGCATTACATCCCGGGCGGGCTGGACGTGCAGCACCGCGACACCATTGCCAAGACGATCCGGTCGCTCGGGTTCAACTCGGTGCGCCTGCCGTACGCCGACGAGGTGGTGATGCGCAATCACGAGATCCAGGTGCCGCCGCACCTGGTCGCCGCCAACCCAGACCTCGTGGGCCGCCCGCCGCTGGACGTCTTTGAAGCCGTCGTGACCGCCTTGACCGACGCCGGGATTGCCGTCATTGTCAACAACCACATTACGAGCGCCACCTGGTGCTGCGGCGCCGACCCGTGCGACGCTGGCTGGGCCAACGACCACCTGCCGGCCGCGCTGTGCCGGGTGCGCCAGACCGAGAGCGACTGGATCGCGCACTGGGAGACGCTGATGACGCGTTTTGTCGACAACCCCCATGTCGTGGGCGTCGACCTGCGCAACGAGGTCCGCGGCCTCTGGGGCACCATGAGCTGGGACCGCTGGGCCACGGCCGCCGAGCGCTGCGGCAACCGGTTGCTGCGGCTCAACCCGGACTGGCTCGTGGTCGTCGGCGGCACCGAGTCTGGCAACGACCTGTCTGGCGTCGCCCGTCGCCCTGTGCGGCTCGACCTGGACCACCGCGTCGTCTATTCCGCCCACGTCTACTCCTGGTCCGGCTGGGGCAGCCGTGCCGGCCGCTACGCCCAGCGCGGGTACGCCTCCTTTGTCGCGTCCATGCGCCGCAACTGGGCCTACCTGGTCGAGGGCAACCTCGATCCCGTCTGGGTCGGCGAGTTTGGCGCGCCCCATGAGCCGTCGGTCGGCGACGCCAACTACTGGCAGAACCTGCTGCGCTTCCTCAAGTCCGTCGATGCCGACTTTGGGTACTGGGCCATCAACCCGCGCAAGCCCGCCGCCAATGCCTCGGAGACGTACAGCTTGGTCGAAGACGACTGGCTCACCCCGGTGCTCGACTACCGCATGCGCGACATGGCCGAGCTGATGCAGCTGCAGACGGACGAGCTATAGGAGAGAAGGGGTAGGCGGTCGGACTGTTTTGGAGCCGTTTTGGATTGCTTTCGACATTGTCTGTTTCGACGGGCGTCCTTTTCTTGTTTAAGTTTTTCTTTTGGGTGTGCCATCTCTTTCCATGATACCAGGCACGGATCGTTTGTCGTTTTTTCATCTTGCATTTTTTTTAGATTTATGTTACAATCTACCTTTCGATTTACGTCCTGCTCATACGCAAAACCAACCCCATTCCCCGACTTCTGCCGATGCCAGGTGTCTGCTTTCGCAACCGCTTTCCGGCTCGAAGGCCTGGCAAGGCCGTAATTACCGCCCAAAGTATGGCTGAAAGACAAAATTGACTGGCTGGCCACCCGTCTAGTCAATGCAGGAAGGCACGTCCCGTGTCTACAGCGCATTGGTTCAGTAGAGGCGCGGGTGAGAGTGCTAGGCAGGAGCACATAGCGGCGTCTGCGCTTTGCATGTGGGGGCTTAGAAGGGAAGGAGCGCGCATGCCGCCTGCATCTCGTCCCAAAGACAAAATAATACATTGTTCTGCATCAGTTTTGTAAGAATAGGCCGTCACACTAGGTCATCACAACGGCTTATGACGAGCGTCTTACGTTGTCACTTCTCATATTGCCGGACAATCCACTGGGCGTCAATTCAGGGCAAGCGCTGCACGCCGTAATTATTATGTAGGGATCTAGGACCGGAGCGCCAAAAGTATTAGGACCGCCAAAAGTACTCCGTATTGGGACTCCACAATATCGGCCTGTCGCTCCTTCCTCGCTGAGTCAAACGTTGCAGAGGCTATATCTGACTCGTCGCCTACAAAACAGGCCAAGTCAAGCGGCAGGAACAATCGCATTCACCACCCCCGTTCTTTCCTTCGCAGACAATGGCCAGGATATAATCACGTCGTACATATTTGCCTGTGATTCACTCTCGCCAACTTTTCTGTCCGCTTATCTTTTCTCAACTCGCACCAGCCAACATGTCACTCGCAGCCTTGTGTACACATGTCGCCACCAACAGATAGGTAGCCAACCTTAGCTCTACCTTTATCATTCACTGTCGCCAACCCAGTTACGCCCCCGCGTTCTCCCGAATCGTCGCATCTGTCTTCCAACATCTAAATCGAAAGCAACAACCTCGCCCTTTTTTATTATCTCCTTCTTTCACGACTCCCTCACAACGTGCACACGCAGCTTGCTATATTTATCCATCCAGTTATGGGGCAAGCAGAACGAACGGACAGCTGCCACCTACAACACACACGACTGGGTATATATGGGCCACTTGCTCCACAGCGAACAGAATCCCCTTGCTTTTATTCCGGCGGCCCAATCTAGTCATCCGGTCCGGTCCTCGCGCACGCCACTGAATCCACAAAATACTGGTGACTGTATCGATTTGCGCCCAGTCGCCTTCTCATGCGCAAGCACTCTCCCCATGCTCGACCTCTCCTGCCAACCTCGATGAGCATCCCAACGACCCCTTCTCTACCACTGCTACCACCTCAGATGCACCAACATCGATAACCCGACCTCCCGTTTGTCGTTGTTCCCTGATCGGCTCGCTCGCACAAACAACCGTTTCTCGATTGCTCGATCCCGAGCTCTCTTATAAAGCAGCCCATTCCGCCTGCCCCACGATCGTCTCACCTCACACTTATCTCTTACTGCGAGCTACCAACTCTCGAGAGGGTGCGCGAGACGCCCTGGCCCTCTAAATGGCCGACCACCCACCAGCTCTGGTTCCACTCGACAACAGCCCCCCACCGTTTCAGTTGGTCGTCGCCCCGGCGGACCTTGCTGCCGATATCGCCGTCCCCGGAGATCCTGTGGACGACCCGCCAAGCACCACAAATACGTCCAACAGCTTGACGTCCACACCTCCCACCGCCCCGTATGTCCTAGCCTTACAGCCATGGAACTATCGCACACGGTACTCTACCCAGGATGTGCGCAGCGTCTGGGTGAAGCCAGTGACAGGCTACCAGAGCATCGAGAGACGAGTGTGTACTTCCAGCCTCCACCCTCTAGCCATGCGTCAAATCTCAAGCTAACAGATGTGTGTAGTTTGGTCCCAAGGCACGAAAACGGATATATGCACGTTTACATGGCCAAATTGCCGACGGCGACGAAGCTACTAATTTCCAAGACCAATTGTATGACAGCGATGGCGACGGCCAGTACAGCACGGATCATAACGGGAACAACAACAGCGAGAACCCCAACGGGGGAGCCACTGGCACAGGTTACGACAGCGACGGTGAAACCCCTGGCCATCACACCAACGCCAACAACAACGAAACTCTGGACGCAGAGGACGCAGAGGATGCCGAGAATTTACATGTACACGACTCCGACACGGAGGACGATACGCCGTCTGATGAGGGTCTTCCACCCACCGGCGACGCGGAAGCTTTGGAGAATGCTTTCACCTCTCTGAATAGCGGCCCTCTCAATGCGGCCAGCGAACCAGGACCACCAGTCCCTCCAGTACAACCCAGCATACCGAGTGCTCAGCCACGCTTCCCACCCGCTCCGAATGTTTCTCGCGCACGCATGAATCTAACGGCCCTATCGCAGCGGTACAATGTGAGCTAACCGCGAGCCAACTAAGCTGGCAGGCGTCAGCCTGGCCGTGGCAAGCTTTCCTTACATGCTAACGTCCTGCCTTTTTTTCTTTTTCTAGCTCTACTTTGCCGTATACCAGGCCGAGATCCACATCTTTCGACCGCAGCCAGCTCCGGAGATCCTGCATGGTCCTCTGCTTGTTCTCAAGCCTCCGCCAACGGCAGCGGGTCGCCAACTGGGTGGGCACATGAGCCACGAGTTCCCTCACCAGGCGAACCAGATCAAGATTGGCGATTTCGGTGGTATGGAGATTGTCGTGCTTGCGTACGACGATGGCGATGTCGTCGCCTACTACACGCATCACATTGTGGCCTATGTCGAAAATATTCCAAAACGTCGACACCGGGGTCCGCAGCGGGCCAGGAGGGTACCAAAGCCTTTCTTCCGCGAGACCGTCGGAGCCACCGCCTGGGGCCTGGCCATTCACTCGCAGTCCCGCCTGATTGCCGTGAGCTCCAACCTGAGGGAAGTGAATGTGTTCGCGTTTGCCATCCAGCCTCCAAGGGCGGACGATCCTTTGCAGCACAAAACCCAGCCCCTCGTGGTGCCCAGTGATGACCTCTCGCCAACCACGTACGCGGGGGCCAGCGCACTGGAGCTCGAGTCCATGCTTCGCCAGCGCGATCGGTATTGGCGCATTTTGCTCCCCATTGGGACATCGGGCCATAATATTCCAAGTATTGATTTCATCAGCGACCATGATGGCATCGCTGAAAAGGTCGCCGCAGTGGATATCCTTGGCAGCATTTTCATCATGGACATCTGGAAAGTCGGTAGCCGGCCACTCAAGATTGGCTCGCCCTACAGGTCTGGGTAAGTGTTTCTTCTGTCGATCTGTGCCTCGTCTTATCGCCACTTTTGCCACTAGTTGTAACACGCATTTGCTGACAGGCGATCGCATCAACAGCATGAACATTGGATGGGGTGTCATGGTCATTCCCATGAACATGTTTCTTCCCACGAACAGAATGCCCGCGCCCTCAGACCGACGGGTGCTGAATCGATGCCTCTTCCCCAACATTGATGGCACCTTTTACTTTTCGTACCTGAACGATCCTGCCCGGAAAAAGCCGAAATACACGCCGACTGCCATTGATACGTCCGAGCTCGATACGGAATCCGATAGCGATACAAGCATGAGAGACAATGTCGATGATACGCAAATGTACGGGAGCGGCTACGAAACCGAAGATTCCAGCGACGACGATGATGAAGAACACGAACGCGACGGTGAGAATCGTGGGCAGGACGGCGACGGCGGCATGGACTACAGCGAGGAAGACAGATACAGCGACGACTCTCGTATGGACGACTCAACACCTTACACTCACGGGCGAACCGAAAGCACCGATAGCAACCCGTTTGCCTTTGATCCCGCCACAATGTCGAGACACTGGGATGTTTTGTTGAAACGCAACCACTGGCCCGTCGTACCCAATATGCTGGATTTGAAGAAGGACGCCAAATCGCCTTTCCGTCTCGGCATGATTATATGCCCGAGCATTGGCGTGACTTGGAGTAGCAATAACCTGCAGTCCCTCATCGGCACACTCAAGAACGCGCGTTGGCGCTTAGCCCACACGCTTGAAGAGAACCTCCATGAGTTCCAGGTGCCTCAATCCAAAGAGGCCATGGACATGGCGCGGCGGTTCTTTCTCATCCGGACATACTCGCAGACCGTCGAGCTGCTCCGGACCGACCGCACGGAGACGCCCTTTTACATACAAAACATCATGAAGCCGCCATCACGACTACCCTTTATCCTGTGGGACATGGCACACGACTTTTTCCGCTGCAGCCTACTGCACTGCATCCCCGAGATCAATCTGGTGCTGGTAGGCAACATGTTTGGTCGCGTGGTGCTCATCCGCCCGCTGAAAAACCAGCAGGCAGGCTCGCCATCGGCCCATATCAATGCGCCGGACTACGCCTTCCGAGTCGAATGGACGCTGCCGCTGGCCCGCGACGAACAACAAAAACTACGTCCGCCGTGCTGTCTGCTCGGCATGGCTGTATCTGCTGTCCCTGAGCCTGGCTCTGGTCGATTTGGCGTCACAAACACGCGCACGCCAGGCCGGACACAACGGTCAAGGCGCTGGCGGCTCATCCTGCACTACATGGACCACTCCATCTTCCAATACTACATTGAGGAGACCAAGCCGGGTGTCAAAAAGCTGAAAGTGCGTCCTTACTAACCTACGGCTGATGCAAAGAGGAAAAACTATCGATCTTGTTTTTTATTGTTCATGTTTTATTTCGTTTTCATTATTATTTTACCCCTGTTCTTTAATTCGCCTAGATGGAACATTTGCACAACCGGCGTTTACAGAGTTTTTGTTTTAGGGGGGAGGGGGTTGTTTTTGTTTTGTTATGTGAGCTGCTTTTGCGTTTTGCGTATCGATACCTTGGGTCATCAAAATTGGGAGCATTACAGGCGGCGAAACAAATTTGGCTACTAGTATTTCTATTGCTATTTTTCTGTTTAGGGACAAATGTATTTCAAATCGGCAAAATCGTCTCCGTGTCGTCCACCGGTATACTACCCTCGACCAAGAGACAGGATACACGGCGAACTGGAGACCAAGTAAGATCTTGCGGAACCGATACCAACAAGGCCTCATCGCATCCTCTTTGGCCGGCGCTCTGTGGGCGTGTTCGTGTTGGAGCCATGCCGCTTGGACCCGGCCATTGACGCCGACGGGACTAGCGACGGCGCGTCCGACGTCTCCTCCTTCTCTGCCGCCGCGTTCATCATTGCCAAAATCTCGTCTAGTCTGCGCATGTACGGCTCCCGATAGCCGTTTACCTGGATGCGGCGTCGGATGCGCTTGAGCTGGCTGCGCAGGTGCGTCTGGTCGTGCAAAGGTGCCAAGACGTCCAGCAGGAAGAATTTTAAGCCATTTTCGTCTGACGATGACGACAACGACGACGACAACGAAACAGAACCGTCCGAGTTCCCGACCAGCCGCTGGTACAGGTTACGGTCGTCCTGGGTGGCACCTACGTGGGCGTCGCGGTTGTGGAAGAAGACGAGGGCGTAGAGGATCCAGACGAGGGCACGTCCGGCACTGCGGCGGGCCCAAGGTTTGGGAGGACGTGGCAGCTGGCGCTGCAGAAGGAGGTGGATTTGGTGGACGGCGTGCTCGACGTGCTGGGCGGCCCAGGCAACCGTGACGCTGCCGTTGCCTTTATCACTGAAGGAAGGCGGGTGAGGTGGTGCTGGCGCTGATGCAGACGTTGCGTCGGTGACCGTGATGATGGGCGTGGCAGCTGGTGCTGCGGTCCGCCTCGTCCGTGGGTCCGGTGGTGGCATCAGCAGTCGAGACTGCTGTTGCTGTTGGTGCTGTGCCGACGAACGAACTTCGAGCAAGGCTTCTAGAACGGCCTCAACGCGCTGCTGGATCTTGCGGAACGGGTCGCGTGCCTTGTCGCTGGGCGCGAGAAGCTTGAGAAACATGGCAAAAAACTCGTCGTTGGAAACAAGAAGGCGCAAGACAGTCCGCTGCAAATCGCCCCGCTCAACAAGATCACGAATAACCCGCACCTGCTCGTCTTTTGCTCCTCGATGGCGCTGCTGCCGTCTTTGTGATTCGTTTTGGCGCTGAATACCTCCACCGCCTTCACGTTCGCCTGCATGGTCACTGCTACGCGGGCCGTTTTCGATGCTGCCCGCCTTGGCAACACCCTTTCCCTTGTCCTTTCCGGGTGGACCCTCCTCGTCGTCATCCATACGATCGTCGTCGTCGTCTTCGTCGTCGTCGCTCGAGCCTCCGTCTTGCTCCTGGTCGTCGTCCTCTCGTCTCTCGGTACCCCACAGCAGACTCTCGAGCTCCGGCTGGCTCTGGTCAAAGATCTCGGGAGCATATGTATCCACACTCTCGTCGTCCTGTACACCGTCCAATCCGGCCAAGATCTCGCGCGCCTCCCGTACACGGTACCGATTCAGACGCCCCATCGACCCTGTCACTGGCGGTCGGCCCGCACCACAGTGCAGCGTGTTGGCGAGAATGTCAATGTGGAAGCCCGCAATCTTGGCATACGCATCCTGTCCACCGGCACCCATTGCGTGCGGGAACGCCGTGGCGCCGTCCAGCACGAGCGGCTCGTCCGGGTGGTGGTCATGCAGCGTCTGCTTGGCAATCTGGTCCATGAGCCACACGAGGTGGCGGCAGGGCGTGCTGGCGGTGCCTGTGCAGTTGCAGCTGGGGCGAGGAATGCGGCTGGTCGGTGAGCCGATGCGGATGGTGCGGGGCACGATCTCCTGGAGCTGAAAGGCGTATACATCTGGGTCGTTGCTGATGCCGCACCACTCAATGACCATGGGCGGTGTTTCTTCGGGTGCCGGGGCGCGAAACAGCTCGCGGACGATCTCTTGGTTCTCGTCGTCGAGGCTGTCGATATTGTAGGAGAGTTCCGTCAATGGCGAGCGGACAGGGCCGTCATCTTCTTCGTCTTCCTCGTCTTCGTCATCATCATCTTCTTCGTCAGCGTCAACGTCGTCATCTTCTTCACCATCACTCTCATTCTCTCTACTTTCGTTGTCGAGTCGACCTTGTCCCTTTTCTTCGTCGGAGCGACGTCGAGAGGGCTCACGCGACGTGGATGGTGCATCGTCCATGGAGCCCCCAGGTGTGCTTCCGGAAGCACTGCCTTCACCATGTCCGTGTGATCGAGTAACGGGAGTCATGCTGGGTCTACTCAGCGACAGTTTGCTGAATTTGCTAGTGGGAGGATGCATTGGGGTTCGGGGTGTGAGATGAAGTGAAGCGGGTACGAAACCTCCCAAATACCGTTGATGGTCTTGGTCCGGTGACTATATGGTCGATACAAAAAGGACAATATATGCCTTTTATTTTGTTTTGCCCCCTGTTGCTGTTTTTTTAATCTTTTATTTTTCAGCCTCACCGATCGGCATCATTGACACATCTTAACGTCAAGGCGACACCACACGCCAGGATATGCACTTTATAAGCCCTCCATGCAAGCCTCTCATCTCCACATGAACATTACCCTCTGTCAAAAGAGCTTTTCCTGCCTCATCCAACGGGCTTGGCCTCAAGGAAGGCAGCTAGCTAGCTTGACGTTTTTAATTCGTCGTTGTCATAGTTATCATAATGCAACAGGACAGTACTTACCACTTGTGGCCCCAGGATGTTGTTGGTGGGAGTGGACGAAAGGAATGTCTGTGGCTCAACATGGATTCAAGTCGAGGAGGAGCCGTGGGAGGGACCCGAGAAAGCGGCCGCATCCTCTTCCTTCTGGGGGGGGGGGGGGGTGGGTGTGGAGAGAGAGAGAGAGAGGAGAGAGCATTGCTCCGGTGGTGTCATATTGCACACCCCTCTACTACCCAAATGTGCACGTTGACAAAGACATGGGGCCAACCCCCAAATGACCAGCCCTTACGATCAAAAACAGCCGCAAAACTCACCACGTAAAGGGGGTGTGGCCCAATCTTTACACCGCTACCCGATACGGCGCGTCTGCATACGAAAAGATGGAGAGGGAGCGCAAGGCGGCTATGAATATGGGAAGGGGGCCAACAGGACGAGAGCTAAAAGGGCGCAACGTCGCAAAGTGTGCATTCAACTGTTGTATGTCTTGTTGCATCGACCTGAGATGTACAGAGTACGACGCATTTGCTTGAGTCGTTTGCGTCTGGGGTCATCAGTGTGTTCCCTACGACGTACAACTCCTTGTACTCTTGCCTCGGTGTCCGAAAATTCTCATTCACGTCTGTGGAATGGTCCTCTGCAAACGATGACGATGATGCCGAGATGGGCGTTGACCGACGGAAATCCTTTGGCATGCAAGATGGCGTCTGGCATGCGCCCTGGTAGGCACAGATGCCACAGCTGTCCATCTCTGAGAGTCTACAGAGTGCCTTGGAGGATGGACTATGCGGTCGTGGCCGCCCAAGAAGGGGCCAGAACAGCCACAAGCGAGAGGCGCGGTCGAGCTGCCAGTGCCGGTCGCATCGAGGGTCGTGTGGTTGCGATGGGGTGGATAGTTTGGATGGGTTTGGATGGAGTGTGGGTTAGAGTTGAGGTCGGCGGCTAACAGACGTCATGGGTGCACTTTATTGGTCAATGGCTGCCATTGGCCCGTTGTTTTGTTGCGGGAAGGAGTGGGGTCAACAAAGGCAAGGAGCTGTGCAGTATTACGACTTTACGAACGAATCTGCAAAATGCGCCTTCCTCTAGTAGTTCCTTCTTGTGGTCGTATCACGCCTATTTCTCCGTGCTGGTCATCCCTGGACAGTAAATATGCAGGAGCAACCCGAGTATGAATTAACAATCGTCATAACACCTTTCGACAGCCGTGTTTGGCCAGTCGTGCCTCCCTTCTCTCTCTCAGCCTGCTCTCTTTCTCCCTCGGGAACGCTTAAGCAGCGCTCGTCCAATGACGACCCTCCGCCCACCTCCATCCCGCCGTCTGTTGCTGCGGTTCGTCTCTGCGACCCGTTTTGGCGACCAAGCTTAGCTATCAGCAAACTTGTGACATTCTGTTGCGCTTCCTTACGCCTACGTTGTCCACAACGTCTCCGAAGAATCTGCCCATGGATCCACGTTATCTTTTGCTCGGCTAACTCGCTGTTGGGTACGAACTAACTTCCTGGGGCAAACCATGCCGCAATACGCCGCACGCATACCCATTGTCCATTATCCGCGATCTTTTGGCGCCAGGCTCGGCATAATGGATTGCCCGGTGGGACAGGACCGCCAAGGGACATAGAAGTGTCAGCTCCGCACGTCGTAAGAAGTTGGTGTCCGGTTGCATCCGCAATCGGAAACGGATTCATCCTCGTCTCTCATTCCTGGTTTTCCACAGGACGGACAAGTCAAGTGATGAGGGTCCGGACGAGGCCCAAGAAGAAGAGGGCATTTCGGGGTGCAGAGCAGGGTTGGACAGCGAGGCAGACAAAAAGGCTGGTCGTCCATGTGGGCCGCTTTACTTGCTATTCTCCCTTTACCCCTATCTCACACCTAACCACAATAATTCGTACGCCAAAGGCATATATATCCAATAGGCAAAGTGCCTTGTTCAGTAGCTCGCTATGCTTCTTCTAGAATGCGACTGTGGCCACCACAATGGGCCGCTGTAAAACAAAGCCCGATGGATCAAGGGGCGAGCAGGAAATGTGAGCGGCGCTGGCAAGGAGGGTTGCCAATCGAATAAAATATGAATTTGGACAAGATAAAAGCAATACTCCAACGAGACATAAAGCACAGAAGAAAACGAGGCCGGCCGCAGAAACGCAAACGAAGCAAAATAAAAATACCCACAAAAATGATATGAGCCACATATCGCCCGTGTTCTTCATGCTCATCTCCTTGCGCCCACCGTCTTCCATCTTTACTCTCTTTCCCCCGCCTCTCCAGTCTCTACTGCTGCGGATCTGCTTGGTATCGACTCGTAGTATAATGCATGGCAAATGGATGCAAAACTCGTTTCCTATGTAGTCCTCCTTTACCCCTCACATCGGCCAAATACCCAGCCATGGACGGCAGGTAGTAATGGCCAGTTCAAACGCCGATGCTCTGCGGAAGATGATGAAGTCCAGCGGTGATACAAACGATGCAGACCAGAGAACCAATGGCAAAATCACAACAACGACACACCTTGACGCCAAAGCGCAACCAACCAGGCCAAAAGAACAGGCCGAACAAAAACAAGACAGTAGAAAAAGAATAGGAAAAGATTGTCATAACTCGTCAATCAGATTGGGATGGGCACCGTATCCAGAGCGGTCACCGCATTTTTTCCGTGTATGCAAGCAAGGGTCGGTTCGGTGTATAAGCGTATTAGTCGTTTTGTTCGTTTCGTTCAATTACTGAACACTTGAAATTTTCCGTGCGGCCGAGGCCATGGCTGTTGCTGTCGCGGCATTTCCACCGCTAGCGACGCGGCTGCTAGTCTTACGAATGCCAGTCGGCTGAGCGCCGGGCATCCGCTTTGTGCTGGCATGGCTTCCGCTGCGGTCCGAGCTACGGACCTTGGCCAGGACGCCCGATGCGGAGGTCGAGCGGTGCTCGCGGCCCTGGACTTCCTGAATGGACTTGACGCGGCTGGTTGATGAGCCAATGTTCTCGGCGTCAAAAGACGCATCGTTCTCGTGGATCGCGGTGGTTGTCGTCGTCGTCATGGTCGTAGACGTCGCAGTGACAGTGTTTCGACTGCTATAGCTAGTCGACCGTGACTTCGCGTGGCGGCTGGCGTCGGGGGAAGACGACGCAGTAGCGTTCGCCTTGCGGTGCATGCGCATGCGCAGGTGGATCTCTTCCTCCGAGTCGGTGCCCCGGCTGCCCCGGCTGGACTGATCGTCTCCACCGTTCTCCTGCAGAATGGCAAACAGCTCAGCCTCGTCGCCCAGGGTGGCGGCAGCGGCATCCTCTTCTTCAACAGTGCCGGTTGATGTGCTATAGCTGCCCGTCTTGCTGCGCGAGTACGGGTGGTGACGGTCGGCACGAGCGCTCTTGCGCGGCTGACCAGGGGTTGGTGCCGGCAGGTAGTCCTCCTGCGCGACATTGTTGCGCTCCTGGTCCATCTCGCTGAGAGGTGTCCGGCCCGAGGCCGACCGGTTCGGGGGTGTGGACGTCGACTGGGAGCGGCCGAGCGTGGCTTTCTGCATGGCGCGAATGGGCGTACTAGGCAAATTGTTGGGGTTGGCCGAGGCAGCGGCCTGTGCCGCAGCAAATTCGCGGCGTAGTCTGCGCTCCAGGCGCTCTTCAACCCACCACTCACGGAACGCACCCTGGTTCAGGTGCAGCCAGTGCTGCTGAGGGCCGACGACCATGCCGGGCCGCATGAAGCGCATAAAAGAAATAATCTCGTTGGCTGTAAAGCCGTAGCGGTAGATCAGGTAAGCGCCAATGAGGCAGCCTGTCCGGCCAAGGCCAGCTTTGCAGTGCACGGCAATGTTCTTCTTGCGGACTGTGATCATCTCGTGCGCGAGGCGAATGAACTTGCGCACCGTCGACATAGGTGGGCACGTGCCGTCGTCAAAGATCATATCGAGGTGCTGAATCCCGAGAGCCTCAAAGTACGAGGGTGAGTAAAGCTGCGAGTTGAGGCGCACGACAAGGCCAATGTTGCGCTCGGAGAAGTGGCGCAGCACATTCTTGAACGGCTGTGGCAGAGTCGGGTGGGAGTCCACGGCGTCCAGTGTCCGTGGCAAGGAGGCATACAACTCCGAGTCCTCTGTAATACGGGCCACGGGGGTGTGCTGGGGAGAAGCAAAGGCCAGGAAGTGGGGAGTGACCCAGTTGAAGTCGCCATGCTCGACACGCTCAAATTGCTCGTACTCGGCCAGGTCAAAGTTGTCCAACACACAACAGCCCTCCTCCTTTGCCTTCCACACACCATAGACAACATCCTGAACAGTGATGCCGTAGTCGGCCTGGCTGTAGCCCGCGTCGCGGAAAGGCATCAATGGGGGGTCGACCTGTGCAAGTGGCGCAAGCGCCAAATGTGGTGGCCACGACTGGATAAGCACCATGTAGCAAGCGAGCAAGCAAGCAGCGTTGGCGCGGCCTGAAAAGGAGGACAACAGTTAGTATTGGCTCAAGATCTGGACAACGTGTGCCTCTGCAAAAGCACAAAAGAATTGCAAGTTTGTTCACGCACTTCTTGGGTCAGCGCGGCTCCAGAAAATGACTGGGCGCTGTTGGCTCTCAGTGGCAGCGAGGATCTCGTGAAAGTGCAGGGCAAAACGGTACAGGTGACCGACGTGCAGCGGGCCAAAGTCGTGGTGGAAGGCGTTGTACAGGAGCGAATTGTCTACAGTGAAGTAGTAGGGTTCGGGCTTGGATGCGGCCGACGAGGCAGCGTCGGACGCGAGGGCCCGTGATCTCTTGCTGGGCGACTTGGAGGCGGAGGCGCTGTAGGGGAAGAGCGTATTGGCGTCGGGCGGACTCAGGTACGAGCCAAGATACAAACGATCTAAAAGTGATGCAGTTAGAAGCCGCGAGAAAAACAAAAATACCAGACAAGCGTCTTCGCCGGCTCATAGCAAAGAGTCTTACCAGGAAGGTACTCGATCACCTGCCCCATGTTGGGGTTCTTCGCCGAGGGTGCCATCACAGAACAAAAGCAGAGAGGTGAAAAGCTGATCGCGTGCGGCAGATTCGGTGATGACAAGGCGTGATCGACGATCTATCAATGTTGAGAAGAAGAACCGGGCAGGACGGCGACGAGAGGATGCCAGCGACTGTGAGATATCAATGCGATGCAGAAAATAATGCGTGTCAGACGACAGAAGGTGGAGAGGAACGGTGAAGGAACGGAGAGGAGGAGGAGGGGAGAAGAGGGAAAAAAAGAATGAATAAAAGGGAAAGGCCGTGAATAATAAACAGAGAAAGAGAGAAGAACGAAACAGATTGCGATTCTGGACGACCCTGGGATTATGTTATTGTTTCGCTGCGCCGAGGTGGGGAAAAGAGAATAGGGACAGGCAAAGAGAGGGAGAATCGTTGTCATCAATGCATTCTTGGTGTGTTTGGTGGCCACAGACTGTCTTCTTGTTATTGCGGTTGCGGTTGCGTTGTGAACGACGAGGTGTTGTTGCTTGTTGTTATTTGTTGTGGTGTTGCATTGCGGAGCATTTGTCTTGCCACTGGATACAAGTGGACTCACTAGAAACCGACCAACGGTGCGTACCTGCCTCCTGGAATCTAGCCTTTCAACAGCTGTCAGGTGTCTCCTTTGCTCTTTCCACTGTCTTTCGGTCGTTGTGGAGCCTTGTTATTTTGTTGTAAGAGACGGCGTAGCAGTCTGGCTTGTGGCACCCCCTGGCCGCTGTAGCAAAATAAACAAGACAACAAGCATTGTCAGCCAATCAACTGCGCTGTTGGTTGTCAAGCCACAGCAAGGCCGCCAGCCTGGGCCTCCACAGTTGCGTCGCCAGGACAACGACCGCCCCATAGCCCACCGGCAGGCCCCTGTCGCATAATCGCGCTAATTACAATAGGCGAAACAAAAAAGTGCAGGTAAAATTATGTAATGCAACGTGCCTTCTGAGCAACAAAACTGCACCGCTGACACACTCGTTATGTGAATAAGTTTTTGGAGGCCTAGCTCTGTAGAGTCGGATGCCGCGACATTGTGAGCCTTGTCGCACCACTCAACCTCGTGTCATCTAGACAGCCCTGGCTTGGAACTCGACAAGACAATCGCAATCTACAATCATGGCCGTTGATCCAAACTTTCCGTGCTCATTGTACGTCTACGTTCCCAAAACGCAAGGAAGAAGCAAATGGCGCTTTACTAACGTACTCGTCCCGCCAGAGTCATCGACATCCCCTTTCCGACTGCCCGCCTTGCCACAGTCGCCCTGCAGGCTCTTTCTGTCGACAAGGAGCTCTCCCCATCCGTGCGCCGGTCATTTGCTGTACAGAGCGCCTCCGACGACGACAACAACAGCGACAACGCCAACGCCAAGACAATCCTCCGCACGACGTACGAAGCCTCGACAAACCGCATGCTGCGTGTGTCGGTCAATGCGTTTCTAGACAGTGTCGGCTTGGTTGTGGAGGTGATGGGCGCGTTGGATGAGGACGTTCTGGAGGCCAAGGCTGCGACATGAGAGACGACGCGGCGATACGAAACAAAAGAAAGAAAGGACGGCCACTGCAAGGCGTCGTTTGAACAGCTCGCATGGTCTTACGTATAGCGGCGCCATCATTCTGCCGTCTTCCGATACAGGTCGTCTTCGTGCCCGACACTTGATCATATCCTCCCCAGCTTGTCAAGAAAAGAAGAAAGAATGCTCGGGCTGCCAAGTCCGGCTGATGGAGGCAGCGCCGGCTTCTGGGCCAGTAAAACTGGCTTTGTACTGCCTACCCCTCTACGTCACGCCTTCCAAGCGTAGGAGTTTATCCTTGTGCACACAAAACCGCCCGTGCCGCTTGCAAAATAAAACATAGGAGGTTCAATGAATAAGCGACGCGGCCGCCATAATATTTAGTCAAAGGTGCTGGCGGTGGTGTGACCAAAGGAATAAGAGAGGGCTGGGTCACATTACGGGTTGGCGACAGCGAACGAGATCCTTCAAAAAAATCATATGAATGGAAACAAGTGTGAGGAAGAGCCTGTGTGAGATGCTTGGAATGCGAATACAGGCGTGGCGGCTCTGGAGTCAGTCTACGTATAATACTTTGCCACCATGAATTGCAGGCGATTGACGGTTGGTTGAGGGCCAAAATGGACGCTGAAAGTGTACACTACCGCAGCCTTGCTTCTCTCTTTAAATCGTCGCCCCTTATCAGATGGAACCTATACCTCGTAAATATATTTGGTAGATTTTTTGGTCGCCACGTATTTATTTCCTATAATTTATAAGAATAATTTAAATTGTCAAGATAAACTTTAACTCTTGGGGTATATATTTCCACAGTCATTATAAGAGTAAGTAAAACAAAAAATAAGTGCCTTATCAAGCTATACAAAACAGTAGTTCGAGCAGATGTTATGGCTGTGAAGCAGAATAAAAGAACGGGGAAGGTTGAAGAGTAAAGTAAAAACATTTGGGGGAATCATTTTTGGATCACAGAATAATAAGGTCCAAAGCAAACACACATCCGCTAAATGACTGTCCGTTCGCTATCCAAAAAGCACGGACTAAAGCCAGAGCTTTATGCAACAGAACAGATATTTGGAGAACGGAGAACAAACAACAATTATTCCTTTGTAATGTCCTTGCTGACGGACTCCGGCCGCACCTCAGCATCCTGAGCAGTGCGGGCCTCGATGTTGGCAATGGCGCTCTGGAGGGCACTGGTAAGATCAACGTGGAACAGCGGACGGTTGAGACCATGCACGGTGACACCTTTGAACTTGGGCGACTTGGTCTTTGGGTCGTCGTCAACTGAATCGCTGTTGTTGGCTTCCTCAATGTCCAGAGCCGGGCCTGACTTGCCGCTGCTGCCAGGGGCAGTGCCAAGAATCGTCCCAGCTGCCTCGCGCTCAGCCTGGGCGGCGGCAGAGTCACGGCCTCCAATCTCGGCAACACTGAAAATAGCCTTCCAGCGCTTGTTCGGCGCGTCCTGGACATCAGTTGGGTAGCCAAAGCCAGCCGACACGAGAGCACGCTTGGCCCACCGGTTGCTGATGGAAGCAATGTGCCAGTCAACAACGTTGGGCGACGCGTAGCGGTCGAGCTGGTTGCGGACATCAATCAGGGTCTGCACGGAGGTAATGTCAAGATAGTTCACAGAAGAGAAGTCCAAGATGACAGCCTTCAGCGTGGGCTTGCTCTCATCTTCGCCAGTGGCCTCGGCCAGGGTCAGAGTTCCCGCCTTAATGCGCTTGAGTTGACTGCGACTCGGGCCAGGATCGTTCCAAGGACGATCGCCTGGCCGCGGGTACGAACTCAGGTTGGTGCGACGAGTATTCTTAAAGATGTAATCCACAAGGTTCTCGAGTGTGTGCGCGGCGTTGGGGTACGTGAAGCCCTCCGCGAAGCGGTAGATAAAGACACCAGGGTACGGGGTCTGCAGATCAACGTTGGGGTTGGAGCCATCGCTGTGGTCGAGTGGCAAGAAGACGCTACGGGCAGAATGCTCGTTTTCGAGACCGCCGATGCTGCCGTAGGGGCCGACAGCCTGGTTGTCGTGTTTGCCAATAACCTGGTCGCCGAGGACGGAGTGGACCTCGACACGGCCGAGGAGTTTGCCCTTCGACCTGAGGATGCGGAAAAGAAGCATCGCTGCGGAGATGGAGATGGTACTGTAGATACCATTCTCAATGCTGGAGAAGACTGTGACAAGCACACCGACAAAGAAAATGACAACCTCGAAGGGGCTGACACGCCAGAACTGATAGACGGTGTTGGGCGGAGTGATCAGATCACCGACGGCGTGAATGATGACGGCCGACAGAGATGCGTTGGGGATGTAGTAGAAAACAGGCGGGAGCGCGTAGATGGCGAGGAGGACAACGAGGCCAGTAATCACACCAGCCAGGGGCGTACGCACACCGGCCTTCGACTTGATAGCAGTCCGGCTGAAAGAGCCAGTTGCAGGGTAACCACCCAGGAAGGGGCCAAGAACATTAGTGATGCCAATGGCCACCATCTCTTGCGAAGGGTTGATGGTGTAGTTGTTGACACGGCCGAACGACTTGGAGATGGCAATGTGCTCCATAAGGAGTACAATGACGGTAACCGGAAGGTAGCTGACGAAGCCCTTGATGATGGTTGTGTTCATCTCGGGGGCGGCGGCATTCTGGAAGCCACGCGGAACATTCTGCAGGATCTTGAATAGGGGCTTCGTGCGTCGGTGACGGTTGACCAGCCAGCTGATCATTGTGTACAGGAGAATGACAAAAGCCGTGCGCAAAGTCGAAAGGAAGAAGAAGATGCGCTGTTTGCGAGGGTAGCGCTTGGCGCTGACGCTACAAGCGATGCGAATGAGGTAGAGCAGGAGGAGAGCAGTTAGACCCATCGCAGCATCAATCTTGCAACTCGGCAGGTGCTTAAGAGTGTTGACAATGACCTGGTACGTTGGGGCACGGGTGTTGAAGCCACTCTCGCCCAGCATGGTCGGCACCTGGCCAGCAGCAATACTGATGGCTGACCCCGTCATGTAGGCAGACAGCGCCGTCAGGGAAATCAAATCCACGATCCAACCGAAGCGAATGAGACCGATGAACAAAACGATGGCGCCTGCGATGACAGACAAAGCGGATGCAATAACGTGAGGGGGGACATCAGGAAGTTCCTTCCCGACCTCGAGAACGATGTTACCAACAAGCTGAGACATCACGGCCACGGGCTGTATTTTCAGAGGCGTTAGCAATTAGAATCAAGGGGGTGGTGAAAACCCTGCGAATGTGCAAATGGGTCTATAAACGGATTATGGGGAAACTTACACCAATGGTGATGTCCTTTGACGTAGCGAAGAACCAGTAGACAATGACGCCCATAAACGACGAGTACAGACCAAATTGGGGTTCAAGGTTCGCCAGTGTAGCGTACGACATGCCCTGGGGAACGACAACGGCGCCGACAGTGATACCTGTACGACATCAATCAGAAATAAGCTCCAATATTCGAAAGTGACGTGCAATGCCACACGAAGAACAGAAAGCACTCAATAACGTACCGGCAACCAGATCACCGATCAGCCACTGCAAATTGTAGCGGGTGATCCATTGCAAAAAGGGGAAAAGCGAGATGAAGTAATCGGTCGTTTCCTTGCGCGTGGGAGCCAGGCTTTTCAAGGAGTCGATGGTGTGCGGCGGCTCTTCGACCCAAGAATCGTCGGACGAGAAGACAGACTCGCCGCGAGTAACTTCGTCCCGGTAGGCGATGGGCCGCTCGACTCGGATACCAAAACCCTTGGCCAGAGCGTGGCCGAGCTTGGTGGCCTTTGGTCCAGGCATGTTGGCGGTGGTGGTGCCGGGTGGTGTTGGTGGAATGAAGAGAAAGGTTCTGTTATCTTGACTCTCACGACTTTCGGATGAAAGACAGCAAAAGCAGAGAGCAGAAACCTTAAAATGGCGGAGAGGATGAAGATAAAGGAAACTCCGGAAGGAAGATCTATTGATGGTTGCAGGGGAGGATGAAGATATATATACAAAAAACCGGCGATGTGCTTTTTCTTGTGACTAGATCCAACAACTAGACACGAGAGCAAAACCAAAGGAGAGCTGGAGTCGAGGACCAAGGAATAATGTGATTAAGATCCAGCTCCACGGTAGACCAGGAGTGTCGAGTGGGGGGTGAGTTGGAAAAAGGAAAGGAACAGAAGAGTATGTCGTACGGGAATCGAATGAGAGGGAGGGGGTGTATTGCCTGTGAGCTTGTACTCCAGCTGGGCGCGGGATGCAGGCAGGGGAGAGGGGTGGGTAGTCAGCCAGAAGGCAACCAACCTGGTGCCCTGACAGGACAAGGTTCAACTGTTGCTCTGCAGAGTGAATTCTTTTTCTCGAAGTAGTCAAAACTCCACAAGCTTGCGAGGCTTCCAAGTAACAGAGTCAAAGTCGTGGGGAGCGGACGCAAGACGCTGGCAGATTACGTCCCCAGAACAAGACGCTGTCAGAGGTGCAAATTGCAAAAAAGCCCTTTCTCTCACGCAGAGAGTGGCAGAGGAATACACGCCCTTAGCGAAGGTAAGAATCCGTCAAAGACGTATAAAATCTGCAAAAACAACACAAATAATTTTCTTTCGGTGTCGAGAGAAGCAAGCGGTAAGCTCGTCACACGGTAATGCCGATGGCAAAAAAATGACGTTCGTTGGATGGCGATGAAAGGCAGGGATAGCAGGGTGACGGGAGAGATTCTTGATCAAGGAGTTTAGGTTCGTCGTCAGTTCAGGTGAATATCACCAAAGGGGATGTCGTGCGTGAAGGTCTGGAGAAAAAGAGAGGGTGTAAATCGCTTTGGTAAGTGTTAAACTGTGGCATACCACAAGTGTAGACGAGAGACAGAGATACTGCTGTCCAACAACCGCAACAGTAAGCTCGAGGTCGGCGAATGAACCAAGAAGGAAAACGAACAAAAACTGGAATGGTGGGTGGGTGCGCAAGGGCAGAGGTTGTGGCTTGAAAAGGTCGATGATGAAAGACAGCAATAGAATGATGGAAGAGCGCCCAGACCCAAGATAGTTAATGTGGCCCTTCAAAAGGAAACAATGTACCAGGGTAAGGAGCAAGGGTAGGAGAATGAAAATCGACGAAAGAAACGAAACGTGAAGACGGGAGAACAGAAACACAAAAGAACAAAAGAAAGGAATAGGAACGATCCAGGGACACGTCAAAATAAAAAGAAAGAAAAAGGGATACAAGGCGAAAAAGATGGCAAATGTTCCAGAGGCAAGTACGACTGGCGACGCGCAGAGAGAAAGGGTACGGGAAAGAGCATCTCTGAAGCTTCCCATGTTGTCAGCCGAAAGTGGAAACCTTTTCAGTTAGCTCGCATTGCGCCATCGTGTAAGTGCTGCTTGACAAAGCAAATGTCACCTATTTGGGTGTGGAGGGGCAAGGGCTGGCTGACAAAAGCCATGTACTGGTGGATATGGGGTACCTCGAAACCCGCAGTTTTAGCGCCAATTATTGGGGAGCAGACGTATCCTACGTCAAATGCTACTTGTTGTGAACGGCGCAGAAGGGTTTTTTTTTAATGCCATTTTTCTTTGGGGCAGTTCTTCTGCGTGGCTCTTTTCCACTTCCTGGTATCGAATCTTATTTGCGGAGTGTAAATCGTAGTCAGTCTCTTTCTCAGCAAATACAGCCACTGTTGGACCCGAGATGTACATCGAAACTCTTCCATTTCCTTTCTTTGCAGCTTCCATTTGTTTTGCATATTCTAGCTCCTCTCGTTCCGCTTTTTACCTTTAGACTCCTTACGCGTACACAGTAATCCTGGCAACACCATCAAAAGCGACCCTTCCTGCGACAAGCTCCGAACACGAGATGCACCCGCGTGATAGCCACGCACAGGTGCTTTCAATACACTCCCCCAAATCGCCTCCAACTGCAGGTTGGCCCAGGGTCTGAGTTGGATGGCGGTCAGTGTGAGGACATCTCGCTTGTCAGCAGCAGCAGCACGTAACCAGTCCAGCTGTCATCCACCAGATCAATAATTCGTACAATCAGTTGGTAAATGCTTGTTTCGTCAGCCAGCTGGTCTTGGCTTGAAGCACGCGTGCATGGCTCCGAAGTAATCGCTTGGCACGAATACGACTATGACAGTGTTCAAGCGCCGTTTACGCAGCCCTCGTTGCTGCACATGTACCAACATGTCGTCCTTTATCACGAAGCCCTGAGCAAGCCCCTGCCGTATTAAGCGTCACCTGTCTAGCCGGATTCAACAACCACGAAAGGCCAGACTCGGCTCCGCCAATCTAATCTTGGACGTTTCCTTTCCTGGCAGCGTCGAAGCTTTCCCTTGGAATGGTCTCGTAGTCGTCGTGCTCCTTTCGTTGCGTTCGTCTCAGTGGGACCCTCAAATAAGTTGCTTGGCTAACACAATCTCTACCGAAACTTGGACCCCCATTCCTCCCCCAAACGGACCGACGCTGGCTTTCGGCAGCAGGGCACGGTCTCAAACCAGCACAGCATGGCACTTCTGAGTACTAAATTATCTAGAAGTGCACATAGTTTTAGGCAATGAGTTCTTCTATTCTTCCTTCACGGGTGTTTACACGCACACACAACCTGAGAGTAGTTGGACCTATAGGAACGGCACAAACTCAGCTCCGGCCTCCTCGACGCATTCAGGTGGGACTGACGGGGGGACATTTGATGCCAGAAATGGCAATGCAACGACGGGTATACCCCATATCGTCCCTCGCCATTATTAGTTGGTCTTTGTCGCATCGGCTGCCCTGCATCGCCCACCCTTGTTTCCTTCTGTAAAATTAACTTGAAAACGTCCTGAATAAAATAAAGTAAAAACAAAACAAATGAAATGCCAGGGCGCGTTTTCCCACGCACGCTCCACGCATCCTGCACCACATCCTGCACGCCCTCCCCCCAGGAGCATCGACATGGGTGACCGGGGTCAAGGCAGCCAATCATAGAGCCCCATTGCGTCTTGCGCCATCGACGGATCCAGTGACACCATCGAACACATGTGGGTCGTCGTACATAAACAACAGCCAAAGTTGACCTGAGGGAACTGTAAAGCTGGCCTGGGCGGCTGCAATTTTTTAGAGAATCATTTATCGATCTCATTATTTTCAATTGTCAATTGTTTAAGCTTTCCCTTCGTTCTTGCCAGTACGGAGTACATTCCGTTTCCTCTGCAGCTTTTGCTTGTCGTCGCAGCCCTGCGATTTTATAGGCTGGTTGGAGGTCATATTATATGCACTTTCCTGATTGGGAAGCGTCCCGACAGCCATCAAGTGAGAGGCGCAATGAGGTCAGGAAGCTGCGATGGGGTCCGAAGGTCACAACAAAATTGGGAAAGACGCAGCGATATCACGAGATACGACATATTTGATAAGGTACGAAGTACAGTGACCTAACCGTCCCTTGTGATATGCCCGTCTCGTGCCATCCCCACGACTTACGAAAGGCCAAGAACCGCATGCCTTCTTTTGGACATCTGCGCGCGCAACAAACAAATCTCCGCCCCCATACACTGACAAGTTCCGCTTCGAATCGCAAGGTCCTGTCGCACCAGAAAAGCACAAAAACGTAAAATTGGAGAAAGCATGCGAAGGCGGCTTCCAGAAAAGTGTCAGATGTACCTCACGATGCTTATATGCAAACTATTACACGGCGTATTCCGTCTATGTTAACCTAAAGTTCTCCCTACGCAGCACCGCTGCTTGCCCGTCTGACACACAGTACGAATTAGATAACATGACTTTGGAAAATGCGACTATCGACCTAGTGCCCGCGTTGTCGAAAAGACGTGGTGATCTAGGTCTCTGGTCCTGCCTGTTCCTGGCCCTACTTCGTCGCCTCGCAGTTTGGATGACCGCAAGGCCTCTAGCTACGTCGGGGATAAAAGGAGCGGACGATCACTTGTCTAGTATTTATGGCGTCGATCGCGTACCTGGTCACCTCTTCTTTGTCTTCGGCGTGTCCATCGTCTGTGTTACGGTTTTCGTTCATTTTTCTCATGTAAATTCTTTCCGCTTCATCTACGCTTATTTTTTTTCTGTGGACTCCTCTCGCTGAACCTGAATGCCCGCACGTCTAGAATCCCCCCTGACCTCTGTGGCCTGCCTCGAAGGATGTGACCCAAGGAAACTGGACACACGACAGGTCAAGATGGGCAGAGACAAGCAGCGGCATATGATTTTTTGTAAAAAGAAATCGTGCCAACCCCCAATAGTTGCCTCGATAAAAACAAGGGCAGCCTCGAAGTAATAAAGAAACGCCACATTACGTTTCCGAAAATGTGATGTTCGAATGCTGACTTGTCCTGCTTCCACCCGTGCCAGCTCATGCCCATCCTCCCACTGTCTGAGCATCCCCAAAGCCATTCCGTTCACGGACGATTTACTGAAATAGACACTGCAAAAAAAGAAAAGTAATAATCAGCACTTTAATATTACCACCGCCCGACCCACCTCCACTCGAGTATTTTCTTATGCTGTTACTGTTCTATTTTACGCTTCTTTTACGCAACTCTTTACTTGGGTCGAGAGCATAGACCATATACACATAGGCACACCCCTCCCCTCCTTTGCGGAGCATGCATGTGTTTGTTGCCTTCCTCTCGTTTATCCACCCACATTGGCATAAGCCATTTCCCGGGGAGTGCCACGGGAGAGGTTTCTTTTGCACACTCGCAGTCACTCGTCCACCACAATACAATTAGGTTCCCTCTTTCGGTAGATTGCACATCCGGGAAGCTGAAAAGAGTAGCCAGCCTGGGTAACGGGAGGGTCAAGGCTGTGGGGGGCAGGATCCTGCAGACGGAGTACTCCGTTGAACCTTGTGAATTGTGACACCAGGGGAACGACGACGCTGATCGTCTCCTCTTTTCCTTCTTTTCTGCTTCTAGAATAAACATTTACGTTATTGGAAAGCCGCTCCCATCCACACAACTAGGAAGGACGTGACCCCCTCGGGGGCTTTCTTCCACATCTCAAGTCCTATCATCATGCACGTCGATCCAAAGACATCTTTGTGGCGCGTTTCCGTGACACAAAGAAACCATGGGTAACATCGGGGAGACAAGGAACTATGCAGCGGGATGGGCAAGGAGGACCAGGAACTGAGGTACAATCCGCAAAAACGAATATTTAAAGGATGGAAAAGAAATCGTCCCAGGAGATAACAAACCATATTCCGTGGGGGTGGTAAAAGCATCAACATATTCCTTCTGTAAGGGAGTTAAAATGCTTGGTCGCCACAAATTGGTGGGACGGGTGTCCAAATAGGCCCAGATCAACACCCGTGCAGCATGACCTGCACGATAGACGGTCCTGCGAAAGGTGGGGCGAAAAGGAGAGAACGGGCAGACGGCTTCGACCGGCCAGGCCGCTGCAGCACTACTGCAGGCTGTATCTCACCGTCCCATGACTGATCTCACGGACATCTCCTTGGTTTGTTTCTCTCAGCCCACTCTTCAAGTCAGAGGGGTGTGGATGCCATGTGCTACGCCATGTGTTGTGCCATGTGTGTCCTGGCGTGCTGCCGGAATTCCCACACTGCGTCGTATATCTGTCTGTCAAGCACGGCGTTACAAACTGGCCGCCGGAACGTAGCAAGATCTGGGGACATCGGGGATACCGGATCAAACCAACAAGACCAGACATGGCATGGCTACGCCCACGATGTACAGACCAAGCTCTTTAGCAGTGTTGTCCAGAGACGACCAGGTTCCCAGCTTGTTGTCGTCGTTATGTCCAGATATACCCAGCATCGCGAGGAAGTAGAAGGCCTAGCGGGCTTGCAAGACCCATATCCATCTCCATCAGTATCTCTACCTGTAGCTGCATATATGTCTGTTAGGTATAAGGCAGCACGTATTCATCACGTTCACTTTCTGTCATTTCCACGCCTCCTGTGCTTGAACACTGTTTCATTTTCCATTGTGACAACATCCGCTATGTGCTACTTGACAAAAAGGATATGCCGCCCATAGAAAGAAATGATCGAGCATCCAAAGCCATGGAATAAAAAATGTGGTCCGAACCATCAACTAATGACACTGCAGCAGCGTCAAAGAGAGTATCTTAAACAAAACTTGAATCATGCTGCACCATCCCGAGAATAACAATAGAAACAGAAAAAAGGAACAGAATGAAGACCCGTGGTACTACGGCTGGCACCAGGACTCATCTGCCGCTTCTCCTGGTTCCATCGCCGACCCCATTTCGACTACCAAACGCCCGAGTCGATGTGTCTCGCCAGTCATCAAAGCAATACCCGATAGGGTGCGGCTCTGGAAGACATGGTATATCTATACGCCCCGCAGAGCTAAAGAATGCCGGTAAATCGGCGCTTGGGCTGTGGCAGCCGTCTGACATAGAGATACCCAGAGATGTCTCCAAGGCAAACAAAATCCATACACATGTCCAAGACAACCTATACGTATAAGCTCGAGACACGAACACAGCGCCTGGCTAGTCTAGAAACCGTGGACTTTGATGGTCTTCTCGTCAAGGCCAAGGCCGGTAGCTTTGTCAATCAGGAAGTCGCGAATCTTGCTGCGCTGATCGCCCTGGAGCTGGATCACCTCGCCCATGCCCTTGGACTCGGCCGCGGAGATGATGGTTCCATTGCAAGCGAACTCCTTCTTGATGACCTTGAGGATCTTCTTGTGGTCAAACTTGGGAGGAATACCCTGCACCGTGGTCAAGGTCTTGCGTCCATTGCGCTCTGTCATTCGATCAACATGTTAGTCATTGTGCTTCGAATCGAACACATCGGGAGGCACGTGTGCCATGTGACATAGCATAGGAATATGCGTAGCATGCGCACATGCACAATGCGGGGATTGGTGTGCCAGGTTCAAAAAACGTACGCTGGATTCGGATATGGAGGTATTCCTGTTGCTTTGCCTGCGATTGTCCGGTATCTTCGTCGGCGTCGGCGAAGGGGTCTGAAGGGAGCCGTATTGTTAGCGAACATTTCCTATGGCAACTTTTGCGTCGCTGTTTGTATGGGAACATCGAAGCTGCTCCGCGATGCCCACATTCCAGGGCCGAAAGAAATGCGCACCATTGATCTTGAGATTTTCGATTGACATCAACTCGACTTTTTCTGCGTAACTCGTGGGAACGGGGTTTTGTAAAGGAGCGCGGGTGCTGGTGGACGCAAGGCACGTTAGCAAAAACGGAACAGCGTCGGCAGAAGTTGGCAAAGTGAGAGTGCCTAGAGCCGTCTCGGAGGGGCTCAAAACAACTCAAGCGGCAGAGAAGCTATTGGATATGCCAAAGCTAGAGCATCGCGAAAGACCTACATAGATCAAACTAGTGACGTGATCGGATCTGGCCTGGCTGGTATCGGTGGTTCGGTGCTGGGATAGTTGATGTTTGGAGTGGTCGTTTGTTATGATAGAGTGAGAAAGCAGGATGAGAGAGAAAGAAAGAGAGGGAAAAAGGGAAGAGCGAGTGAGGGAAAGAAGCGGGGAACGAAATGGGGAGGAAAGAACGAAAGAGTGGCGGGGCACGCGATAGCGATAAAATGGGCCAATCACTGGTGCCGACTGCGATCCACAATGGCAAAATGCAGCAAAGCCACAAGCAAAAAAGCGAATTGACAAAGAGAGGACTGCCACTAGCTGCATTTTACAGGGCATTTGTTGTGCACAAACGGTCGAAGAAGCACACACCGCGGCTTATGACTCAGCATTTTACGAGCAGTTATTCGTCCAGTTGTTTACCAGGGGCCTTCAGAAGCCTGCAGGAGAAAGCCCTTTTCTTCGCAATTCTGTGCTATTCGCCGTCAGTCGGTTGTGCGACTTCAACGGGCTGTCCGATATGCGGACGATAATGAACAGGCCTTGGCAGTTGTATGAGAGGCGAAGGCTGACGGACAAGACAGAAACAGAGCTGAACGACGAATATACGTGTCGATGTGCAGCAGGGCTGCCTAATTGCGTAAGAGCATAAACACGGCTACCTGCATATTGGTAACTCGTTCGTTCCTTCCCATCACCCGTGCCGTTGCCCATTGGAGCATTCTTGCCGTAGTTGCCCTGTTTGTGCCAGCGGGTAGCAACCCAGTGGGCAGGCGTAACTGACATAATGGTTATGGCTGAGGAAGGGCCGCGGGGATAAACTACTACTGCCTGCCAACGCTACACTAGACTCAGGGCCAACGCTAAACGTAGTGTCAACGCGGAGACATCGCGAAAAATCGCGACTTTGTGCTCACCAATTCAGCCTACTTCGTAGGAACAGAACGTCAGCATTTTGTTTCTACGACACCCCCTGCACACACAAGCAACGGATCCACGTGCCATGCTGCTGAAGACAAAACGTCGTTTCTATCCTGCATCATTGTGTTGGTAGCGACTCCATTTCTTGTGCCTGTCCTTCTTCAGCCTCGCCAAAAGTGTCTGTTTACTCAGCTCCATCACCGGGTTTTCAACGTCATCCTCGTCCACTTGCCCGCTACAATGCCGAGCCCGGCCAAAGATGGCACTTCGGCGGTGCCTACACTGTTGCCGCCGTCGTCGCTGTACCCGCCACCGTCTTCGCCCAGCGGCCCTCGGACGCTTAGAAAGCTCCAGTCGGCGCACAACCTCGGGGCCAAGGCCAACAGCAACAACCTGCCGTCGATGATCTCGCAGCAGCGTTTGCTCCAGCAGCAGCAACTGCACAATCACCACCAGCAACAGGCACAGCAACAGCTGCAGTCGATCCAGGCGCTACAGCAGCGCTCGGCGTCGCCCGTCCGTCGCAATATTAGCAACATTAGCAACACGGCGACGCTCGGGACAGGTTCAGCCGGCAACGGCATCACCACCCTCAGCAGCAACAACAACCGGTCACCTCAGCGCGGACGCGCCAACAGCGACGCGGCGAACATCCAGCAGGTCAACGCGGCGGCGGCCAGCGCCAACGCGAGCCGACGGCCGCTGCTCGGCCGGTCACCAGCACTCGACGCACTTTCCATCGACCGTCTGGTCCGTGACGGGCCACCAGACGGTGACGTGGTTGGCGCGCTCAACAACCTGCGGTGGAAAATTCTGGAGACAGGCATCAAGAGTGACGGCGATGGCATGGTATGTGGCAAGGTCTCTGACTTGTTTTGTTTGTTTTTCTCAGTCCCAGAACTAACCAGACAGTCCTCCGCACGCATCTACGTCTGGCTGATCCTTCTCGACTGCCCGGTGCTGGAGACCGACGCCTACCTCTCCCTCGTCCACCGCGGCGCATCACCGGCCTACTCCAAGATCCGCAACGACACCTTCCGCACACTCACGACTGACCCGCTGTTCCGCCGCCGCGTCAGCGAGGCCAGTCTCATCCGGCTGCTCAACGCCATTGCCTGGAAGCTCCAAGATGTGCGCGAAGAAAAGATTCTTAAACATCCACCTATGCCACCGCCGCCAGCAAGCCGCCAGTCACTACCCAATCTACAACAGCAGCAGCCGGCGCACGAAAGCAACTTGTCTGGCGGCAAGGGTGTCCTCAGCATGCTCAACAACGCCGCGGCCGACAGCTCGCCATCAGCCAACACATCGCCCGCCGCCAAGAATCGCGCACGCGCGCTCACACTCACCACCGAGGGCTCAGAGACTAGCGTCTCGGCCGACCCGGGGACCTACGTGCAGGGCATGAACGTCCTGGCAGCGCCGTTCCTGTATGCCGCGCGCAGCGAGGCTGAGGCGTTTGTCGCCTTCCACCACCTGCTGACAAAAGAGTGCCCCGGCTACATCCGCGGGGCCATGGATGGCGTGCACAAGGGTCTGGCCCTCGTTGACAAGGTGCTCGCCATTGTCGACTCCAAGCTCAGCCTGTACCTGTTGTCGAAAAACTTGTCGGCCGAAATATACGCGTTTCCCTCGGTGCTGACGCTCTGCGCCTGCACGCCGCCACTGCCCGAAGTACTGCGGTTGTGGGACTTTCTGTTTGCATACGGGCCACACCTCAACATCGTGTGCATCGTTGCGCAGCTTATGATGATTCGCAACCAGATCTTGACGAGTCCAAGGTGCGTCCCAGCCTCTCTCTCTTGATATCATATAGACAGTCCACTAATCATACAGCCCCAACAAACTTCTCCGATCGTTCCCGGCGCTACAGGCCGACTCGATCAAGCGTGTTACTCTTACCATCATCCGGAAGCTCCCGGCAGACGTGTACGCCGAGATAGTCAACCACGCCTTATGAAGTGTCACCAGGAAATGTGTACGGTTTGAATAAGAGCATGAGTACGGCGCTGGGCGCCGTGCTGCACGTTGTACATGTTTATGCTTGAATGATACCTAACGACAAAGTATGTCATTTATGACAGCAGGGTCGGCTACAGCCTTGCTCGACGTGTTGATTGAGTCGCATTGCATGACCATTGGTGCGTCGCGGCGTGGCTTACCGGTCGAGACGCTATCTCAGCCTCTGATGCTCCCCCATTTGTCAGGATGCTCTGCGAGACTATGGACCTTCCAGGCCAAACCAGCAGGCCCTGTGTTCGGTTGCCATGGCTGCAACCGGTCGATCGCTGTCGGAGTTGCCTCGAGATCTAGCAAGGCAGCGGGAAGCTTCTCCCATTTAGCCGCGAACGCACATCTGCTGTAGGCCAAAAGAAGGTCGCGGTTTGCTCAGTATTGGACCACAGCGGGTAGCGGGCGGGCAGCATCTTTATTTGCCGGTTAGGCAATCGGGACGTCGGCCAGAAATAATTGCCTGGGAAGATCAGCACGTTTGAGGTGGCGCGAAAGGAGCGGCGAAGACGGAGTGACACCATAGAAACGATACTTAACAGTTAGCGGATGAGATCATGACATTATGACCATGTATTTTTAACCGTCCCACCCTGTCCAGACCATGGCCATGTTTACTTGCCAAGCTTTTCTTATTGTCATTCGAGAAAGCTTGCTTTTCTTCTTACTTTCAGGGAGGCGGCCTTCCAGCAGTCGCTGATGCAGCGACATATTCTGCTTTTCGAATCACGCAAACCTCAAGTAGGACTTCATGCTCGATTCAGCAACCTTTACCATCTCTTGGTCGCGGCTTATCGTACATTACCTTAGCTAGTGTGGTACGCCGGACTGTTTATGTTCCTGCGGATATGAAGGCAACATCACATAAAGGGCGGGGGGGGCAGCCATGGGGCTATCAATAGAAAAGAAACAGAATAACAGAATGCCAATGAATTATCAGCAATTATACGACATGTGGCTCTGCGTCATGAGGACGTCTGTCAAATTTTGAATTTCTTATGATCATCAAGCGACTAATTGTGTTGTTTTGACAACAATAAATTTACCATTGATTATACAAATTATTTTTAGAAAACATAAAAAACACGTTTGAAAGATAGAAAATGAAAAGAGCAAGATAAAAAGAGGTTAGATCTATTAGACTATCTTCGATCTCTAGCCCATATCCAAATATTGTTCGAAAAAGGCGCGGGGGTAGAATACTACCGAAACAAGAACGAGGGAAAATATAAACGTCACAGTCAATCTATTTTACCTCTCAAGTTGCCATGTGCTATCCAGACACCCACACAGCTTCCATTCTTATGATACTGCTTTCCGCTTCCATCCTTCTATGCCTTTCCAGGAACTAGGTCTTGTTTTATAGCTCGCTCTGAATTACCCAGTTCTGTCAGTGTTGTTAATATCCATTATCTTTCGTTCTTTTCGGCAGCCAGCACGTTATCTTCCCCGAATCTCCCCTGACCATTTGAACAACGGGTTGTCCCATGTTTCCCGTATGTCATGTTTCCATTTTCCCGTTGCGTCTTTTTTGCCCGTGCCTTTATAATCATTTTGGTCCCCATTTACTATCGCCTTTTGATTTTCAAGTTATTTAGACCTTAAACTTCAGTCGCTCTACGTCACATTTGTTTTCTTTCGTCGAACATCGTCACTCGCTTTCCAACACTCGCTTATTCCTTTTGTTGCAATACGTCGCTCGTTTTTGTTTTATCAATCATTGCAATTGCATTGGCACACATTAATAAATGCTGTCTGTTTTTGATTGCCAAACTCGCATCCACATCAGCATTATAATATCCGTCGCCGTCATCATCTGCCCGCCACATCGTAATCGATCCAACATACCAACACATCCGTATCGTCATCAACGGGGCCATCTCAGACTGAAATGGACTCGCCCCTCGCCCTCATAATTGCGATTGTCGCATTGCTGAGCACTGTTTCCGTCGCAGAACAGCAACAGCTACCACATCGACAACCTCAGCAAAGCTCACCACGGTTGGCTCCATACCCACGAAAGTCGGCGCAGTCCATCTGCGAGCAGACATACGGTCCCGGGTCGGTCGCCTGTGGCGATGTTACAGCGGCCATGTGCTACAACCCGAGCATAGGACAGGTAGAGTTGAGGACTAATCGTCTGGAATATTTTGACGATTGCTAGGGTACTAATGATTCCGCTAGTCCTGTTGTGTTGACAACGGATTCTGTGACCGTGGCAAATACTGTGCGCCAGTTCCCGGGTACTGCTGTCTTGATGTAAGTCTTTGGTGGAACGGCCACGAGTTTTCTTGCAGTTGCACCTCCGTGTACTAACGTCGTCTAGACCGAAGACCTCCGGGCATGTGCCAAAAACGCGGGCTTTGAGTTACCAGTATCACTCCAGTTGCGCGCCTCCACCGCATCGCCAGCAACGACATCGGCCGATAACAGCAGCAGCGGGGGCACACCGTACATACAAGTGTCAGCCGTAGCGCGCCAAGAGCAGTGGACACTGGTGTGGATGAGCCTGGGCATCTGTATTGTGGGCGTGATCATGACGACGTTTTGAGGAGAGGTGGTGTAGAGAGAGGGGGGAAAGAGACAAAAGAGAAAAGAAGGACGCAAGCTTTTTACACCTATTTACCTAATGTAATACACACATTTTTTCGACAACTCTAAATTGTCATCTATTTTTTATGCTCACATATACCACCTCTTGATGCAGGTTCGTTGAGGTGCCTAGCCCACTCGTTGAGAACGTGAAAGCCTTCTTTCGCAGTTCGGTGACCAAGGAAAGCCGATGCAATGTAGCTGAAAAAAAGGGGTAGACGATTGGTCGAGGTCCTGTAGAAAATAAATGTGTATATGTATGTGATTGCTCCTATATGTCAGGAGACGATGCAGTGGTTCCCAAATATGCAAAATAAATAAAACGCCAAAATGTGTGATGAAAGAAAAGACAGGAAAACAAAGCCGTAAATGCGTGACAAACGAAAATGTGAAAGAAAGAAAGAGAAATAAAAAGAAATATGTAAAAGATGCCAACGTGCTTTTGGGTCGTCTTGGTATGAACTTTTGTTTATCATGGCATGATTGGACAAGAAATGAAATATAAAAGGGAAAACGAGAAAAAAAGAAGGAAGAAAACGCGCCAAAGGAACTCGGACGATCAAGATACCATTAACAACAGCCAGCTTAGTAGGCAGGGCAGCCGTCTTCGGCCTGGCGGAAGGCGTTGGAGAAGAACTCCTGCATCGCCGAGTAGTGGAACAGGATGCCGCCCAGCACGGCCAGGTGCCACAGGTTGTGGCTGCCGCCAATGTAGTCAAACATGCCCGGCCGCCACCGCTCCGGCACCTTGCTCGCATACACCATGGCGCCCGTCAGGTACACCAACAGCGACTTGGTAATGGGCAGGTAAAACTCCCACACAAACGACATGCCGCGCGTCGTCATGATCTGCACCATCGGCACAAAGCCCGTCGTGGCCAGACCAACATAGAACGCGACGCGGGCCCAGGCCATGTCGGCGCGGTTGAAGAACGGGTGCCACGGCAGCATCACGCCGCCAATGCCCAGCACGGCTGTCATGGAAATGTACACCCACCGGCTAAACGGCTCGCAGTAAAAGGCCGTGTACTCGGTCGTCATGATGGATGCCGCCACCAGCAGCGAGATGCCCGTGTAATCGACACACGCCAGCGATGAGATCAGGTCGGCGTCCGCAATCGAGTTCATGGTGTGCCAGATGGTGCTGCAGACCAGGCATTGGCACGCCGCGAAGAAGAAGACGGCAGCAATGAACACGTCCGTTTTGGTGCTGAGGTGGAAGTTGACGCTGGTCGGGTAAAAGTACAGTGCAATCGACAGCACCACCACGATGCCCAAGCCGTGCGACCAGATGTTGACCAGTTCGTTGGACAGGCGGAACATGGACCGGAAGCATGCCGCCTTGGTCTCGCTGAAGCGGTAGCCGCGGATGATGTGCGGGTTGATGCGCCACGGCACCGGCAGCTCCTCGTAGCTCAGCAGGCCGTTTTTCCGTGAGTTGGTAATCGCACGCTGGATGTGCTCCTCGAGTGTCTCGGCCGCCTTCTTAGCACGCTCAAAGCTCTCGTCCACCACCTCACGTGCACGCCCTATGCCTTCGTCCATCACCCGGCGGCTCTCGCCCATAAACAGACCCGCTGCGTCTGTGGCGTGTGAGATGCTCCGCTCGCGGAACTTGTGGGCGTGGTTCTCAAAGTCCGACAGCATGTCGTCGAGTAGCTCAATGCTTACCCGCGCCTTTTCGTTGAGCGACTCGGCCGCCACCAGGGCCTCCTGGTACCGAGTCTCGATGGTCTCGACCATGATCTGCAGACGCCGTCGGCCGGCACCAATGACCTCTTCGGACGCTTGCGAGCACCGCGTACGCACAGCCTGCAGTGTGGCATACGCCCGGGCAATGCTCGAGTCGATGGAGACCTCGCCATAGCTCTCGAGGCTTTCGAGCCGCCGCTCCAGTTCGGTCAAGAACAAGTCAAACTTGAGCAGCAGGCTCTCCTCGCTATCGATGATGTGGTTGGCCAGCGACTTTCGCCGGGGCCGGCTGAAAGAAGACCGCTGTCGCCGCCGCGCGGGCGCCGCATCGGCCGTGATCTGTTCGGCTCCGCTTGTCTTTGCTTCATTGGTTCCCTCGGCGGGACCACGGCCGCTTGCAGTGGCGTTGCACGACATCTTGGAGGCTGCAAAGTCCATCTTGTCGTAAAAAAAAACACAAATATTCGCTCCCTCGGAAATATGCCTATTGAGTGCCGGGGCTGAGTCGGGTTCTTAAGATGAGGAGCGAGGAGAAGGAAAGGAAGAAGAGGGGCGTCGTTCTGCCGACCCAATTCCAAGTTGGTAAGCGGCGACAACACTCTCTGTCTCTCCGGTGATCCCTGAGATCTATCTGGTGCGACTCTGAGGGCTCCGGGTCTTTGCCGATGTGTGCTCGTCGTTGTCGGATATACAGAGGAAACAAAAAGACGCTGATTCTGTTGGAGCAGAGCAATTAATTGGCTTGAAAGGGGGCCTCGTCCTAGGTCGTATCAATTGAGGGGGAACGAGGGTTCAAATGGCACGTCGCAATCCCCTGGTTAAATGACTCGCTGGGTTGGTAGTCATGGGAGAGGAGAGAGGCTAGGAAGCATGCCGGTCCGCATACACTTGCAAGTTTGTTAAGAGTTGGCAGAAAATGTTGGCAGCAGGAGAAAGGCGGAAATTTCGTGTTTGTGCCGGAAGTTTGGCGGGATATGACGGGCGTTACCAGGAGTTGGAAAGAGCAAGGAGACGGGCTGACGCAGCCACTTGTTCCAAAAGGGAAATTGCCAATGCAGCCCAAAACCTTGCTTGGGCCAATTGTTGTTGGGGTCCCCAACCGCCTGAAGCGACGCGGCCTTCGCCCTGTTCCCATTGCATTTGCAGGTGTTAGTGGCTTGGCTTGTGACGGTTCCCAGCCACAGATTATATAACACAGCTCAGCCACAACCAGCAGCCTCCAAATCTGGTCCTACCAAAAACACGACACATCGAATTTGTTTGGTGTTTTCCACAGCTAAAGCTCCACTTCGGACAACCTCACTCTCGTCTTCGTTTCTTTTAACAAACCGGCCATCGCTTTTCTCCGCATTAGACCTCCCAGTGGCACGCAACGACCTCCTCCAAGAATGCACACAGACGACATTGTCACAGACGAGGGCCTCGTCGCCCTACTCGAGGCTTCGGCACGGGCTCGCAAGCAGGCGCTCGAGCTCATCGACAAGGCCTCCAAGAGTGCTTCGGCCGACCCGAGCACGCTGGCACCGCTGCTGGAGCGTGCGGCTGAGATTTCACGCGGCCAAAAACTGCTTGTCGCTAATATTGCCCAACTGCGAAGCCTCCACCGGGCCGCCTATTTTTCTGCACGCGAGACCAAGTTGCAAACGGCCGAGGCGCGCCAGGAGGTCGACCGGCTGCACCTGCAGCTGCAGAACCTGTACTATGAGCAGCGTCATCTCCAGGGCGAGATAGCTGCATGCGAGAATTACGAGTGCGTCAGGCCCGTTCGCCTCTCTCTTTCTCCCTCTCTCCCACTCTCTGGATGCCCTGAACTGACCACCGTCAAGCCACTCATACATGCACCTGCCCATGATCCCCGTGGAGGAATTCCTCGAGCTACACCCCGAGCATGTCGATGCCGACGAGGAAACGTTGATGACGGCGCGGATCGGCTACGAGAAGCAGGAGCGCGAGGCCTTGGAGCGGCAGAAGAATGAGCTTCTTAAGAAGAAACTCAAGCTGATTGCTGAGAACAAGAAGCGCAAGGACGACTTGGCCAATCTGGATAAGGATTTGGAAAATTTCATTGACGTGAGTTGTTTTCTCTGGGTATGTTCTTTTGATTTCGTCACGTATTCCTGACCGAGTTACTGCAGGCTGCGAAACCGATCCAGAATCTCTTCGACAAGGTCGTTTGAACAAGAAGTACCGGCCGCATCTTCAAGCACATATCACAAAAGCGACAGGTCAAGCATTACGATTGCAACATTTACGGCCCACGCTCGAACAACCGGTTGCCTCACCGCCTATCTCCCCAGAACTACATTATACTCTACTCCAGTAGCTGTCCACTGGATGATATAGGCCTTTCCGCATCTACATGCATTCTTTTTCACATCTTGGATGCGGTCTCCAACGGTCTATACAGCCCGATTGCGGTAAGAGGCCACGCGATCCGAAGCACACGATATACCTGAGTCCGCCAATCAACGACATGTACTTCGTGCCTCTTAACTGATCAGCCTTCCTGGGGCATGCCGAGGATTTAACAAACACATGATGACCGTCGAAAACGTGGTGTTTGACATGCGACACAACTGGATGGCCTGATAGAAAGCAACAGTAGCCGGCATGGGCCCCCGATCAATGATATTTTGAGGCGTCACTGAGCAGGAGCACCAACTCGACGGCCCGGCCTTGATAGCAGCGACGACAGTCCGTTACAGCAGCCGTGCCTAGCCACTGACTACCGAGGTTGGTCAGAAAGGGCGCCTCCTGCAGTATCGGCGATGCGCACGGAGTTTTAAGAACGGAGAGCCGGGAGAATTTGTGACTTACACATGGAAGAATAATGAATCTCCGTCTTACGTGGAGAAACAGATACTTCGGCTAATGCCTCCGCGGAGAGTGGTCGACGAAGTGAAACGATAGGCGATGAATATTTACACATATCCTACCTCAATAAGACACAGTATCGACTGCTATATTTGCGATGTCTTGACATGAATCTGACCGCTGCGTGAAATTTGACACCCCTCTGTCGTGAATATGGGCACGGTTGTGTTCTCCGGCAGAGCATGTTTCTCATGTTGCCCGGACGTCTATTCCTTTTTAGAATATAGACCCCTCCAATTTATCATTCGAGTACATTAGGACCGTAACGTTATCGCGAGATGCGTTTTAGTTTATGCAAGCATAGAAAAAGAATGCGGCTGTCTGGAACGGGGCCGCGTACGGCGGTCCGTCGAACGCAACACAAATGCGGAGGCGCACGACAAGAATACTATGTCCTGCCCGAGAACCGCAAGCCCGAACAACGGATCCGGCCTCTCCTGCTATACTCCGGGACACATGGCGATGCCGGGCACAGTGGATTTTTTTCGTGTTCGGTAGAACGATGAGGCAATTCGGAGCGTCACAGATAAGAAGTATTCTTGTTGCCTAACTTGCAACAGTCGAAGGTTCTCACGATACCAGCCACAATCATTACGACGCAGCTCGTAAGAATGCAGTTGCAAACAAAAAAGAAGGAGAAAATGCCTTCGCGAATAAAGACGATACTAGAAAGAAGCTTCTCGATTGAGACAGCGACGAGTAAAAATTGGCGGGGGTTGCAGGCAAAGGGAGATGCGGTCTGGTGCCGTCTCCAAAACGGAGGCAAAGGCCAAGACTGTGAGGTATGTAACCATTGGGTTCGTGATAAAATAATAATATTAGACACGAGTTAATCAATCGCTATCATTACGTTGATTTACATAGGGAAAAAACGATGGAAAATAAATTGTTTTCCTTATGTCAATACGGAAAGACTGTTATTGTGTATTTTTTTTCTAAAAAAATAATAATTTCATGCCATGGAACTGTGAGAACCTTTTTATCTCGTACTACGATGCTCTGACGTCTACCTCTAGGATGTCAGCGGATCTACTCCCGGCGTATGGACCGAATCCAAGGCCAAGTATAAGGAGTGCCACGACACACATCTGCAGAAACTTATGTACGCAAACAGATTCTGGAACACGTCTCCTTGTAATACCTGTTAAACCAAGATGCAGCACACGGAAAAGAGAATACTCGTTAACGTGAGTGCCCGTTAAAGCACAGGCCGGCAGGCAGCTCAACAAATCGAGAAAGTAGCGGTTGTAAACAGCCAAACTGAAAGGTGCATCGGCCCTTCTGTGACGTGACATTTTGATGGAGTAATCTTGATACACTTCAATGGCACGACATGCAATGGCACAAATTATCAATTCGACCATACCATTCTGCGGCCCTTTGTTAAAAGGTGTTGAAAGTTGGTAAGGACAATGCGTGCGGAGTACTCCGTACTCCGTACGTTCTCTGGAACGATTCCAAGGAATTGAAGCGGTCTCGTTTTAGTGTCGGGCAACAAGGTACCTTCTTTAGTTGTTTCCCCTTCTTATATATATTGATTTCTTGTTGATGGCGATCGCTTCTAATTCTCGTACCATTTTTGGCTTCTGGGCCGGGCACGTCATTCTCGCCCTTTTTCTTCTTTGTCCCTCTTTCTGGCATTTGACATGGGAGGGGGAAAGGGGGGCAAATACGAAAACTTGGCGATTCATTCCGACTTTACTCCGCAGGGCAACAAGCACCCTCCGTATCTTCTTAACTTGGGCCTCCGTTTCACCTGTCGGCCGACTGCAAAGAAACCATTCGAATATGTATCTCAGAGAATCGGTAAGTCGACCCTCTTCCTCTTTGGATTATGGTATTACCCGGTGCATCTGCAAGTAGATGTGTCTTTCGTACTCCGCATTTTGTAGCGAGAAGACCAGAGAACAAGAGACGGTGCTTCGGTTTAGTCGTTGAGCCTGACATTTTCTACATCACTAGGCCAACTGAGGGCTGCACTAGTCGAACAAGATGAAAGGGGGAAACGGCGCCAAGGAGAGAGTCCTCTTGCAGGTCGACATGGAATGACAGCTTGAATTTTGTATTCGTTGCTGCTTGTGAGGGAGCGATCAGCAGTGATTAAAAAAAACTCTGTTTTCGTACTTTGTAGATCAGGGGATTGTGCACTGTCAAGGAGAAGCAAAAGAACATAAAAGAAGAAGGCCGGAAGAGGAAATCCTCGATGTGAAAAAGGGATCTTCAAGACTTTGTGGAGACGTTCACTGTACGACATAGGACATACAAAATTGGGATTAAGGAAGCAAATATTCGTGGTCTCGCTTAATCTGCTGGGATGGTGCCTCCAGCATGCTCTGTTTTTGTGGAATTTTCACTACCCCTGGTAAAATAACTGGGAGCGCCTTTTGAAAAGAGTACTTCGTAGCCCCAGGTACCGGCAGGGCAGTATGGAGCGGAAGACGGTGCTTTTCCGAACCAAGCTTTCTTAGCTCGCAAAGGCCCCTGTCGTTTTCATTACGACGTTCTGTGTATGGCGTCTGGTCAGTCAAGCCTTCTCTGGCCGACCTCAATTTTCTTCCTCTTTCCATTTCCTTACTTTAGGATGGACAAGCTTGACCACGCAACACGGGAGGGCGCTCGAATACGTCGATAAAAGAAACCAGTATCCGGTGTTAAAAAAAAAAAAAAAAAAAAAAAAAAGAAAAGGCTCAAAGTGGTACATGGGTTTCCATCCGTAGTGTTGCTCAACGCTGCCCAACGGCGCGCGGCCATACAATTGCACGAGAATGAAACCGGAGATGAAGACCTTACCCTTTTTACAGCTGCAGAGTACTTCGTATTAGTGCGCCATATTTCAGTCGACTATTTAATTACCGTACAAGGCGAGGAAGACGAGTTGGACATAACAAAACGAAATAGGCGAACTGTCCAATTACAAGGCGGACTTGTGGACGGCAGTTATTCTTGGCGAACCCAAGACGAAACAGGAAGAGCATGCTTTGCCTGTCACCCTAGTTCAAAAGTGAAATTGACCAGAGTTGCACCCAGTAGACAGTCTACTTGGCGTTTTGCCGAACTTGCGCAGAGCTAAAACCAGGAAGGAAGCAATAGGCCAGAAAGTCGCATCTGGATCTCGTGATTTCCCAATAGGACTCGCATTCTGTTTGTGCACAGTCATCTACTCCGTACAGAGTATCTACCAACTTATAACTCAGCCACATCGGCTGTAAACAGAAGAAGAAAGCAGTAGGTGCCTATACAGTGGCGATCCCTGAAGTGAAACGACCAATAGAAGAGTACAACTCCCAAGAGCCCCAGGGCTGGCGTGCTTCTCTCAGCTCCTGGGACCAATTGTGATAAAAATGACCGTCTTGCATGACCGTTTTGACACAACGCAGCCTGCCAACTACTCCGTAGATGCAATTCACACTTGCCATTTTGTTGGTGTACCACCAAATGGACCCCCCAATTGGCAGCATAATGGATGAAAAGGGGATCGAAAGAAGGAAAAAAGAGGTGCCATCTAGGAACACATATCCTTGCATTTGCGCCCGACGTAACACGCGGTGTCACCCTGTACTCGAATAGAGAGGCCACTTGGTTCCGCGGAGCATCATGGCGTCACAGGACCGTAACAAAACAAAAAAAAAAAAAAAAAAAAAAAAAAGGAAAAGGAAAAAGGGCATGCCGAATATCATCTCGACACTGGCCACATGGGATGGGCTGTACGATGCAACCGAGAAGAGTGGGTGCTGTCTGTGTGGGATTTTTGCCAAAGCTTGAATCGCATTATTTTTTAAATTAAATTTGCCGTGACCACTTATCGCCATGCAGATTGGGCGCATGGACAAACGTATGGGTGAGCTGCCTCTGAATTTTCCCACAACCCTGTCCGCTGCACAAAGTGATGAACAGGATCATCGTGGCACGTCCATCGGAACCCAGCCACAGCTCGAAACCAATATGGGATCATAAGATACATCACTGTAATTTGTACGAATGACGCTTATCTTCCCTTCCCGCCTCTTTGTCCCTTGTTTTGGGTTGTTTGCCCAGCCCGTCCTGTCTTGGGAGCGCGCATCCCCCCCCTCTTGTCTCACCCGTGGAGCTTCTAAGCACGTTTATTTGCGGATGCCGATTAGCACGAGGCACATCTTGGCAGCCGGCGGGAGGGGGTTAAATCCGACTAACACTGGATTTGGGTTGGCTCCAGCATTTTGAATGGGAAAGGTGCTGGACGATGGAACCATTTCTACGCGCTGGCCCTCGCTCGAACCCATGCCACACCCTGAATGGGGCAACGCCCTGAACGCAGGGTTGAGGGAGAAGCGCTTCAACACTGGTCTAGACCATCCAGTTAAGGTACGTGTTGTTGTGAACGAGTCTTGGCAAGCCCGGCATGCATGCTGGCGGTCAAAGTAAAGAGTTTGTAATTTAGGGCAAGAAGAATGCGTTGTTCGTGATGGTGACGGAACTGGTCGTACACAACCGGCAATCACAAGCATAAAAGCAAGCACGGCGAGCTTCACAATACTTGCGGTTTTGTCCGCAAATTGAGAAGAGAATAAAAAAACAAGGAGATGTAGATTGCTTTGGTGCGGCACAGCAAGGCTAACAAAACGGAGTTTGCTACATGCCAAGACAAGGCTACTGCAGCACGCAGCCCGCCGAATAAATAAGAATGAGAACAACCTCATCTGCGTACTAATTCTGTTTTTCGGGTCGAACGCGGTAAGCGATGACACAAAGAGGGTCTGCACGAACCGTCTCTTTTTTGGCAGGGGAAGGGGAAGGAAATAAGAAAGGGGAAAAAAAAGTGCACATCATCTGCCGGTGGCCATCAAGAAGCCCTGTTCACATGCTGGCAAACCGTTTTAGTGCCAGAGTCGAAACGCACATCTCCGTTTGCCCTGAAAAGCAACGGAGACACGTTCATTACGAAGTAAAGGGGCCTCGACTGGGGCATCTTGAGAACGTCGCTGAGAGACGCGGTCACGGGCGACCATACTTTCGACGACTGCCCGTCGACTCGCTCAGCCAGCGTGCTGCCGACCCTCGTCCGTTTCTTCCCCGGGTCAGCAACCTCCATGGCGGGACCCGGATAAGTTGCACCATCCATTTTGGCAGTCTGAAGTTCGTATGGAACCGTTTCTTCGTTTTGTCAAGTCAGCCGCCGTTTTATGTCTCGGAGCGTCACGATCGGCGGTGCACTGTGCGATAGGCAGGTGCCACTGCAGAAGGTAGACCATCATAGCCAAGGGCAAATCGTAAGGGAGGGCGTACATCGTACTCGAGGATGTGGCATGACGGTATGCTTTGAGACGTCCCTGTCAAGTTTTCATTAAACAGAGGCAACGGAAAAGAGCGAGGCGGTCACTGCATCATACGCACAGCCGGTGCACATGGCCTGCATGTTTGCTGGTATGTGGTATGCGAATCTGTGCTCGCAGAGGTACCGTGGTTCGTGAAAGATGGCTTCGATCGACTGCATTCTTGATTGATAGGCTCTGGGATACCGACGACGAAAGTGTAAAGCATCACGGGATTCTCTTTCTACACGGGCTCAATCTCGCCGGCAATAAATCGGAACTGGACAGCGGAGTACTTCATAGAATCAAGGAGGGAAAGAGCGAGTGGCTACGCCGAAGTCGTCGCGTTTGTGTGGGGCGAGCTACAAGGAACCAATGTACAACGAGGTACTCCTGCAGCGGCACCACGGTACGAAGTAAAAGAAAAGGAATGATTGAAGAGGAAAAAACAAGAGAAATGTTTAGAGACGGATTGCCTTGCAGATTGCGACCGGCGTGGCTTCAAACCCATTTCTCGAGGCGACCCCAGCAGCCCAGCCAAAGGACTGGGTGGACATGGGCAGGTTTTATCACAGAGGGCGGCAGCTGTCCACTAGCAAGCCGCGAATGTGCGTCGTGGGTCTGTTTAGGCCATTGTATCGTTTGTATCGGTTGTATCATTTTGTCTCGTTCGCCCACCATGCGCACTACCACCCCCGTTGTTACACTTTGTCCAGACAAAAGGAAGCCGCCCTGTTTCGTTCAGACCAAGGCCTCCTTCTCAAAACGGTCATAGTCTCGTCGTGAAAGTATCCAAATTGGAAGGGCCACGGTTAAACTTTGGTCTGTTGCAGTGTGGCGTTGGTGGGAGCAAGCTTTGTGCAGATTGAAGCGCGTGTGGCTCTTCGCTGCTGGTTCCTTTTCCCATCGCCTCGGAGCCACCATTGCTTTGACATCCTGTCTCGGACCCTACTTCGACCGGTGAGGAAGTTGCTGCCACTGCCCTTCCTTCAACTGATATCAGAGTTTTACGACATACTCCGTTCACATTAGCAAGTAGCATTCAACGTCCGCTTGCTTTCCACAGCAATTTGTCCCAAACTTGGGTCAAGATACGATACTTCACTTGTTCTCCGGCCTAGAATGGCCCTCCGTCCAGCCACCTCTCCCTACAGTCATTACTGGACTGGGCCCAGCCCACCCGCAAAACGCCTCCATTCTAATGAGTACGAGACATACGGTGGAAAGGAGCCACATGAATGGTACGTCGGCGTACCTGACTAGCGGGGTACTTCTGTCTTTGATTCCTGTGCTGTTTTGTTGTCTCTGTGGCGCTCCAACGTATTTACTACCTGCTCAAATGGCAGGGCAAGAAAAGTCGAGTCAAAAGATTTAATGCGATGAAAGCACATGTCTTTCTGCGCCATACATTCTGTTGGCTGTTCTACCTGTCTGCTTGCTGCCAAAGAGGGAGTACGGGGTGATATGTCGCACAAGCAAAGGCACTGAGGGCAAATTAGAGAACGAGCGCAGGTAGAAGAAAACGAGAACGTAAGGCAAGAGTGGCAAGCGAAACTGAAAACAACGGCGCTAGCGCCATCGATCTTAGCCCAAAAAGTACGCCATGGACTGAACTTTGGCCTACCTCCGTCGTCGTCATATTCCCTGTCCTCGTATGAAACTGGGCTGCCGGCCCGTGTTAGTCGTTCTGGTGCCGTTCAAACAATATTCCCAGAAACATGTTCCGTCTCCTGCTCCTCGTTTGCTCTCAACGTGGCTGTCACAGTCCGTTTTGCTAATTTATGATTTTTGCATGTCGTACTCCGTGTCCATGTATGTCCCTTGTGTATCGGTCGCTCCTTCCCTCCATGCTGTTCTTCTTTTGCATCCAAACGCTTGGCCCTTGCCCTTTCGAATTTACGCTGCACTCGTCTCCCGTGGCCACGCCCTCCCCCAGTTTGCCTTTTGTTTTAAAGGCTCCCTCGTTTTTCTTTGTAGCATCTCTCGGGCGTCCTCTGCGGCGTACGGAGCGTTGCACTATTCTCCTGTGCCATCCCTTGCGATGCTGCCTGGTCCGTATTGGGGCCGGAGGGCATACTTCGTCTTCATAAATTAGGACTCTTCAGCTGTTCAACATCGTGTCTCTTGTCCTCCTCAGACCAGCAGAGCAGTCTTTTGTTAAACACACCCTTTAGCTTTTATTCGCCTCCCCTGGAAGTCTTGCTCCTTCCCTTTTTTATGTTTCAATGCCCCTCTCCCCGTTCCTTCCTCTTTACTTCTTTCCCTCTTGGCCATATTGTCTCTCTCCTAATTTATTGTTTTTCCTTTCACTTTCTTATTTTTATTATTCTGCCTTGGTCTTTACTTTAGCCTCCGCGCATTTCTCTTTGTTGACCCCCTTGCCTCCTTTTTGTTGTTGTTGCTGCAGCTCCCCTCTCTCAACCTACTATTCTGTCCACTTGGAACTCGGGCTCCTTCCTTGTTTGTATGTCGGCTCGGTCGCAGCTTCCTCTGCAACCAGACAACGCAACTTCCCAAGCGGCCGTCGTTGCTCCTCGTGCGTAATTCTCTTTTGCTTCTCTCAGAAGCACCAAGACGCCGGAGGACCATAATAACGCCTCTTTGATAGCACCGCACAACCTTCAGCCGATCTCGTCTCTGCCTATGCACTAGAGTCTGCTCGCCTTTCTCCCTCCCTACAGAACACCTAATATACACCGCCGACTTCTTCATACCGGGACCTACAATCTGTTCTCCTGACGAGACACACCCTCATCGAGTGTGTTTGCGTGCGACCGCGGCCTCCTATTTATTTCTTGATTTCGTCCCTAGGAACTACCTATTACGACTGCATCCCTACTTGTTCCTACTCTCGCAGCACCTCCGGACTTCCTCGTCATGTCTCTTTTCACCTGGTGCGCCCGACGGTCGGGCGGCCTCGCCATGATCTGGCTTGGCATCCTCAGCTATTGGGTTATATCACGAGAGTCGGCGGCTTCACGATATGGCTACCAGGCCCAGCCAGACGACAGCTTAAGTGCTCCACGCTACTCGCCCAACGGCGCCGGCATCTGGACCGTCATCTTCTCATGGTACTGCCTTTTAATTCACGTCATGGTCTTCACATTCCCCCTACGCGCCTGCTGGGCCATCTGGGACCTCACTACTTCGCTCCGCAAGTCTGCTCGCAACAGGCCACTCAAGGACTACAAGCTTGGCCACCGCCGCCGGAGTTCATCCACGTCTCTGTCCAGTTCCGTGACGCTCACCTCGTCCCGCGCTTCGTCGAGCGCCAACAGCGATGCTGGCGATGCTGATACCGAATTCACTACCGACTCCGAAGCGGACCAAGGCCGTGTTATCCACGCGATTATCATTCCCAACTACAAGGAAGAAATGGACACGCTTCGCGAAACTCTCGATGTTCTAGCATCACACCCGATGGCCCGCAGCAGCTACGATGTATGTTATATTGATTCCACCATGCTCCGTTTCTCACTGGCATGTATTTGAAAGACAACGGACCACTAACTACCGCCCCTCCAGGTGTATCTTGCCATGGAGCAGCGTGAGAGCAATGCTGACGTCAAGGCCATGTCCCTCATCGCCGAGTTTGTTAAGAAGTTTCGCAGCATTGACTTCACACTGCACCCTGCTGATCTACCCAATGACTGTCCTGGCAAGGGAAGCAATGTCGACTGGGCAGCACGCAAGCTGAGCGAGAAATATCTGGTCGCTTGCCGCAAGGACGTCATAGTCACCGGCATTGATGGTAAGTCAGGCTCTTTCCCTCCATGGAGCATCGGGACTGTTCGCTAACCATTGGCTCTTTTTTCTTCGCCCTCCCTTCAGCTGACAGTCACTTGTCGTCCAATTTCTTTGCTCTGGTCACCAAGATGCACCTGACTTTTCCGGAAACGGCTACCACGACCCTCTATGCTGCTCCTATCATCTTCGACCGCAATGCTCACAGCGTCCCTGCCATTGTCCGTGTCGCCGACATTCTGTGGTGTGCCGCTGGTCTTTCGGGCCTGTACCGCGGATCGACCATTTCCCCTCCCACATCCGTCTATTCGCTCCCTCTTCAGCTTGTTGACCGTGTTGGTGGCTGGGACTGTGACTCCGAAGCGATTGGCGAAGACCTGCACATGTACCTCAAGTGTTTCTTTGCTTTGAACGGCAATCTGACCGTGCGGACTGTTCTTAGCCCTATCAGCCAGACGAACGTCACGGCCGGTGGCTATGGAAAGGGTGTGGGCGGTCTTGTCTCGGACATGCGTGCTCGCTATAAGCAAGCTTTGCGCCACATGTGGGGTGCGCTCGATACCGGCTTCGCCCTCCGCAAGATGGCCGAGCTCTGGCGGAATCGCAAGCAGACGTCGCGCACTTTCCGCCCCCTACATGCCTCTTTGAACGCCTTGACCGACAACTACGTTCCTGATGTGCAACTCGATACCTTTACCGACAGCGTCAGCTCAGACCAGGCTGTTGACAACGGATTCTTCTCTGATATTACATGCGAAACCATCAAGGGACCCAACTATTTCCGCCTGATAGTTCTGTTCCACCGACTCTTTGAAGCCCACTTTCTTCCTGTTCAGATGACCATTCTTGTTATTGCATCGACTCTGTACATGTGGGTGACCGATGGTGCCGACGACATCCACCGCGTCAACTGGATCTTTGAGATTTGCACGTACCTTCGTACGCTCGGCTTCATGGAGATTGCGTTCTACCTCTTCATGTACGAAAACTTCCATAAGATTGCTGTCGCCACTCGCGAAAAGGAGATGATTGATGCCGGTCTCGCTAAGGGCATGAACTTTTCGTATCGCACCCTGAGAAAGAACTTTATCGACTACGTTATGGTCCCGTTTGTCGCTCCCATATACGGCGCGATCCCTTGTGCCCAGGCGCAAATATGCCATTTCTGGACTGTGGATTTGGTATACACCGTCAGCAAAAAGGTCACCCGTCAACGGGCAAAGTCGGCATCCCCCGAAGCCATGGCATAAGAATTGACAGGAGACGTGCCCAGAGCAGACCTTTCCTTTTCCAAACCTTTTGTTTCATTTTCGCCCTTTTTTGCCCTACCACCTTTTAATCACAACTTATCGTTTTCACCATCTATATACCACTCGCTTTCTACCTTGAATCTCGGGAGATGAAGCCCGGGACCTGCCGTTTTCGACCTACGGACAGCAGCTACACACGTTTACCGTCAAAAGCTGGAACAGAGTCCCACTACCATATCCGCCTCGATATTTGTTTCGGGCAGTTGAGTTTTGGCCTCCTTTTCGCTTCTCACCCCATACCACATTGTGTACATAGACGGTATAACGTGGGATTATGATGCATGTTACAGCTTGTGCAAGCGGCATATAGAATTATGGTCTTGGTACATTTTCCAGTCTCAACTTGCCCTTTTTTTATTCCCTTTTCTTTACCCTATATTTTTTGTTCGTTGTCACCCCCTTTCTGGTTTGATGAGGGCCTATGGAGTTCTTGGAGCAGATCACGGGCCGGACATGGTCCAGCATGCACTCGCTACCTTTGAGATATTATTCTCATTTTTGACTGGTTGGAAAGACACATCACGGACAGACACCAAACGCAGCGGTGTCGATTGGGTGGCGCAAGCGGGAAAGAACACCCCAGCGGTGCCATTTTCGTCCCGATAATACCTAATAAGACGCATGTAAATAAAGAATCAATTTCTTATGATATCCATAGCGACCAACATTTGTTTCTAAAAGAATGCTCTGCGATAGCTATGACAAGACATAACATTTGTGCAAAGTGAAGATGGATGGGGGATCCTTGCAAATAATCACGTGTAAGTGGATTGGCATCGACTTTTGGGCCATCGTCTCCTGGTCACTTATCGATAAAGATGTTTTTATTCAGTTTGGTCACCGCCTTTTTTGGCTGTGCAACTGAACAACATTTTCCAGGGGCAAGAAGCTGCTAGCAGCGAAAACTCAAAAGGTAAAAGTGGACACCACTCTTCACGGCTCTGGCTCCTTCATATTCTTGAGGCTGTCCAATCACGCCGGGCGAACTAACCCCACCACATGCTCCTCCAATACGCGGTGAGCTTGAAGCCTTGCCGAAACAGCGGTTTCTGCCATACGGCCGCCTGTAAACCTGCAAGGCGGCGGGCATCACTAATTTTTTTTTAGTTCTTTTTTTTCTGCCAGAAGAAAGACTTTCCTGGCCAACCAGAAGGCGCCAGGACCCATTTAATTTTTTTCCTGGCCTGTCGTCGCCTCGTTACCAGAAAAAAAAAGATTTACAGTTTTTCCTGTCGCTCCGGCTCTTGTTCGTTTTGACCTCTTCTCTTCTTCATCTCTCCTTCCTTTGCTTTGCATCTTGATTTTCTTTTCATATTTCGCATTTGCAATCATTCTCTACCCTCGCATAGCTGCCTAGATCTGTACATCTGTTCTTTGCAGTCACCATCTTTCATTTTCACCCTTCACAAACACACCACACATCACAATGTCTCAGCAGGGCGTTTTCGGCCTTGAGGTGCCGCCTGGCGGCGTTCTGATCCCGGTCGGCCTGGACCTTCCGGCTACGGTACGTTTGTTTTTTTTGGCTATTCTTGCTGCAATAGCTGGCAATTGTAACTTGCGGCCACTGCGGTGGTTGTTGTCGTGCACGCTACGATTGCGTTTTCTTTTACCAGGGCTCGCCTTTGCCATCTTGTAATGCCATATACTAACATTGCATCTCGTCGCAGATTCACATTTCCATGGCTGCACTGGACCCCACGGCTGAGGCCGAGGCCGACGACAAGGGCAACATTCCGTCTACGGGTCGCTCGACCCTGCGCATTGTGCGCCGCCCCATTGACCTGTTCAGCGAGGACGACGATGAGGACTCCGACGATGAGTACCTCCGCAGCATTCTTGCTGGCAGCGATGACGACGAGAGCGACGACGAGCCCAACGGTGGCCCCAGCGACCCGTCCAAGGCCCGCCGCAAGCAGGAGCTCCGCGCTCTCCTGGCCGCTGCCGAGGCCGAAGACGACGAGGATGAGGACGAGGATGATGAGGACGAGGACGCTGAGATGGCGGATGCTGCTGCTATTGTCAACGGGGCTTCCAAGAAGAAGAGCAAGGCCACCAAGGCTGCCGCTTCTGGCAAGGGCAAGGAGCCTGCCACTGAGGAGGATGAAGAGGACGATGAGGACGAGGATGATGACGAGGATGACGATGACGAGGACGAGGACGAGGACGATGACCTGGTCCTTGAGGACTTTGTTGTCTGCACCCTGGACACCGAGAAGACGTACCAGCAGCCGCTTGAGCTGACCATTGATGCCGGCGAGACTGTCTTCTTCTCTGTATTTGGCAGCCACACCGTCCACCTGACGGGCAACTACTTTGTCGATGGCGAGTACGATGACAGCGATGAGGAGGATTCGGACGACGACGACTACGACCTGCCTCCCGATATTGACCTGGAGGAGCTGGACAGCGACGAGAATGACGAGCTCGATGAGCTCGACGAGATCGCCGGCCGCATCGAGGAGGTCGACTCGGACGAGGAGGCTCCCCAGCTGACCGACGCCAAGAAGGGCAAGGGCAAGAAGCGCCCCGCTGAGGATGCCGAGCCCAGCCTCGACGACCTGATTGCCAAGTCGGGGGCCGACGAGACCAAGCCGAGCAAGAAGCAGGCCAAGAAGCTCAAGAACAACGACGGCGACGCCGTCGCTGCCCAGGAGGAGAAGGACAAGAAGCGTGTCCAGTTCGCCAAGACCCTTGAGCAGGGCCCCTCCGGCTCGACCGTTAAGGAGGCCGCTGCCAAGAAGGACGCTGCCAAGGACGCTGCCAAGGACGCTGCCAAAGACGGCAACAAGGGCAAGCTTGGTGTCAAGGTTGTCCAGGGCGTCACCATTGACGACCGCAAGATCGGCTCGGGCCGCGTCGTCAAGAACGGCGACCGTGTCGGCATGCGCTACATTGGCAAGCTCGAGAACGGCAAGGTCTTCGACTCCAACAAGAAGGGTGCGCCGTTCTCCTTCCGCGTTGGCAAGGGTGAGGTCATCCGCGGCTGGGACATTGGCATTGCCGGCATGGCGATTGGCGGCGAGCGTCGTCTGACCATCCCCGCCTCGCTAGCCTACGGCTCCAAGAAGCTCGACGGCATCCCGGCGAACAGCACTCTCATCTTCGATGTCAAGCTGCTCGAGATCAAGTAAACCCGCCAAACACGCAACTCAAAAATACGTTTCTGAAACATAACAAAAAAAGGAGCGGAAAGGGGAGACACGACAAGGAGATGATGCCAGGCGCAAAAGACAGAAAGACGAGGTAAGGGGACAGAACAAAGACGGACATCCAGGCGTCCCTGTACTATAATTGCATTTGCCTGCTTTGCCCGTGCGGTGCCTTATCTGGGTTCTATCCTCTGCCTCATTACTTGCTTGTGTCTTCCTCGCTGTTTGTGTAGTTATTTGTTTACTAGGATGCATTGGTCATGTTTTCCCTATGGTTTTTAAAAATTGGGTTGTTATTTCGTCAGTCTTTTGCTGTTGCACTTTCATGCGTCTGGCCAAATGTGCCGTTTTCATGGACGTTGTTTGTTGCATTACAAACCTTTCCTATATTTTCATATGTCATTATCTGTTGTCATTTATATAATATTGCTTCACGAACGTTTTGTGTCTCGCTACATGTGCTTATTAGCGCATGTATAATCTAAACGAACAGCATTACTCTGCTGACTTCGAAGTCTGCTACCGTCTTCATAAAACGAGACCTGCAATCACCATCAGTCGCTCGCTCTTTCCATGGCTGGTGATGCTAAGCCGTGGAAAGATACATATCGGCTAAGCAGGAAGGTGCAACACTCTGCACCGTGTCCGTGTCTTCATGTGTTCGTCGTAGTTTCCCTGCCATTGTTTGCTTGTTTTGATTTCGCTGCTACCCCTTTTCGGCCACTTACTATGCTAGTCTCCTGATCCTGACCTTGTTCATTTACACTCTGGCACATTGTCGAAGCATCGAGCCGCGACACCGGCTTCGTGGCCACTCTTGCGATTGTCTACTGTATTTTTCTCCGTTATCGTTTTGTTGCCTATATATTTTTTATCCCAAGTCGAATCGCTTCTAATCGTGCTCGACGAAAGATCTCTTACGCAGAATCGTTATCACACCCACGACAACCCCCAGAATCGCCTCCCCCTATCATCGCCCATCATGGACTCTACTAAAGACGAGGCCTCTCGCCAGAATCGCACTTTCTCCGGAAACGCAACCAGCGTGAAGAAATTTGGACACTTGCTCGCATTCGCTCGTGCCCCAGTGGCAATCTTCCGAGACCCTACCTGCAAGAAGCGCTCCGTATCAAGCCCCGTCGCTGTCCTGCCTGGGCCCGCAGCCCGGGGTAGCTACTACATGAAATACTACCAGTGCAACAACTCGTTTGTGATTACCAAACCGACAGCGCTCGACCTGCAAATGCCCAGCGCTCCGCAGTCTTCCGAGTCAACCGCGACGCCGACTAGCGGCAGCCAAACGCCGCCTTCAAACAACGGTGCGTCTGACACGCAACCATCGACAATCGGATCGCCACAGCTACAATCGGTCAACATCAAGAAAGACGAGCCCATGGTAGACATTGATATCGACTGCAAGAGCATCTTTCCGACGCCGACTCTTTCGACTGCCAATGTCGACCTTGACCCCAAATTGGCGCCTCCCGTCAAAGATCCCGTCAAGGCGGTCACGGTAGAAAAAGAGGCTTATGTGCCGGTGTTGTCTCCGCCTCGAGAGACAGCTCTTTCCGGAGTTCGCCCTGGGGACTGTCGTCTGAACAATGGGCCAAAAGATTCAAACGCACTTATCACCATACCTGACAAACCGGTCGTTCTGGAGAGGCCCTCGGTAGTAACTGTCGAGCTAGCTGCTGCAGCCAAGATATTTCTTGAGATACACTACAATGAGCTCCTCCGTGGGCCGACACCCCGGGCTCTAAGGGCTTACCATGTAGAGACTCAGCTTGTCAACGCACGGAATCTGACCTCTGGGGGGCGACAAGCCTATCTCGAAGCATTTTATCGAGCAGAATCCTTCCATTTGAGGGAAAACCGCGTTCTCAAGGCAAGGAGTACCCGGTCTCTCCTCTTAGATGAGGGCAACGGGCCCTCTCTTTTGCATGCGTCAATATGCGCAGCAGACTTTGAGATGCTCAAGATCCTCGGCAAAGGAAGCTTCGGCACCGTCCGGCTCGTCCGTGAAAAGCCGGCCGCGTTCGACAGTCTTGCTGTCGCCAAGGAAAAGCGCAAGCAGGTGTACGCAATGAAAGTCATCCGCAAGTCCGAAATGATTCGTTCGGGGCAGGAAGGCCATGTACGGGCCGAACGTGACTTTTTGGTCTCATCCGAAGGATCAAACTGGTGAGTATTTTGCGCTTGTTGTCCTGGTATGAGCGCTTCTAACTATTTTAAGGGCTGTGCCACTGATTGCAAGTTTTCAGGATGTCGCCAACTTGTATCTTGTCATGGAGTACATGCCTGGCGGTGATTTCCTCGGTCTGCTTATCCGAGAAAACATTCTCGACGAAGCAGTTACCCGATTTTACATTGCAGAGATGATTCTTTGCGTTGAAGAAGCACACGCTCTGCAGTTCATTCACCGAGACATCAAGCCCGACAATTTCCTGATCAGCGCATCAGGCCACTTAAAAATCTCAGATTTTGGCCTGGCATTTGACGGCCACTGGAGTCATGACTCTAAGTATTACAGCAGCACACGATACTCGCTGCTTCAGAATCTTGGCATTTATGTACCGGGCGATGAGTTGGACCGACAGAAAGATGAGAGTGTCGGAAGGCCCGGGACGATGGTATGCAGTAGCAGCATGATGTCAAGCTTGGAGAAACACCAGCGACCGCCAGATGCCGACAACAAAGAGCCGATTCTCCAGTGGCGGAACAGATGCGGCAACCATTATTCGGCGACAAGCGTCGTCGGCACAAGTCAGTACATGGCACCAGAAGTCGTCAGGGGAGAAACCTACGACGGCCGCTGTGATTAGTGGAGCATCGGTGTGATCTTCTACGAGTGTCTTTACGGCCGCACGCCGTTTCTCTCCGACGAGGGCAGAAACGAGACAAAGAAAAACATTACTGTGAGCTTCTTTCTTGGTCGCAGGAAGGAGCACCAGATTGTTACAATTTCTGACAGCCTATTTAGAACCACGAAACTTCATTTACCATCCCGTCTTGGCCGCCAGTATCACGACGATGCCGACAACTTCTAACTGCCTTGGTGACCGACAAGTCTCAACGTCTTTGTTCGAAACGGTACCGGCTCAAGGATACAGCCATCTCCGAGCTGGAGCGGCTCGATTCCCGAGACGGCTCCACCGTCATGACGGACAATGGCAGCACGGCCAGCCGAGATGGCTTCGGACTCGCGGCCGGACGCAGCATAGCCCGGCAATATGTGTTTCCCTACGACGCCGAGGATATCAAATCACACAAGTTCTTCAAGGGACTGCCATGGGAAAGGCTGTACATGATGCCACCCCCATTCGTACCGAAATTACGGACGGAAGACGACACACAATACTTTGATGATAGTTTCAAATCCGACACCGATGGCAGCTCCGAGTCTGCGTCAGAGGCAGATAAGAACGAAGCCGTACGCGCTCCCTCCACTCCCCCCAAAAACGACGACTTGATGGAAAAGGATTATGCAGCAAGCAATAAGAAGGAAATGGCAGACAGAATCGATGAGGCGCTGCAAGGCTTCGACGTGAATATTCAAATGAGGGCCCTTACCTGGGTTGCTACTCCATTCGACTCGTCTCGGCTCAAGGCCATTGAAGCAGAGATCGGACAGCTGGTCGCCTTGGGCCTCCCTATGGCCGATGGCGAGGCGCTTATTCGCTTTGTCGCAAAGTTCGGAAAGAAGGAGCGAAAGCGCCCACGCGACCGGCTTCTGCGAAATGCCAAAACAAAGAAGATCTCGATGGAGCTACGCAAGCGAAACGCGTTTCTGGGATACACTTGGCGGAGAATGAACCCGCACACAACATTGACTAACTATGACCGGAATGAGGAGGGCAGCCTCGCTGTGATGCGGTCGTCACACCGTGGATGCTTCTGAGTAGATTGGGACGTGTAGCTGGAATAGAGCATACAAAGTTATTAATATTAGTTTTGCGGTATCGATTAAAAGGACTAATTAAAAAGAAAGTTGATAAAGACGTGCGCACGCTTGGAAATCCTAGAAATCAAATGTGCCTGCCACGTTTATTTGTCTTGTGAATGCGAGGATGAGGCGCGGACAGCCGAAGCAGCGGCCTTCGCATTGCAAATCTCCCAGTGAAAGTCCTTGATGTAGCGGATCTCGGAGCCGAAAAAAAGCAGGGCAATCAGTCCGTCGACGACGCCTGTGGCAAGGCCCAGGCTGGCCAGCAGGGTCAGCAAGAAGGCGACAAAATTGCGCGGGCTAAACCAGACGGCAACGTAGCAGCCAATGGTGACGGCGACGGACACGAAAAAGTGCACGCTGCGCCAATACCGCTGCTTGAGCTCTCGCCGCATGTAGCGGTCGGACTCGGCCAGGACGCTGTCGTAGGCGGAGTGGGGCACGGTCGGGATGCCGGAAGTGTCTGCTGCGGCCGTCGCAGTGGCCGGCTCGCGCACAAGGGTCACAGCGACGGCATAGTGGTCGCTGACGGAGCAGCCGAGGGTGGGGTGGGGCTCGACCATGGCGACACGGGCCGCCTTTGTGCGCCAGACGGGGCGTTCGGGGGTAGTAGAAAAAGTCGCACCCGGATGACACGGCGCGGCGTAGAAGACGTAGTCGAGGCGCTTCGCAGCCGGGTCGGGCGTATCTAGAGCGACGACAAACTCGCTGTCGATGTCCTCGTCAGCCGCTGGTTTCCTCTGTTGCTGTTGGCGCTGGTGCCGTCGCTGGTAGCTCTTGTGCAGGCGTTTTTGCTTGTCCTTGGGCCAGCGCCAGGTGTTGAGGACATTGTCGGAGGCGGTGCCGTTCTCGGCGAGGTTGAAGGCGGCCGTAGGGATGGTCTGTTGGCCGTGGGGCGAGAGTTGGCGCTGCCGGCCCTGCTCGAGCGGGTTGTACGAGTTGCCGAGCGCGGCGTTCGGGTGCAGGTCGCGCCATGTGTCGTGGAGGACAAAGTTGGTTGAGGTCGAGGATGAGAGCACTGGCGAGGCCGCGTTCGCGCCCAGATACAGCGACTGGTACTGCAGCGAGTCGGGCGTCATGTTGAAGTCGCCCATGGCCAGCACCAGCCGTCCCCGCTCCGCCGCCGCCCGGATGCGCTTGCCGGCCTCCCACGTCTGCGCGACCTGGTGCAGCAGGTATGAGTCGTCGGGCCGTCCGCCCTCGTAGGGCGCGTGCGTATGCGTGACGAGCACTTCGACGGTCGTGCTGTCGTCCACGCGGATCGTCGCGCTCGCCAGGCCCTTGCCGACAAACCAGTCGCCACGCCAAAAGGCCGTGGGGCGACCATTCAAAGAGTATGGTGTCATGCTGGTCTGGGTAATGGGCCAGCGTGAGAGCACGGCGAGGCCGGCGCCCCAGACGCCGCCGTAGAAGAACTTGGCAAAGGGCAGGGCATGGCGAGTGAGGTTGTGGATGGCCTCAAAGTCTTCGTGGCACCAGCACTCTTGAAGGGCAACAATGGAGAGGGGTGTGGTCGAAGGTGATGAAGGCGATGATGATGATAGTGGTGGTGTCGACGACGTCTCGGCCAGGGCGGCAATACGACGGCCAATCTCGGCGAGACGCTCGGTGCGAAGTGCCGAGATGTACTTGAGGCCCCAGCAGTTGAGCGTGAGGGCGCTGATTTCCAGGGGCTCAGACATGGTGGGTATGGAGCGGGTGCAAAGGTACCTCGAATTCAGGTAGAGTGGGGAGAATGGCGAGTCGGTGTATTAAGAGATCGACAGTAATTGGAGAATTGGAGACTTGACGTCGCGATGAATGGTTTAGAGTCGCGAGGTTTCCGGCGAGTCCGGTAGAAGAGAGGCGGTGCTGCACTGACAGTTGACAGTGACAAACGATGTCGCGACAAGGCTGACCAGATCCATAATGGCACAGAATAGCGCTAGTGGACCGTCTAAAGCTTGAATCCGTCCACTTTTAGGGGATGGTTCATTATGACCAGGAGCCTAGATGCACTGTAGGATTAGCGGGCTACAGGGGACGACGGTACGAGCCAACTCAAACAATTGAAAATCGACGACGAAAACGTCCCTTGGTGGTATCTTGTTCGATAAATACACACATATGTTTCCAAACGCCTAGCACTTGAATACCGACGATGGTCATCCTCATACTGATCATCGCAGTGCAAAAATAACCATGAACGATACGTGACGTTTGAAAAGCCGTATACCCTGCCATGGACGACGGGAGGAGGGACTTTAATGTTCATCATGGTGCCTGATGAGATGAAGAAGGGGAAAAGAAATAGTAAGAAAAATAGCAGGTAGCGAAATCAGAAGGAAGACGAGCATAGGAATATGCGAATGGAAGAATAGAGCGACAGAAGAAAAGCGACGAGGAGAGGACGGAGGGCGAGGAGCAAAAGATGAGCTCACTTCTGAAACACGCCTATCCCGACGCCAGCCCCAGAATCTATCCCATCGTAAGTGTGCACGCGTTCGCAGTAATACAACAGCCAGATATTAAACTCGGTGTTGATTCTGTGGACTCAACGGACAAAGACCACCCCAAGAGGTCGAGATGATGTCGCAAGGTAGCCTTGTGCAAAGTATGTCGTAACGAGGATAGGCCCACTATACTCCCACCACGTGATTGTCCAAGCTAATTGCCGTTTACGGCAATCCCGTCTAAAAAATTCAGCCTTGCTCTTACCTCCGCTATTGATGGCACCAAACTGCATTGAAAATCCATAAAATTCTCATTCTCAGTGGCCAACGTCAACATCCAACGTCGAACGAACATCACATCAGCGGCAAAGAACCGCAAAACCGCACAGCATGTCCACGGCACCCAAGTCCAAGCGGCGAAAATCCGAGCAAAGGTCCAGGCATGTCTACAAGGTCGGCAACGGCTTTATTGACCTGGACTTTTTCCTCAACGGCCCTTCGAAAAAGGATGCCGACGACGAGGTCATAAAAGAGGCAGAGTCAACGACAGAACCAGGGGCAGAGGCGTCTCCTATACAAGAGAGGCCGACACCCTATGATGCCACGGACCAGGAGGAACAGCCAGGATCCGATGCGGATGGCGCCGCTCTGACCTCTGGACACCGCAAGAGACGGCGAGGCAAGCAGCGAGGCGGCGACGGCGGCCGTTGGCGCGACGACTACATCACGGGTGATCCGTCTCTGTTTGCCACGCGGAAAGCCCTGCCCATCTGGGACAGCCGCAACGCAATCCGGCAGTCCCTGAGCACGAACGACGTGCTCGTCCTTGTCGGCGAGACAGGTTCCGGCAAAAGTACGCAGGTGCCTCAGTACCTATGCACAGAACCCTGGTGCACGGGTCTTGTGGCCATTACACAACCGCGTCGAGTGGCCGCGACCACGCTGGCCAACCGCGTGTCGCGTGAGATGGGCACGCCACTCACAGGAATCGATGCGAACGACCCCAATGCACGTGGCCGCGTGGGTTACTCGGTGCGGTTCGATCACAAGGTACCAAAGGGCACCAAGGTCAAGTTCCTGACAGAGGGAATGCTGTTGCAAGAAATGGTGCGAGACCCGGCGTTGCGGCAGTATAGTGCGGTCGTCGTGGACGAGGTGCACGAGCGGAGCGTGGACGCGGACCTGTTGTTGGGCTTTCTGAGGCAGATACTGCAGTCGTCTGCCAAGGGCCGAGCGGCCGCCAACGACGACGACAGTTCGGCGCGTGCTCTTGGAAAACGGCAACAGCGTGACAGCAGACACCCTCTCAAAGTGGTGGTCATGAGTGCGACGGCTGACGTGAACAAGATCCACTCCTTCTTCACCACCGATGCTAATACGGTTGTTGCACCATCCGCGGCCCGTCCACAACACGCCAAAGTCGACGTCTTGCACATCCCTGGACGACAATTTCCCGTTGAGATCATCCACACGCCCGAACCCGTCGAGGACATCTTGGAGGCCCTGGTCAAGACTGTGTTCCAGATCCACGTCCAAGAGCCGCTGCCTGGCGACATCCTCGTATTCCTGTCCGGCCAGGAAGAAATCGATGCCGCCAAGCGCCTCATCGACGAACGAGCGGCTAACCTTGTGTCCAATGTGCCCCATGTCGAGTCCTGCCCTCTCTACGGCCAGCTGTCCATCGAGGCCCAGAACAAAGCCTTCCAACCAGCCAGCCGCCCCTTTACGCGCAAGGTCGTGCTCGCCACCAACATTGCCGAGACGTCCGTTACTGTGCCCGGTGTACGATATGTCGTCGACAACGGCAAGGCCAAGGTCAAAATGTTTCGCGCGCGTCTGGGCCTCGAGTCGCTGCTGGCCAAACCCATTGCCAAGTCATCGGCCATCCAGCGCGCCGGCCGTGCCGGTCGCGAGGGTCCGGGCAAGTGTTACCGACTGTACACGGAGCAATCGTACAACCAGGAGCTGGCACCCGTCGAGCTGCCCGAGATCTTGCGCATTGACCTTCTGGGCGCCGTACTGACCATGAAGGCGCGCGGCATCGACAACACGTTTACGTTCCCGCTCATGGACGAGCCGGACCACGACCTGATGGAGCGGTCGCTGATTCAGCTGCGCCGACTGGGCGCGCTGGCCGATGACGTTACCATCACCGAGGACGGCCGGACCATGTCGCTGCTTCCCGTGTCGGCGGCGTTTGGCCGCGTGCTCCTAGACGCCGCGGCGGCGGGCTGTCTGCTCGAGGCCATTGACATTGTGGCGTGCCTGACGGCGGGCGACGACATCTTCTTGCGGCTGCAGTCGGAGCAGGACCGCGACGACGTCGACGAGTTCCGCAAGGAGCTGTTCCGGCGCGAGGGCGATCTGCTGACGTACCTGACGACCATGCAGCGGCTCGTCACTGTGCGCAGCAACCTGTGGAAGCCGTGGTGCCAGCAGCGCCGCATCAACCTGCGCAACATGCGCCAGGCGCTCAACATTCGCCGCCAGCTGCGCGGCATCTGCGTTCGGCAAAAGATGCTCGCCGCCGAAGACGTGGCCGAGGCCAACGAGGCGCTCTCGTCGTCCGAAGACAGCTTTGTGCCCCTACCGCCCGACCGCACAGACGCCCTGCTGCGCTGTTTCCTGAACGGATTCGTCCTCAAGACGGCCATGCTGGCGCCCGATGGCAGCTATGTGACGACGGAGGGCAAGCACGTGGTCGCCATCCACCCGTCGAGTGTGCTGCACGGCCGCAAGACGGAGGCCATCATGTACCTGGAGCAGGTCTTTACCACCAAGAACTATGCGCGCAAGGTAAGCGCCGTGCAGAGCGACTGGATTGTCGAGGCGCTGCGGTCGCAGCAGATCTGAAGTCGTGCCCTTTCCAGGCAGCTGTACAACGGTCTCGACGCAGTTGTCATGCATTTTTGTGCATCATTTTTATCTTGTTTTATTTCTATTTTGATAGCGTGATCTAGACAATATATACCCTATCTTACAGTGTGCGCCCTTTACTCTTTACTTTTTGACGTACTTTTCTCCTATACCGTCTCCTGTCCACTTGGGTCCTCGCCGTCGTCTGCGCGGTGCTTTCGTATTGCCACCATCAGCTCGTACAGCTGGCCGACTTGTTGATCTACCATGCCTGGTTAACTTCACGAAGCAGACTGAGCATTGCCAGGGAGAATTGCCAGAGAGAACAAACTTACCATTCATCTTGGCCACCTTGACCGGGTCCAGCTTCTCGCCCACCCACGAATCGCCCTCGATTTTTTGCGCATACAGCTGCCACTCGGTTAAGAAGCCAATCTATCGAACTGTCAGTATCGAGCACGAACCAAAAAAAAAAAAAAAAAAAAAAAAAAAAAAAAAGAAAAAGAGAGAGAGAGTGTGTGTGTGTTCCACTCCCCATGCCGCCGCCAGCTGGACCTACCAAATGCTGCGGGTTGTCCACTTTGCGGTGTGCGCGAAACTCGGCCTTGATGTACTCGTCGCCCAGCGTGCGCATCTCGTGCGGAAGATGCTTGCGGTGCGCCCGCAGCAGCCGCCGGTACAGGGGAATTGGCGGCAGAAGCGCCATGGGCGCCGGCCGCAGACTGCCCGACTTGGGGCTCGCCGCAGCGGAGGCCAGGAAGCGGAGTGAAGGACGCATGTCGAGGGCGACGAAAGGAACAGAGAAGGAGGAGAAACGGGCCAGGAAAGTTGAGGAAATAGGTACCTCGTGGAGTGCGCGCGTCTGCCGGCCGAGGTTTAGGTGCCGGAGTTGTGTGAAAAATCCGGTACTCGAACGTGCGGTGGGCTTCTACAGTATAAACACTGTGCTATACAGTATGGCATAAGGGCCCTGTTCCGGGAGGTTTAACTTCAAAGCACACAGCCTACATCACAACATGTCTTTTGCATTCAAAAGGTCGCTTAAATGGTCTGCTATAAGTAAAGTGATTATTTGTCATTTGTTATTTTGATTTTCTATTTATTGTATTTCTTGTACCAAGCCCAGTCTTCCTCGAAAACCCAACGCCATACAAAAACCACGTAACTATCTGAATTTCTCCTCATCAACAATACTAATAGCAAAACGAGGGACGGAAATAAAAGCAAGCGGAGCACAAGAAACCTGTGAATCAAGTGACGAACAGCCAAACTTTTGAGCAAAAAGAATACCCGTCTTCGAGGCGGGTTATTGTCAACGGTTATGCGACTGTATGCAAAACTAAGAACAGAGATATGTACATGCTGGCGTTTGGTGGCTTGCCGGCAGAGAAAAGGGGGTATCAAACCGGAAAAAGGTCGGGTGTGTGGTAAACGCAGACGGGCCCATCCTCCTTCACAGCTCACGGTAGTCGCTCGGGCGCACGCGCTTCGGCTTGTTGAAGTGACGTGTCGGGTTGACGGGCTTTCTGAAGTAGGCATCGTCCTCGGTACCGCCATTCTTGTTGCCGGCCATATTCCCATCGCCATTGCCCAACTGCATGTTGGCCTGGTTGTTTCCATTGCCATTCATGCCTATGCCTATGCCGTTGCCGTTGCCGTTGATATTATTGTTGTAGTTGTTGTAGCCCTGGCCCTGGCCCTGATTCTGGTTCTGGTAGTTGTTGTATCGGTTATTGTAACCACCATTGCTATAACCACCTCGGTTGCCGTTGTTCCAGCCCTGGTTATGTTGATAGTTGTTGCCCCGATTGTAACCGCCGCCGCCGTTGTTGTTGTAGCCACCGCCATACCCGTTCATCATGTTTATCCCACTCATCCCGTTCATGCCCATCATTGGGTTCATCATGTTCATGTTGCCCATGTTTCCCATGTTTCCCATGTTTCCCATGTTGCCGCCCATGCCATAGTTCATCATCGGCATCCCGCCAAACGGCATCATGCCCATGTTGCCCATGTTCATGTTGTTCATGTTCATGCCCGGAATACCGTTCATTCCGGGCATTCCCATGCCCATCGCGTTCATGTCGCCCATGCCATTCATGAAGTTACCCATCATTTGGGTGTTGTGCTGCTGCTGCTGCTGTTCTTGTTGTTGCTGTTGTTGCATGGCCTTGGGCGCTTTGGGAACCTTGGGGTTCACGGCTTCCTCCTCGGCTGGCCGCTTCTTATTGTTGACTTCGCCAGCCGTTTCCTCGGTTGATTCGCCCTCCTTCTGGGTAACATCGGTGGTTTGTTGTGTGGTCGCTGATGCGGATGCCGCGATTGGCGATTTGCTGCCTGCTTTCTCCGCAGTCGCGGTCGCCGCGCCTTCAGGATTTAGTGATGGCGTTGTTTTGGTCGTTGCTGTTGCTGTCGACTCTGTTGCTGCGCCCGGGTCCTTTTTGGGGTCCTCCCCGGCCGTCGCCTTCCTCTGGCTGGCGTCCTTGTCCTTCTGGTAGGCTTGGATCCTCTGCTCGGCCTCCTCGTCCGCCTTGAGGTCGTCGATCAGAATACCCTCCGACTGGCACCCGGGGCAGACGAAGTCGCTCTCAATCAGCGCATTGGTAATGCAGTCGTTGCAGTACGTCTTCTCACAGCAAGGGGTCTTCATTGGGTCTATGAACATCTTTTTGTCGATCGGGCACTCCAGCCCCCGATCCTGCAACTCCTTGTCGCCGAGCGCCGCCACCTCCTGCGCCGCTGCACCCGACTTAGTCTTGGCCTGGAACTTCTCCCACGACGCCTTGTCGGGCTCGGCAATCACAAAGTCGCCGTCCGCATTGACCATGATGCCCGATGGCGCCTTGGTGTCGTCGTCCGCGGCTTGGGCCAGCACAGCCGCCTTGTCCACCGTCTTGAGGAACGACCGTGGTATGCCCGTCGTCCGCTTGACACGTGGCCGGTTGTCGAACTCGGGGTTGTCATTGGTTGGGCATAGCTGGATCCAGTGGCCCTTTTCGCCGCACCGGTAGCAGATGTAGCCATTGGGTGGTTCGTGGTCGGGCACATTGGCCGGCCGCCGGCTGCCTGGCTTGAATATGGGTGTTTGACTATAATGTGTTAGCAGATCATTCTCAAGGTGTGTTGTATTCATTCCAAAAACAGGGGCATAAAAAGGATCGGAGCATACTGTGACATCTCCTCTTGCTGTGCGTTCCACTGCTCCGACTGCGCCGCAAACATGGCGGCCAGCTTCTCGTCTTCTGTCATGGCGTTGTTCATCTGCTCAAGCGCATTCGACGTGCTCTTGGCCGCGGCCTTGGCCGTCTGCTCGCGCCGGGACGCATTCTTCGCGTTCACTGGCATCTTGCCCGACACATAGCGAGCTGCCCGGCCGGCGCCTGGTTTCATCGGCGGTAACCGCCGTGCCACAACGGTCGTCGACCGCGGGATGATGGTTGTGTCATCGTCGTATTCTGTCACTGTTAGCCTGCTGTCGTCTGTCTACAAATAATTGTACGAACAAGCCTCCTTACCTTCTTTTCCATCTTCGGTATATATCGCCAGGTCAAAGTCGGTGCCATCGCCGAGGCCGCTCTTGATGATAATGTCACGCTTCAGCTCGAACACCGAGATGCCCGTGCCGTCGAACTCCACTCGTGTTGGCTCTTTCTGAGACTTGAACTTGAAGTACACGGAAGACGACATCGTGACGGTTGATGTAGGATCGAACTTGTCGATAATGGGTGGCTGTTGAAGTGTGTTGTGTCAGGTCTGCCGTATGCGGTCTACGCAGGCAGTCCTGCTTTGTCAGGTAGATGAAGAAGACAGAGAACAAGAAAGTTGTGTAGTGAAAGGCAAGATGTAACCTGATTGTGATGATAATTATTGTGTCCTCCTGTTTTTAACTTTTTTTGTTTTTCCAGCTTTTCAGTCGTGACTCTGTTCTTTCTTTCCTCTTTCCTATCTCGTCCAGGAAATTCGCAAGCCTTTTCCTTTTCTTTGCTTTAGCAGGCAAAAAGGTTCATGGAATGGTTAAATCAATTTTTTGATGATACTCATGCGTGAGAAAAAAAAGAGAAACGGAGAGAAAGTAAATGAGTGAAAAAGCAAAAACACAAAAACGACAAGAAGAATAGTACAAAGGCTCCTGGCTTCTAGAAAACGCAGCCAAAAGAGACAAGTCTTTCTGCAGACAAGAGAAACAACAAGCAGGGGAGAATAAAAGGGGACCAACAGAAAATAAGCACAAAGGAAGAGAGCGACAGCACAGCAGTCGAAACACAACTGTCTTTCCCTCCACCAAAGTCGGCCTATATGGTTCTTTTGTTCTTCCTCTGCGTTTGTCTTCTTTCGTACAACCACGCTTTGTCTTGTCTCCCACGCAAAGCACACCCTCTTTCTGAACTTAGTTCGTTAGCAACCGGGCTCCTCGTTCTTGCGAGGGCGGTACGAGGGCACGCGCGAGTCTTGCTCGCTCGGTGTCTCGAAAGAATCTCTCAGGGAAGATGGCGAAGGCCGCGTTCGGTCGTCTCGACGATGCAGCTGGTGCCAATGCAATGCTGTGCGCTTCGCGTGTCCCGATGGTCGTCGAGTCGCTGAAGAGGCCGAAGAAAGTCGAAAACAAAAAGGGCCCAACGTGATGTGAATAGGGGCAAAGTACAGAAAAAAGGAACGTGATGGGAAACGAGAACACCAACGAAGATAAACGATGGTCGCGATGGACGCGGTGTTGTGAAGATGGATTACGAAAGGAAAGGGAAGAGAAATGAGAGTCCACGGAAGGCGAAGAAGTGAAATGAAGGGAGCAAGTCATGGAAAGGGATTTCGGAGGGAAGGGTGGCAAGGTCTTACTGGAGGGGAGGAGTGATAGGCACTTCAAAAGCCAAGTGGGCAGGGAGGCAGGTACTATGAAGCGAAAAGCACTAGTCCAAATTTGGATAAATCACGTGAGGCTTATTCAGCTCCAGAGAGACCTGTGACACGACATTCTCTGTCCTTCCATTTTCTTTTGCTTCCCCGCATCACGTGCACACTGAAGTCATGGATACGCACCGACGACAAAGACGAACCACCCAGTGCCTGCCTACCTGTCTGGGCCTAGCGGCATTTTCTCAGAGATTGGTGATTGGCTTGCTAAGACACGGACTTTGGACAAGTCACACCACCAATTCAACGGCTGGCTCGGGACAGAACAAAACGGACGTTCAACCGCTGTCTTTTAGCAAGGAGTTAGGGGCGTTGGGTTACGCTGACACTGCGTGGTTCGACGTATTTCTCGGCCTAAACTATGATCGAAAGTGGTCGTGTGGTCTGTACCTTCCCTCGCTCACACGTCGCCCACCTGTTTTCGCATTGTTCCTGCCGTCATCACTTGCCAGACGTAGCCATTTCCCCTCATTTTGTCTCTTGCCTTCCCCCTTTTCTATTCTTCTCCTTTTACATCGCATCGCCAGATTCTCTGTGCGCCTGATTAAACGTCGCTGCCAATACATCTGATTCTACATTTTGAACAACCAGTGTTCAACGACGAGTCGCCCTCTAAAGGTCGGCAATTTGAACGGGCCTGCCGATTCTCCACCAATTGCCATTTCCACTTTTTTCCTCCGTGCCGTTTTCTCCCCCAATTATTTTTTCCCTGCTAATCGCTACCCTCTTCCTCTCGAACTCTTTTTTCAATTGCCTTAACACATCCTCTCATGACATTCGACTGAACGGTATCCCAAGTCGCACGCAAGGCTCACGGCCGGTTGCAATTGTTTTCCCCTCTTCTTCTGCGTCTTTTCTTGAACATCCCAGCCTGACAACGCAAACTGGCTGTCCACCAAAGTTTGGATCGCTGAGCCTCTGTTTCTTCAAGCTCCTAAGGTCCAGATCCACGCGTGCACACGGCATACAACTGACCATTCGCCATCTCTATCCCATCTCGACTTGTCTAATCATCGGTCCCCTGTTTACCGCTCCTCTCTACCTCGACGTCTCGCCCTCGTTCTCCGACCCCTCGACGCCCGCCAATATGGTCCTTACGCACACGACCAACCACACCTACTCCCACCCCTTCCCGACGGTGACGCTGGCCTTCTTTCTCCGATACTGCTCTCCGCAGCTCAACCCGTTTGCCCAGCATGTCCTCAGTACCGACACCATCTCTAGCCAGGTCGACCCGGAGACCGGCCGGCTTCACACCACCCGCATCCACTTGAAAAAGTCGCGCCTGCCCAAGGCCGTCCTCAGGCTGCTCCCCACAAGCATCACTGGTGGCATGGCTGACAAGGCATCGTACATTCTGGAGACGAGTGTGGTGGACATGCGGCAGGGCTGGATGCGTACCGAAAGCCGGAACCTCAACTTTACCGGTGTTCTGTCTGTGGTGGAGAAGCAGCTGTATGTCAGTGCGCCACCTGAGCAATTGTCGCTGTCACCTGCTCCTCCCCTGTCGCAGGACCAGCAGCTCCTCGCCGCCAACTCAACCACTGGCGTCGAGACCACTGTCGTCTTCAAGTCGCGGCTCGGCGAGCGCATCCGCGAGCGGATCGAGCAGGGCCAACAACGGTACCAGCAGCAGATTGAAGGCTTCAAGCAGAAGCGCCAGCAGAGCGAGGCGGAGCAGACGGGTTGGTTCAGTTCCGGGTGGATCAGCGGCCTCGGCACCAAGGGCATACAGCGCAGCATCGAGACGATTGCCTCGACGAAGACGCAGGACCAGCTGGGCAAGAGCCGTGAGGGCATGAGCATTATCCTGGAGCGCCTGCGGCAGACCGGCATCATTGGTGTGCTTGAGCTGCGGCGCCGGGCCATGGAGGGCAAGCTAGATGCCATTGAGGTTGCTTGAACACCACCCTCCTCGTGCTCTACCCACAAGCACACAAGCATACAGCAAACAGTATAATCTGTTACGCTTGACGATTATGATATACGACCTCGGTTGCTCCGCGTTGTTGTGCGGCGAAGAATCACAAAAGAAAACGGCTCACTTGGCGGAACACTTTCATTGCAAAGGACGCACCCCGGACACGGCAACCTGTACTATGACCATCTCCATTTATTCCATTTTGTTCCATTTTGTTGTGTTTTGCATTACTCTTCTTATTTCTGGCGCATCTGCTCATTTTTCCTATGTACGATATGTTGTACTGGCGTTTTGCTTTTTCAATGTCATGTTGCCTCGTTGATGCCTTTTAAAAAAAAAAAAAAAAAAAAAAAAAAAAACGGTTAGCAAAGCTCAAATAGGCCGCAAGACTTGGTGGACCTCGAGATTGCAAAACGGGATGGAAAGGTGTTGTAAAAATGTGGGCAGGCACGGCGTTTACATATTTCAGTTGTATTAGGAGTCATTTGTGTGGAGTAGTTCGCAATCGGACGACAATATTCTGACCGAACAAACCTGAAGATGTCCGTGGAAACATCCTCATCTCATTGTCATTGCTTTCAGATTCACTCGTGCAGAATTCCCCGTTGTTTAGTTGAACAGTCAACAAATTGACGTAATTACTTACGATCATTTGATTGGATTTTGTGACGCTACCTACAAAATATGAAATATCTACAACGTAGTCGACTCTGCATCCCTCGGCTTTAGCTATATATGTAGATGTCCACTCCAGAGGTCTTGTTTTCAGCCATAAAGCAAACTACACCAAGAAAGCTGCGATGCCGGCTGGCAGCACAAGGAGGCTGGCCCAAGTAGTGAGCGACATCCCAGAACCAGAGCCAGAGTTTGTCCTCGCCCCTCCGGTGTCGTTTTTGGACGTCGTGCCGTTCTTCACTGTAGCATATCCCTGGGGTGCGTTGCCGTTGCCAACGGCGCCGGTGGGCTGCGTCACATTCTTGTCCGTGGTAAAGCTGACTGTCGACGACAGGCTTGGAATGCGACCCAGCAAAAACTCCAGATGGCGGTAGGCGACACTGGGTGCATATTGAGGCACCATGTGGCCAGACAGCGAGACTGCGGCGTAGGTGAGGCCACGCTCCGAGTGGATGGTGCCCATGACGCCGCTACCCGCAATGGAGCTCAAGGATGGATCGTCATGGAATGGCACGTACAAGGGCTCCGTGGGCGGCGACTGGAACCCAAGCTGGCCGCCCCAAGTCATGTTCTGAATTGTCAAGAGCGTGCCATTGGCGATGAGGACGAAATCCAGGGCACCATGGCCAATGATGACGTTCTTGGTGGCATTAATGACGTTAGGCAGAGCGTGGATACTGGATGGCACGGAGTTGTCATTGCCACCAACAAACACGTCTTTTTCTGAGCACTCGCTCCAGTTCACGTTTTTAGGAGCGTGGATGGCTTTTTTGACATCGTCTCGATCAAAGTAAAGACTGGCTCCTGAAGGGAGATACTGCACGGTTCCAGGGACTGCACTGTTAGTATGGTCGTTGACAATCACCCTACGAGAACAAAAAGGCCCGGCATAAACTCACAACCAAGTACATCCCACGGCAGTGGACAGGTCGTTGCTACTTGATAGATGTCCCAACAAGGGTTAACAGTTAACGCGGCATGGACAATGTCGTCATAAATCCGCGCACAGTCGCGCTTCGTGGTTCCATTAGCCTCTTGGCCCGCGATGACAGTTGGCTGTTGGCCGACCGGCGGGTAAACCAGGTACTTGTTGAGATAGTCGGTGTAGCCGCAGACGGCATCACGGGAGTGAATGTCAGCGACAAAACTGTCGTTAAAGGGGAACAGACCCGTCCAGTAATCTACGAAGGTGACCGCGGGTAGGGGTTCCTGGATGTCATTTTGGCCGATGACAGGATCGTAAATGAGGACGCCTGAGATGTTGTAGTATGTGGTGTCCTTTGCATCGACCATAGCACTGGCAATGTATGGGCAGTACATTCCACTGAGCAGTGTTAGCAAGACGCTCCATTATGGGATGGGGGCTTTTGTACGTACGCGTAGGACTCTCCTGTGACGTAGACCTTGTAACCCTGAAGAGAAAAAGTGGTCACGAAATTCTTCCAGAACCCGAGGAACTGAGCGGCCACATCTTCCTCACTAGTTGCTGTGACATTGCCAACAGAAAATCCGGTGCCGACAGGCTGCTCAATGTAAACTATGTGGGACAGTTTGTTCCAAGCCCAGTTGTTCTTGACTGGTAGATATGTTCCACTTTGCCAGGTAAACGGACCATTTTCCTGGAGCAATCCTTCGAGAGAGGAGCATCCGGGCTTTGGTTAACCATCGTGTCAGTCTTTCTGGAAACACAGACATTGTTGTAAGGGACAATTGCAGACGAAGGGAGACTCACTCCTCCATTCAGCCAGATCACGATTTCCTTCGATGCGTCCGGGTTTGTTGAAGGGAAGAACCAAAAAAAGAGTTGGTTCGTGTCGTTAGGGTCGCTGGACAGGGGGAGAGACCCGGCGTAGGATTCACCAATGTCAAAATTCACGTCCGGGATACCGGTTCCGTTGACAGAGAAACCTGTGAAATCAGTTAGAAAATTGTGCTTCAAAAGAAACACTACTATACTACTACTACTACTAATAATGGACATCGACAATTAGAGGCGCATACTTGAAGTGTTGGAGTTCAAAAATTGGGCTTTGGCTACCCGTTTCTCGATAGCATCTTCAGCTTCGCCGTCTAGGAAGGTGTTGTGCAGAGGTGGCCGCTCGTAAAAAGCGCTCAGAAGATCATCCGACTTGCCGGCGTGGCGGAGACTACGACCTGCTGAGGCCACAGAGGCAAAAGCAGCCGTCAGCAGCAACGGCTGCCAGACTTGGTTGTTAATCCAACGCATGACGTCGGTCTTGGCAATTCCTTCTGACCGAGAGGATGTTGGGTGGCAGGCGATTTTCGTTGTGCCGCAAAAGCACGAATGGAAAAGAAGGGAAGGATTCAGGATGTAAGACGGGATATGGCAGCGTTTATAGACAAGGCGGGTGGAATCTGGGGAAGATAGGTTGGGAGAACAAGAGGTAGACAGCGACCAGAGTCCGACTGTTGTCGTTGCACAACTTTTGGGTTATACGAGCGTGTAAGTGCTGTATACTTCGTCTCGTCCGCCTTCTCTCCGATTTTTCTGGCTTGCGTAAACAGCCTTGCGTTGCTGTGGTCGTGTTTCACGGTGAGAGCAGCCGATAGGGCGTAGATGAATGAAAATGCAGTATATGTGGAGCTGGGTCTCAAACTGTCCAGAAGTCTTGTCTCTGCTTCAATGCGGCACAGAAAGATGGGCGAGGTCGGGAGATTGCCGCAGGATGGGCCCGGGGGTTGATGAAGATAGCGGAAGAGATGGGGAGGAAGAAAGGCGAGCCGAGAAAAGCAAGGAAAGATATATAGTAGTTGGCAAGGGCAAAGCAAAGGCAATAGTAGACGAAGAGGAAAGAGCAATGACACAATCGCACATGTGGAAAGAGCCAATTTAGATAGCAGCAAAGTCAGAGGAATCACCGAGGCTTCCAGTCTGGTGGAATTCGTAGTTTCGTATTTTGGCAGGTCCCCTCTTCATAGGACCTGCCAAATTCGGTGTGCGATCCGTTGAGGACCAGAGGAAGCAACGACCAACAATTGATCTGTGATGGAGCGTCCGCCTAGTCAAGAAAGGCATATTGCACTGCCGAAGGCCACTAATCCCTGGTCGTTGGTCGAGGAAGTACTGTATATCCCGTACGATGTACAAGGAGAGACTTTGCTCCGTCTTCTGCAGTGATCGTCTTTTCTCAGCCCAGGTCAAAGCCTGGCCAGGCTGGGGGACGACGCCCGACGGCCTGGAGCTGCCGTTTAAGGAAAGCGGAGGGTCTTCTTGCATGACCGGCCACGAGTTTAGAGAATCGCCACATACAAGATGAGGTAGGAGCGAATGGGAACGGGCAATGTACCAAATAGTGGAGAGTGCAAATAGAAGAACCCCATAAGGCACCCGCCCAAGGTCGCTTTAAAGTTTGCCTCGGAAGCTACGATCAAGATAGTATCGAGCGCTAAATGGCCCCCAAACGGTTGAAAGGGGAGTCGCTTGGACAGGATCGTCGCGCCTTCCTCTTTGTCCAGGCCAGACGAGAATACGACCCTAACCAGGGTGCGCAAGACGGCAGGTGGCACCAACCCATCTTGGAAGCTGCGTGTGGCAGAGGAACACGGTTGAACCGATGTAAACGTGACAAAAGCGATCGGTGCATTGACATCACCTCTCCAATGGCAAGTAGCCAGGCAAGAAGGTGGAAGAGAGAGCAGAGATACCATTAATGCAACTCAGTCCGCAGACATAGTGCTTAAGCGACGTGCGACTGCTTCTCTGTTAAGAAGGTGCATTGCATTGAGGAGTTGCAATTAACGAACAGTTGTTACGCCGAAAGATACATTACGTCAAGGAGACGGCAGCGCATTGCGGCCGATTCTTTGGCGCTTTCAATCTGTCCATTGCGGAATCCGAAAAGGAATGCCGAAAATAGGTCATACAAGGTGTAAAGAAATAACGCAGGGACGAGAAGAACACGCAGCGGCGAGCACAGGACTCGACGGGAGCCGAAAGAGAGCAGACGTAGGCTCAAACAGCCGTAAACAGAACACGGAACCTGTTTGCCGTGGAACAGAGCAGACCCATGGCCGAGAGATTTCGAGTACCAGACGCACAAAGACACTCTTGGTGACCGTGGTCCATTGTCTTCCCGTCGTCCCCGCCAATCCACCCTGACGGCCGAGAGCACAATATGATGTGGCGATATTTTATGGTTCCTTTCGCGGTGTTCTGGCGGCTTTCCAAGTTTCACGAGTTGTTGCGACGTAGCACCGCATCTTGCCGCAGACGCACCGCCAGCCGGTCGTCGTGCATTGTGAACGGTGTGACGTCGGATTCTGTGGTTTTTCACATCGTCGGTTCACCGGGTGCTTTAGGAAGGTACGTTGACAATTATTGTCTGGAAAGCATTTTCCTTGTCCAGGATGCTTTGAAAAACTGTGGAGATGGATACGGTTTTGTCTATCCTGTCGTAGTCTGTAGTCCAATATGCTGTTCCTGTTGTCCAAGAAAATTCAATGCATCCGACATGCTTTTGAATGCCGTTTGCCTGTTCGTTTCAAGCCGGGTCATTATAAAAGTACAGAGTGCTTTCTTGCGCTGCCGCCATTACTTCTTGCCCTTTGTTTTCTGAGACGTCGCTTTGTCCGCCGCCGCCTGGGCCTCTTCTTCCGCTAGAATGGCCTCAATGTCCCGCTCGCGCTGCCAGACACGAACCGCCTCCAGGACGCGCGTCAATGTTTCGCCGCCGTCCATGACGTCCGGCAGGTTATGCACGTCCAGGCCGCACCGATGGTCCGTCACACGGTCCTGACTGTAGTTGTAGGTGCGTATTTTGTCGGACCGTGTCACCTGGGACTTGGCCAGGACGGCGTCCCGCATGCGTCGCGCCTCGGCCTCGCGCTCTTCGCGCCGCTTCTCGGCAATGCGCGCCCGCAAGATCTTCCAGGCGGCGTCGCGGTTCGCGTGCTGCGACCGCGAGTCCTGCATCGACACGACAGTCCCCGTGGGCACATGCGTCAGACGAATGGCCGACTCCGTCTTGTTGACGTGCTGCCCGCCAGCGCCGCGCGCGCGCATCGTCTCGGTGCGCACATCGGCCGGTGAAATGTAAAATAGGCTTTCCGGATCGTCGTAGTTGTTTTGGCCATCGGCGTCGGGCGAGTCGGGAAATGACGGGAGGACCCAGACGGCAGCGGCGCTGGTGTGTGTGCGGCCTTTGCTCTCGGTGGCCGGAACCCGCTGCACGCGGTGGATGCCCGCCTCACCGCGGAACATGTCGTAGGCGCCCGTATCCTGGATTTCGAGAACGGCTTCCTGGAGAGCGGCCTCGCCGTCCGTGCCCGTGTCGCCAATCGCGTCCTGCGTCTCGTACTTGACGACGCGCGCCCGGAGGCCGTTGCGCGAGCAGTAGTTTTGGTACATGCGGAACAACGAGTCCGTAAAGAACCGGCCCTCCAGACCGCCCGGTCCCGGCCGCATCTCGAGCAGGCAGGGCATGTCGCCAAAGGGGTGTTTGGGCGTCAGGGAGGCGGACAGAGCCTGGGCCAGCTCATCGAGCCGGGCCTCGGTGGCCTCGAGCTCGTCGCGCGCCAGCTGCCGCAGCTCCGCGTCCTCGTCGCGGGCACCCACCATGCCACGCAGCTCGTCCGCCGCACGCTGGGCCTCCTCCCATTCGGCCAAGGCATTGGCAACGCTTTGGGTCTCGCCGACGCGCTTGGCGGTCTTGGTGTCAAAACCCGTCTCGAGGGAGAGCTTCAATTGGGAGTGTTCGGTGGTGATGCGCTTGGCGCGCTCAAGAAGAACGGGGGGGACCGCGCCGGCGGTGGCTGCAAAGGATACATGTCAGTCGAGCCATAAGACGAGAGAGCGAAGAGTCAATGGCTTCTGGGAGCTGAAAACACACCGTTGCTGGCAAACCGGCGGCCGAATTGATTTAAGGTCCGGCGCGTGAGCACTGATCGGGCACAACTCCTGCAGACCCACGGGGCGGCGAACATGGCGGCCGCATGAGAATGAGACGTCGGTTTGGCGCATTCAAGTCGAAGTGTGGTGGTGGGAGGGAGTGCTGTCGGCTGTCAGCCTCGTCTGTCGTCTGTTGTGGAGGTGGTCGAAGCTGACTCTCGCTTAGAGTTTCTTTTTTTTTTTTTTTTTTTTTTTTTTTTTTTAACTCTTTGGCTAGGTTCGGCTTTTGGCTTGGCAGTGCTTTCCCAAAATGGCAATCCTTCCCCATGGGTTGGGATTGCCGTTTTACAGTTGTTAGTACCCGCAGTTCGTTCCATGTGCCACACGTGACGACCCGTGCTTCCTGCCGCACTCCTTCGCCTCTCGCAAGACCCAAGGTCGCACGCAAGCTTCTGAATTTATTAAACGAACAGAGGTCGGGCTGTATGAATCAAATTTTTAGGATTACATTAGTTTGTCATATTGTTTGGCGATTCCGCTGTCAAAGGGTGCCTTGGTGCCTGTGATTGGGATCTTGGCATTAATCACACGAATTGGCCACCAGTTCGCGCTTTCCTCCACTTCGCTACAAACCTGTTAGCGAGGGGCAACCGCGACCCATTCATGCCTTCCTAACATAGCTCTTGCACCACTTTGGCGCCTCCGCTCTCGGGAGGAAGGCACAATGGAACGGCAGATGGGACGAACAAGACGTGCGTGGGGCAATAACAAGGTAATAGGAGAGATAACAGCGCCTTGACGTCTGGACGACCAAACGATAAAAAGGTGAATATCTCGCTGTTCGGAGACCGCCGCGGAGAGATTGTCGAGTTCCAAGTGAATCACGTTTCTCTATCGAACGAGCTCGCCATCGCACTACCAGCATCTTCTCACGCTCAACCTGCCCGATCTTCAACTTGACGTCTCCTTTTGCTTTGGTTCCAATCATCACATCCGCAACCACTCCCCAAAACCCTCACAGCCACCACGTCATCAACATCATGCCGCGCGAGACCGCCTCCGTCTTCCCGCCTCCGTCGGACGTCTTCCAGCGGTTCTCCAGCCGCCGCAGCGTTGTGCACAGCACCAAGGGCATGGTCGCTTGCACGCAGCCGTTGGCCGCCAAGTGCGGCATTGATGTCCTGGAAGCTGGCGGCAATGCGGCCGACGCGGCCGTCGCCGTGGCCGCGGGCCTCAATCTGACGGAGCCGTGCTCGACGGGCATCGGCGGCGACATGTTTTGTCTTTACTACGACGCCAAGACGGGCAAAGTGTCGGCTCTGAACGGATCCGGGCGGGCAGGCAACCAGTTTACGCTCGAGCGCATCCGGTCAAGTCTGGGCCTGCCGGCCGAGGCGGCCAGGGGCGACAAAATTCCGCTGACGAGCGTGCACGCCGTGACGGTGCCCGGTGCGGCGGCCGGCTGGGTCGACACGGTCAAGCTGTTTGGCAGTGGAAAGCTGAGCATGGAGCAGGTGCTGGCACCGGCCATCAAGCTCGGCGACGAGGGCTACCCCATCTCCGAACTGACGGCGACGTTCTGGCAAAAGTCCGAGGCCGGCCTGCGCGAGGCATCGCCCAACTTTGCCGAGTGGCTGAAGAAGGACCCGGCGGCCAAGCCCGACGGCTATCGCGCACCGCGCGCAGGCGAGATCATGCGCAACCCGACGCTCGCCCAAACGTTCCGTACGCTCGCGACCGAGGGAAAGGAAGGATTCTACACGGGACGCATCGCTGAGGCCATTGTCGAGGTCGTGCAAGCACGCGGCGGCCACCTGGACGTGTCCGATCTGAAGCACCATCTGGAGACCGGATCGGAGCGCGTCGAGCCCATTTCGCTCAAGTACGGCGACAAGGAGACGGGTGTCGAGGTCTGGGAGCACCCGCCCAACGGCCAGGGTATCGTTGCGCTGATGGCACTCGGCATCCTCCAGGAGCTACAGTCGACAGGTGTCATTCCCAAGTTCGGCCCTGAAGAATACAATACAGCGCCGTACCTGCACGCAATTATTGAGGCGCTGCGCATCGCATTCGCCGACGCCAACTGGTTCGTCACTGACCCTAATGAGGTGGACGTGCCTGTGTCTGGCCTGCTGGCGCCCGAGTATCTGGCCGAGCGCGCCAAGCTGTTCCTGCCAACAGAGGCGGCCCCATCGCACAAGCTGGAGCACGGCACGCCCGGTGGCGCGCCGTTCCGCTCGCCGGCCTGGACGAGCAGTGACACGGTGTACTTTGCGGTGGCCGACGCCGAGGGCAACGCCATCTCCTTTATTAACTCCAACTTTGGTGGCTTCGGCACGAGCATCGTACCCAAGGGCTGCGGCTTCTCGCTGCAGAACCGCGGCGCCAACTTCAGTTTGGATCCACGCCACCCCAATGTGATCGCCCCGCGCAAGCGCCCGTACCACACGATCATCCCGGGCCTGGTAACGAACCAGTCCGACAACTCGTTGTTCGCCGTGTTTGGCGTCATGGGCGGCTTCATGCAGCCGCAGGGCCATGTGCAGACGCTGCTCGGCCAGCTGGCGGGCGGCGCGAACCCGCAGCAGGCGCTGGATGCACCGCGCATCTGCATTGGATCGGGCATGCCGGACGAGGGCGACGTGTTTGCGGCCATCGTGTCGGTTGAGGAGACCATGCCGGAGGAGACCATTGCAGGGCTGCGGGCGCTGGGCCACGACGTGCGTGTCGTCAAAGATAAGGCTCGTGCGCTCTTTGGTCGTGGCCAGATCATCCGCTATACCAAGGACCCGGTCGAGGACATTGCCGTCTGGTCGGCTGGTAGTGATCCGCGTGGCGACGGCGGAGCATATCCGTTGTAGATGGATCCGACCAGATAGGTTCCGTATCTCAAACAAGTTTACATAGAGCATTTTTACACACATACACACATACACACACATATATATATATGTAAGAGATGGGTATTTGTATATTTTACTTTGTTTCTCGAAGAATGCTCCGTAGTGACTTGTGGTCTGTCTTCGCAGTGCACAGTCCCTAACACTGCCCCGCTTGTGTAACCATTTCCTACTCCTTGGGAGCCGCAGCGTCACCCTCGCTCGCCGCCACGAGCACCTTCTTTTCTTCAAAGATCTTGGCCAGCTCGCCGCTCTGGTGCATCGACACCAGAATGTCGCATCCACCCACAAACTCCTTGTCCACGTACAGCTGCGGGATCGTCGGCCAGTCCGAGTACTCCTTGATGCCTGCCCGCAGCTCTGCGTCCTCCAGCACGTTGAATGCCGCAAACTTGTCCGGGTCGACGCCCTGCAAGCCCAGAATCTGGATCGCCGCGCGCGAGAACCCGCACTGTGGCAGCTCGGGCGTGCCCTTCATGAAGAGGACGACAGGCGCCGATGTGACGGCATGGTCAATGGCCTCGCGGGTGGTGTCCGACAGGAACCGGCGCTGGAACGCGGCACGGAGGGGGGCTGACGTAGAGGGAGCAACTGTGGTAGTCTGTGGTCTCCGGACTGCCGTCGAGAACTTGGAGGCGAACGATGTCGCAGATGCGGAAGGCGCAGCGCAGTAGCCGGAAGCGGCCGGGGCAAGGGCCGCGGGCCGAGCAGCCCGGTGTACGAGTTGCTGCAACATGTTAGACTTGGGCGGCGGAGAACTGAATCACGCAGAGACAGGATGGGCTTACCCGCGTTACAGAGCGTGAGAGCATTGTGTATCGTGTGGGTACTCGAAAAGCGAAGTTGCAAAGCTGGACGCGTAAGGATGATAAAATCGATTTGTAACAGGACGTTTGGTCGGTTTTTTTTCGTTGCTCGCGACGCTGATGGCGGATTGCTAAACAAAAGCCAGCAGACGATTGGCCGACGGGAGTTGAGTTGAGGGCACTAGATGATGTAATAGGGCGAAAATGCGATTTCCGGGTGGCGCCACGTTTTGCTTTGGAGCGCCGCTTGCCCCTGGAGCTATCGCCCAACAGCGCGCAGGTCGTTAACTTTCAGCGTTTCAGGGGGCGAGGCGGCGCAAAAGGCACAATGACATCCTACATGTTCAAAACAGATACTTTTTTATTCCAACAGTTTCCTTCGCTTTGTGCTTTTGTCTTCGTACGTTTAAAGGCAGATGCTATACTATCACACTCCCTCACACACGTCTTTCCTAGTCCTTGCCAAAGACGTCCGCTCCAACGTCCACTTTGCCAACGCTCCAGATCTCGCGCTCGTCCTCGACCTCGTCGTCAAACAGGCCCAGACCGCCAGCGCCGCCCTCAGCTTCACGACGCTCACGGGCCTGGGCTGCCAGACGCATCGTCACACGCTTGAAGTAGTCGCCCATCACACGCCTCGTCTGGGCGGGCATGTCGGCCGCCGCAGGGCTGGCAAGGTACTTGTCAAACACCTTGCTCTCCTCGTCGATCACGGCAAAGAGCGCCATGAAAGCTGCCTCGGCCGATAGCTTGACGGGGATCACGAGATCGCGCACCGACGCAAACACGGGCGGTGCGAGCAGCGGCAAGTGCGGGCGCACCATATCCGGGTGCACGCGGGCCAGTGTCCGCACAAGCACCAGCGTCAGACGACGAGTGTCCGCCGGGCCGCCGGGCGGGATGTTCTTGGCCAGCGTCTCAAAGATCTTCTTGGTGTCCTCGAACGACTTGGCCTGCGGGCTAAGCAGGTACTTGCCCGTCGCGAGGATAAAGTTGTCGGCAATGAACAGCTGTAGTCAAGTTAGCGTGTGATCAATTTGTACATGATTTGTGAAGAAGGGAGAGTAGCAGGGGGGGCGTACATCTTTGTTGGTCATTCCCTGGGCAAGCTGGGCCGGGAGATCCTCTGCTAGGGAGCTCTCAAGCAGCACAGCTGGCGACTCGAGCAGGACCGCGTTGAGCGCAAGTGCCGAAGCGTGCGTGGCATGGGCTGGCACCACACGGTTCTTAAGGAGGCCGATGGCCACCTCTGGAGGCACGTTCTTGACCAGTGCGCCCAGAAGCTTCGCGTTCGTAATGATCATCGTGTCGTCGTGCACGTCCGCGTCCATATCGATCAGACCCAGCACGGCCGCCCGCGACGGCTCGCCCATGTTGCCGCCCGCCTTGCTGATCACCTCAAACAGCGCCTTGAGCATCGCGTTCTTGACGCCAAGGTCTGTCGTCTTGGAGCCTGTCACCAGCTCCGCAATCAGCGGGTCGACGCGCGGCGTATACTTGATCAGCGTGCCCAGAGCCTTGGCCGCCCGCGACCGCAGCAGCTCGCTCGAAGGATCCGCCAGCGCCTTGGTGAACGTGCGCTGCAGCTGCGGCAGGAACGGCTTGAGTGCTGTCGGCATCTTCTCCAACAGGTTATTGAGTGTCAGCAAAATCGCGCACTTGACGTCCGTCGAGCGCTCCGTAACAACGCGAATTAAAGGACCCGTGATTTGCGTCACAAACGGCTTTAGCGACGCCTCGCTCGTCCGGTCCACAATGTCCGAGATGGCCAGCGCCGCCGTCGTCCGCTGTTCCGCCGTGCCGTTCATCAGGCCCTGCAGGAAGATGGGCAGAATTGCGTTGATACCCTTGGGCAGCTCAAAGCCCGGCAGGTTGGAGCCGGCCACACCCACTTGCAGCAGCGTCTGGCGGGTCGAGGCCACCAGCCCCTCCATGTCCTCCTTGCGCAGCTTCTTGGTGAACTCGGACAGCGCGCTCCACGCCGACTTGACGACGTCCTTGTCCCGGTCGTCAAACGAGATGAGCAGTGCGCGCAACAGGTCGGCGCTGTAGCGCGAGTAGTCGACATCGGCCTGTGCGAAGAACACCGCCATGTGGCGCGCCGTTGCTGCCCGCTTGCGATGGTCTTCGTGGCGCAGCAGTTGCAGCAGCACGTTCATCACCGTGTTGAGACCGTCGTGCTCGTCGATCGACAAGATGACCGTGTCGAAAGACACGTCCAGATCCTCGCGCAGTTCCTCCTCGTCGCAGTTGATAATGTTGTCCATCAGCGAGTTGATAATGTGCGGCATACGGCGGTTCATCGCGCCGCTCGCTACCCGCGACAGCGACGCGAGCGCCTTGGCGTTGAACGCAGAGATGGGCGGCGCAATCAGCGTCGGGATCAGGCTCGGCAGGATAATGTTGGACCGCGTCGTCTCCGTCAGCAGCGTCAGGAGCGCGGCCAGCGCATTGTCGGCCTCCTCGTCGTTCTGGAGCAGATGTAGCAGACTGGGCAGCACCTGGTCCACAGCGCGCTTCCCGATGACCTGTTGCAGCGAGTCAAACGCCTCGGCAGCGGCCTCGCGTACCTCTTCATCCGAGTCCGTAAGCGCAGACTGCACGATGGAGATGAGTGCTGCCTCGTGGTCCTCGAGCGAGTCGGGCGATGCCGACGTAATGAGCTCCTTCAGCGCCAGGCAGATACCCTGCTTGGCGTCCGAGTCGGTCGAGGTCTTGAGGCCCTCGCCCAGCGTCGGCAGCAGCGTCTGGAGAATGTTGTCGCCGGCCTTGCGGATCAGCTCGCCCAGAGCATTGCTGGCAATGACCTTGTGCTCCATGTTGGCGCTGCCCAGACGGCGGATAATAAGCTGCGTAAGCGTCGGAACCAGCTCCTTGAGTGTTCTCGGGCTAGACACGAGTGCTTTCCAGACACTGATCGCCGCCGAGCGCACCGCACCCGAGGTATCGCAGCGGCAGATGTACAGCGACGACAGGATCTTGTCGCGCTTCTCTTCACCGAGTACCTCGCGCAACGTTGCGCCCGCCTCACGGACAGCGTCCTCCTCCATCTCCTCCTCCTCCACCTCTTGCTTGGAGCTGATGCCAGAAAGGTTGAAGAGAAGGTCGCCAACAAGCTCCACGGAGCTGAGACGAATGCGCCAGCTGTTGTCCGCCAGGCCCCGCTCGAGCTCGGGCAGCAGAAGGTCGACAGCGCGTGTGGCAAAGTTCTTGACGAGCAGGCGACCGGCGCGCAGGGCCGTCTCGCGAATCGAGTCAACATCGTCGGCCAGACCCGCCAGGATCGGCGGTATGATTTTGCCCAGATAGGCCGAGAAGCTGTTGCCGAAGCAGACGGGCAAGAAGATGAAGAGCGACATAAAGCCCTCGCGGACGGACGCCTTGGACGACTCGACGTTCTGGAGAATGGTGGGAAGCGTCTCCTCCAGACGAGTTGTGCCGAGGCCCGCAAGAACCTCGGAGAGAGCCTGAGCAGAGCCGAGACGGTCGCCGGCACCCGTATCGGACTTGAGGGTCTGCATAAGACCAGGTATAAGCTCGGGCAGTGCATCCTCGCCGAGCTTCTCTACCAACGAGCCAAGAGCGCGAGAGGCCGTGGCACGCGTGGTCGGCACAGGGTCGACCACGGCCACCTTCAGACCAGCGACGAGCACGGGCAGATGGGCAACCAGATCCTTCTTGTCGGTAAGGTGGGCCAAACTGCCAATGACCTGCGAGGCCTTCCGCTTCGTGTTGGACCGGTCGCCGAGACCGCGCTGCAGGATGCGGCTGATGAGCGCAAGGGACGGCGCGTCCAGGTAATGCACGAACTTGATCTTGATGAGCGCGTCAAGGGCGTCATCGGTGTACTTAGTCGGGTCACTGAGGGCCTTAAGGAGGACATCCACGAGGCTGCGCACCTCAGGGTTGTTTATTACCTCGCCGAAGCGCTTCAAACTCTTGTTAGCGGCGGCGCGCACCTCTTTATGGCTGTCGTTGAGCACAGCCGTCAGAGGCGGGATGATGTCAGGCAGGCTCTGGGCGAGCTGCTGCGGGTCCAGGTAAGCCATGGCACCGAGCAGGTCGCAAGCACCCTTCTTACTTCGCCATTGCGAGTCGTCGAGACCGTCGAGCAGTGTTGGCAGGATCTTCTTGACACCAAAGGAACTGAGTTTGGCGAAGCACGCCTTGGCGGCAGACAGAGACGCATCACGGACATTGACGTTGCTGTCACCGAAACCGGCAAGCAGCTGGGGCACGATCTGGATGACGTAGGGCTCAAAGAGCCGGCCGAGGATGGTTGACAGAAGCTCGTAAGCGAGTAGGGCCGATTCTCTCTGGTTCGCCTCCTTCTTGTTCTCACTGGCACCCTTCAGCGTGATCAGAATGCGGTAGTCTTTCAGGGATCCGATACCACGACCGAGGACCAACCCGGCGAGACCGTAGGCAGCACCACGCTGAGAAGCATAGCTTTTAGAGGACATCAGCGTGTCCATCACGTCGTTAAAGTACTTGGACGACTTGTCTCCGCTAGTCTGGACCAGTGGTGGTAAGCACTCTGCAATGGCATACTGGACAGTCTCGGATGGCGTGCTAAGCGTCGCCAACAGGCGTTCGATAACGACGGGGATCTTGGCATCGCCGGGCTTGAGATGGCGAGCGAGGGCGCCGTACATGATGATGACGGCCTCGTTGACGCGGTCGGCGGCGTCCGAGTTCTTGTCAGGAGCGGCCAGAGTCTTCTCAAATGTCTGCATAAGCTTGGCGACAATGGGCTTGCCGTGAACCTCAATGGCACGGATGGCTGCATCAAGCATCTCTTGCCGGACGGTGCCGTTCTGGTCACCAAGTGGACCCTGTTCAATCAAGAAGTGCAGGAACGGCTCAACCTCACCCTTGTCCAGGTTCGGTGACAGCTCCTTAAACGCAGCTGCAATGCCGTGCCGTGCCTCCCAGGGATCAGACAAGTCCATTTTCCTCGGCATGCCAAACTCATCCAGCTGGGCCACACGAGGCTTGGCCAGCTCGGTGTACGACGACCTCAGCTGCGATGTGATGTTGTCGAAGATCGTGGGCGCCTTGAGAATGACAATGGACTCGGCAAGCGCGCGAGCAGCGGCGCGGCGAAGCTGTGCATCCTTGCTCTGCAAGTAAGGCAGCGTTCTCTCTGGCAGGTCTTCCGACACTTTGAACTCGCTCTCCTCCCAGATCTCGCGGCCAAGGTCGACGTTCTCCTCAACATCGTCGTGGCACACTAACCAAATCTCTTCAGACGTCGAGAGCTCGCTCATGTCAACCTCAGCACTAATGGACTGCAGGACCGTCGACCGAACACTTGCTTGCGTGACGATGACACCCTGGGATAGGATGTTGATCTCCTCCTTGGAGATATTCGGAGCCACGCAACGGACCATGTCGGCAAAGCAGTCCTTGATAATCTTGTGGTTTTGGCTGTAGTTTTGCATCGAGAAGATGAGAGCAGAGAGCAGGTCAGAGCGCGGGATGGCCTCGTCAGCGCACACATCGGTGTGGAAAGAGAGCACCTCAATGGCCAGAACCAGTTGAGCATCACGGTCCTCAGCCTCGGGGGCAAAGCCGCCCTTATTGAGGATCAGCAAAAGGAGAGGAAGGAAATAGATGAGAGACACGGCATCGAACGGACGCTGCTCGCTAGTGGAGCGCAGGCGGTAGAGGATGCGGGTAATCAGGTCGGGCAGCGGCTCCTCCAGGAGGTTTTCTGGGAGCGACGACACGTCGTGTGCCCGAAGTGTAGCAACACCGATGAATGGACGCATGGCACCGAGACGGTTGGAAACACGATCGGACAGGGTGATGAAGGCCATGGGTGCCACGTCCCCAGTGATCAAGCAAGCACCAGCCTCGATAGCGTCTAAAAGAGCCTTGACTGCGGGGCCCATCCACTGCGAAGCATTGGTCGGTGGGCCGGTGGCGAGACTGCGAATGACACCAATGCCACGGAGGAGACGCGCCTCGAGCAGGCCAACCTTCTCGCGGATCTCGGCTTCTTTCTTGAGTTGGGCGTTGACCTTGGCCGTCTCTTCGGCAGTGAGCTTCTTTTGCTGGCCCTTCTTGGAGGCCAGCTGTGCACGAAGCTCCTCTTCCCACTTGAGCACATCATAGTCCTTGCTGCTCTTGCTGGGCAAGTTGCTTGTCGTCTTGGCCAGGACATCGACAAAGGTGGTGCCCGGTGGAGTTCGGAAGATAGCAGCGTCAACAGGACCAATGGCCCGCAGCTCGTCAACAGCCAGGTCGTGCTGGATCAGCTCGACAATGCGAGGCGCCATCTGCTCGGGGGCCACAAAGACGAGCTCGGCTGCAGCTTCGTATGCAGCGGTCTTGATCCCATCCGACGTCTGTGCCAGCTGCGTGCGCTCGGCAATCTCTTCTAGGAGTAGCTTCTCATGGTGTTGAGCAAGACTACCAGGGTCCACCTCAGCGCGCAGGCAGAGCTCGATCCAGCTGCTCTCAGGGATAAGCACGGGGCGGGCTAGAACAACCAGGCCGCACATCTGTTGCTCAATTGTGTTCTTCTCTGGCTCGGCTCCGGTCGCTCTGACAAAATCAGAGGTTTTGCGGCAAATAGCGGCGAGGATGGAAAGAAGTAGCGCATTTTGCGACTTGGAGAGTATCGAAGCACTCTCTTTGTCGCCGTTGGCGAGAGTCTCCAGCCAGTGCCACAGGCCTGCAATCACGGCCTTCGAGACTCGGCTGGGATCATGGAAGTACAGGTCAGAGAGGGCGCTGTTGGCCTCTTTGCGCAGGAACGAACCACTGTTTGTAGAGGTTGCCGCATAAATATAGGCCTCTGCCCATGCGATGTTGATGTCGGACTCTTCATCGCCGTCTAGCGCCGGGAAAGAAGCCACAAGAGCACGGTACAGCCACCGGATGTCGTCGTCGGTCGCGAGTTTCGTGTATATTCTGGGGCTAAGGAGGAAAGATGGCTTCGGCTGGAGCACGAGACACTGCTTGTCAAGTGAGAACTTCTTGGATAGGGTGGAGAGAGGTGTCGACGAGGTGTCTTTGAATAAGAAGGGCGCAATGGCACAAACCACAAGGCCGCCTGCAACAAGGCCATTTTGCGAAGCGGCAGAAGGGTTCGCCACGACTTCCGAGTACGCATCGAGCAATGGAGGGAAAATAAACTCTGCAAACCTCACAACATGGGCGGGCAGCATCTCGGATGCCTTGTGGAAGCCATATAGAGTCTCACCCGCGGCAATGATCCAAAGGCGGCGCGCAGGCGCCTTCTTGTCAGCGAGACCCTTGACGTAAGCATCCACAACCGGTTTAGGCACACCGGTCGAGCCTTTCAGGAGGACCTTTGTGTTCTGTGTGAGAGAAGTCGTCTCGGCCCTCAGAGCAGTCTCATTGCCCTCTTTTGATGCCGCGGCGGCAATGCCCGTGGCGATCTTGCCAGCCGTGGCCTCAGATTTCGGGAGCGCTTCCAGGATTTGCGAGTGGATGGTGCGGTGCTCGGGAGAAGTGAGCTTGCCGGATTGCAGCGGCGTGAGGGTCTCATCCACCACGCGGGCGACAACATCAAGATCTGTGCATCGGGTGGCAAGAGCGCGGAAAGCTGTCAGGGTGCCATTGCGCACCGCCTCCTTGCTCGACTTGACATTAGACAGCAGTGGCTTCGCCAAGTGCTCCTCCAATATCTTCGACAGGTCGTAGGTCTTGGGCAAAGAGTCCACAAGAGGCGTGACGAGGTCGTCGAGAACAATTTCTGGCGCACGCAGCAGGCCCTTCTTGATCGCAGGCACAATTTGGGTCTCCAGATCATGTACAGTCACGAAGCTCTGGAAGAAATCGTGCAGGCCAGCAGCCACGTTGCTCGATAGCTGTGTCTTGGAGCTCGTAATCTCACGTGTGAAAAATTCAAAGTACTGTGGCTTTGTCGTCTCAAAGATGGCCTTGGCTTTGGCGTTCCGGGCCGACACGCCAGCGATAACGCCAAGGAATACTGAGTTGCGCGCAGTCGGCTGGGTTCCCTTGGCAGCCAGAACCTTGACGGACTCGAGAATGGCTTTCTCACGTGTGCTGTCGAGAGACACAAGCTTACGGAAGCCTCGCCGGGCCACAACGAGGGCGGAATGCGCGACGCTTTGCCGTGTGGGTGGTCGCGTGCACTTTTCAACGGCACTCGCCTGAGCAACAAGGATGTCGTTTCCGACCTTGTCCCACAGCTCCGTACCGGCCAGTTGCTGCATAATAATGCTGCACCATTCTATGAGCGTGAAGGTGCTTCCCGTGGACGTGTTCAGCTTCGATGCCTCCGCACGAATGGCGGCCACTAGGGACGCTAGAAGCTGGCCGTTTTTCTTGTCGCAGATCGAGATCAGGCATTTTTGAACGGCACGTCTCGATGGCCGGTCTTCGTACGAGGCATGGGTCCAGAAGAGAACGGGAAGAAACTTGGCAATGGCTGCTGGCTCGAGATCTAAATATGGGAAATGGTCCTGGTCAGCATACTCGCTCTACTCGTACAGGTCACGCGCCAGCATCTCAACAACAGCACTCCAGACAACACTCACCGTCATTGGTGATCTTGTCGTCAATGGTCCGCAACTGCGCAATACGGATCGATGTGGACGAGGTTGCCAAAGCCACTCTCGTCGAGACTGGGTCGAGGGCCGTGGTGCTGGACCCATTGGTCAAGGTCGGTTCAGTCATGTTGCGGTGTGTTCCAGGGACGCTGCTGGCATTGTTCCGAGGCAGCGTTGGGTGTAGCAGAAGCAGGAGAAACGGAATTGGCTTGGTTTGCCCCTGTTCGTGGCGGCAGACCCTCGTTTCTCGCGTTTGTGCAGAGTGGTCGACTTTGTGTGTTCTTTGAGGAGAGCGTCTGTTTGGCTTTTTAGCTCGTCTTGAAGCTCGCCAAAGAAAGCACTGGCGCAGTTTCCATTTTGCTATTCTGTACTGCACTTGGCTAATTACATAAATTATCCTACAATGGCAGGTGCTATGGCAAGGCCCTGGATTTTTTGCTGTTGTCCATGGCGGGGCACGCAAGCACTAAAAAGCGGCAGGCACGGCCGGCGAAGGTGAGTCAACAGGGGAATCTTTTTTCACTGACGGCGGGCAACACACATGGAAGCCGCGAGGTGGGGTGTGCGCTGAACATGGAAGGCGGTCAGCATGTTCTGCCGATTTTGCACCGCAAACAAGCGCGGGGCGATGCCAATTGCAGGTTGTGTTCGGCCAGAAATGGTGGGTAACAAACAATAATTCGTATGTCAGTAGCAGTTGCCAATTCTCTTTTTGGGGACGTTTGCACTTGCCTTTTAAACAAACACAACGTTTGGCCTCGTTTTCATCCAGCACTAGAACTTTCTCTTATCTTGTTTCGACCTTTCGGTCCCATTCAGTCTTCGTGGTCGTTGTCGTTTTAGACCACCACTGCGTCTTTCTTTGATTTCTGACCCTGGTCGATCCCATTACACTTCTGTACCGTCACTGTTTCCACCGTCGCTCGTTTTCCACGCTCCTCTCCAGCCGTGTCCCATTTTGAGAGCTCGCCGAGAGCTACAAAATGACCGGCAACAAAAAGAAAAAGAAGCCAGCGGCCAGCGCTGCTAGAGGCTTTGCTACAACTTCGATTGCCTCAAAACCGAGAGCAGATCCGGTCGAGGGCGCTGATGCTCCGTCCACTCCGCAACCTGCTGCGAAAGGCAAAGACGGCGCACAGGCACCCGCAACGTCCCAAAACTCAAAATTGACGACTGCGGATAGTGCATCATCTGGGCACGGCAAGGCTACGGCGGCACACACTTTGAGCCCCGAGGAGTTTGAGAAGCAGTTAGAAGAGTCGGAGCTCCAACTCCTTGTCGACAAACATGCGCAAAAGGTTCGCCGTGATGCTGCACGCCAGTTTGCACGTTTAGAAACCGACCGCCGAATACTACGAGGCCAGGCTGAATCTATCAACTCCAAAAAATGGATTCCTCAGGAGCTGATGGACCAAATTCTTGATTTGATTCAGTCGGAAAGTCGATTTGCGGCTTCGAATGTCGGCTCAGAAGCCTTGCCGAGCGGAAAGCTGCTTTCTGAGGAGGATCTGACGATCAAGTTGTGGACGCTCGAACAAGCCCTTGAGCTAGCTGGCTTTCCGGATGACAAAGTGCAGGCAGTCCTCAAATATGTCCTGGACATCTCCACACAAGTTGGGCCTGGCCCTAAAGATTCAATTTGGGGTCTGGAAGAGGCCTTAGAGTGGCTGGCCCGGGAAAGCTCTGCAGACGAGCTTCCTGACTATTCTAAGCAGGGAGCATTGGGCAAGAAGGGACAAACTGGAGGTTTAAGTTTTTTTTTTTTTTTTTTTTTTTTTTTTTTTTTTTGGTAGGTATTGCTTCCCTTTTAGCATATGTTTTGACGATGATTTTTAGATACATCAGATACCCCTCTTGCCTCAGGAGCAACAACGCCAAGTCTTCTAGAAGCCGATATTGGTCAAAAAAAGAAAGGTAAACCCAGTTCTGCCAGTCGGTCGCCAAAAGGAAGTTCTTCAAAACAGTCTGTCATCACCTTCGATGGCGACATTGAACCTGAAGAGCTTGGTCCGGCGTATCTCGACACCAAGGCACGGCTCTTTACCCTGCAACGACCATTGCAGGTAACCACGCAAAAGGGCCGGCTCAACAACCAACCGGCGCCCGTAGTGGTTCTATCCGAAGCAGACAAGCTGGAAACTGCGAAGCTGCTCGGAAAGCTCGAACGGATCGAGAACGACATTCTCTTTGACAGGAAACTCGCAGAAATGCAGTGGCGGTCCAAGAAGATTATTCTCGAACGCGAGTTTTCAGAAGCCACAAAGAAGGCAGCGGAGGAGAAGCGTGCCAAAGCCAAGGCTAAGGAGGAGGCGGCGGCGGCTCTTCCGGACGATTCGTCAGATACCTCAGATTCATCTGACGATGAATCTGAAGACGAAGTTAGCAAGGAGGCAAAGCGAGTCGCAGCCGAGATTCTTGCAGAGGACGACAGCGACGACGATGCAATCGCAGATCTATTCGCGAGCTTGCCAGTGAGCGAGGTCGACCCCAATACGGGCAAGACTAACACCGTGGTGAACAGTTCGGATGGTTCAAAAGTCATCATCCGCGACTTCGGAAAATGGACGGGCGTGAGCCCGGTGCGTGTCTTAGAAGAGGCCTGCCGTGCGAGAGACTCGTCCGTTCGTATTTCTTATCAACTTGTTTCTGATATTTCATTTGCCAACCGGCACATGGTGTCGATCGCCTGGACGAAGCCGCAAGAAATTCCACAGCTTGCTCCTTTGTCAGACCTCGAAGTCGGCATGGTGAATACACGATTCGTATTCAAAATGGTCAAGGTGGCCACTCCTGACGCCAAGCAGTCCGAAGCTTTCATTGCGACTGCAGCCTTGTTCTTCGTTTTCGGAGCGTCGGCGAAGGAGGAAAAGGTGGCTATGCGACTGCCTCCTGCATGGCGAGATCTTTGGTCCGAGTTCGCTAAGGTCAAGAAAAGCCAGGCTGACTCACTTGACCGCGAAGCCATAAAGAAGCTCCGTGACCTAGTAAGTCTGAGGCGAGACCAGGAACTAGAGGACGGAGTTGTCCTGCAAGGTGCCTTCCGTGGTCGTGCTGCAGGTCGAAGTGCGGCAGATTCTGGAGAGGACTCAGGCATTGAACGGGGCGGCCAGACTGTATATGGCCCAGAGTATTATCAGCGGATCTGGCAGGAGAAATCCAGCACACCAAAGTACCAGGCCATGCTACAGTCTCGGATGCAGTTACCCATGTGGGCGTTCCGCGATCGTGTGCTCGAGGCTGTTGAAAGGGAGCAGGTGGTGATTGTGTGCGGTGAAACGGGTTGTGGCAAAAGTACACAGGTCCCGTCGTTTCTCCTTGAGCACCAGCTGGCGCAGGGGAAGCAATGCAAAATCTACTGCACCGAGCCTCGTCGCATATCTGCCATCTCATTAGCACGGCGTGTGAGTGAGGAACTGGGCGAAGGTCGAAACGACTTGGGCACACCACGGTCTCTTGTTGGCTTCTCAATCCGACTTGAGGCAAACACGTCGAAAGAGACGCGACTAGTCTTTGCCACGACTGGTATTGTCATGCGAATGCTGGAGGGCTCGAACGACCTGCGCGAGATCACTCATCTGGTCCTGGATGAGGTACACGAGCGGTCCATTGACAGCGACTTCCTGCTGATTGTGCTGAAGAAGCTCCTGACGCGGCGGAAAGATCTCAAGGTGGTACTCATGTCGGCCACTGTGGATGCTGAGCGCTTCTCCAAATACCTCGGCGGAGCGCCGGTCCTGAACGTCCCCGGACGCACGTTCCCTGTACAGGTCCAATACCTGGAAGACGCCGTCGAAGCCACTGGGTACTCGCATGACCAACGCGTACAGGAGAAAAACATTGATCTCGATGACGATCTCGTCGACGAAATCGTCGAGACGTCCTCCAAGCCAGATCTTCTCAAGTCGCTCAAGGATTACTCGAACCGCACTCGCAACACGCTTGCTCAGATGGACGAGTACCAGATTCAATTCGATCTCATCGTACAGCTCATTTCCCAAATCGCAACCAGTCAGCAATACATCAAATATAGCCAAGCGATTCTTGTCTTCTTACCCGGTATAGCTGAAATTAGAACACTCAATGACCTGCTTCTGGGTGACAAGGCATTTGCGGAAAACTGGCTCATCTACCCGCTCCACTCGACAATTGCAACCGAAGAGCAAGAAGCTGCATTCCTGGTGCCCCCTCCTGGGTACCGGAAGATTGTCCTGGCTACTAACATTGCCGAGACAGGCATCACAATTCCTGATGTGACTTGCGTGATCGATACAGGAAAGCACCGCGAGATGCGTTTTGACGAACGGCGGCAGCTGTCGCGGCTAATCGACACCTTCATCTCGCGAGCCAACGCAAAACAGCGTCGTGGTCGAGCCGGTCGTGTGCAAGAAGGTCTTTGCTTCCACCTCTTCACCAAGTATCGACATGACCAGATTCTCAGCGAACAACAGACACCTGAGATGCTGCGCCTTTCCTTACAGGACCTTGCAATCCGTGTCAAGATGTGTAAGATCGGTGCCATCCAGGAAACTCTCGGGCAGGCACTTGATCCGCCCTCAGAAAAGAACATCCGCCGCGCCATCGACGCCTTGGTTGATGTGCGTGCCCTGACGGCATCCGAGGAACTCACACCGCTTGGTGTCCAGCTGGCTCGCCTTCCGCTCGATGTGTTCTTGGGCAAGCTGGTCTTGATGGGCACGGTGTTCAAGTGCTTGGATATGGCAATTACCGTGGCAGCGATTCTGTCGTCCAAGTCACCCTTCACGGCACCGTTTGGCCAGCGCGCACAGGCCGATACCGTCCGTCTGGGCTTCCGCCGTGGCGACTCGGATCTGCTGACTGTCTACAATGCATACTTGGCGTGGAAGAGAGTGTGTCAGTCGGCCGTCAGCGCTGCAGGCGGCGGCGAGTTCCAGTTCTGCAAGAAGAACTTCCTCAGTATCCAGACGCTCACGAATATCGAGGATCTCAAGGGCCAGCTCCTGGTGTCACTTGTCGACTCCGGGTTCTTGCCCCTCACATACGAAGAGCGGCGCAACCTGAACAAGCTTCGTTACTCATCGAGCGGACGCGGCGGGCGGCGGCGACAGCAAGCTTTCTTTGAGCTCCCGCAGCGCGTCAATACCAACAGCGATGTGGACATTATCTCGCAGTCTGTGATTTCATGGAGCTTCTATCCGCGTCTACTGGTGCGTGATGCGCCGGGCGGCGGCAACGGACTGCGCAACATTGGCAACAACCAGGCAATCCGGCTACACCCTTCGAGCGTCAATCGGGGCCACAATGAGCTGCGGTGGTTGTCGTACTACAATATTATGCAAAGCAAGTCTCTGTACAATGCTCACGAGACGACGGCCGTCGAGGCGTTCCCGATCGCGCTGCTCTGCGGAGATATGCGATGTGATGTGAGTCGGCCTACCCCACTTTTTCGATTATGCTTTTTACATCAGCATTGCTAATAGAATAGATGTTCTCCGGTGTGCTCATTCTCGATGGCAACCGAGCACGCTTTGCAGTCCCAGATTGGAAGACACTGCTGGTGATCAAAGTGCTGCGGTCGCGCCTGCGCGATATGCTGTCGCGGTCGTTTAAGGCGCCGGGCAAGCAACCGACGGCGCAACACCAAAAGTGGTTCGACGTGTGGCAGCGCATTTTCACGCAAGATTTTGGGTCGGACAACAGCACCGCATTGGCCTCAACCTCGGCCTCTGTAGTCGTCAACAACAACGGTGTCGGCAACAGCCACAGCTTATCAGTGTAGGACAGCCGGTGGGCCAACACCGGAGCCTTGTGTTCTAGGTCTCTGCCCAGGCCTGTGCGCCATGCCACTGACCTAGGCCCCAGAATTGACCATCTCCATTCATTTACGGTACGAGTTAATGATTACTAGGAAAGGGGGAGGGATAGATTGGGACGAGGGAGCATTTGAATGGATATTCAACAGATTCAAGCATTTGAAAGCGGAGGCAAGGGTCCGAATGACATACGACATAGTATCAAGAAACCTCACCCGCATTCTTCAAATAGAAGCTTTCTACATGTTCTTTCGAGAAAAAAAAGAAAAAAAAGAGGCTTGCTTCGATTGTTCTTGCAATAAGACTCTCTTGGGCTTTTTTTTTATCAATAGCACGGCTGGTTCGCTGCAATGAGCCCAAATAATGCAGCGTAAATGAAAAGGTGCTCTTCCCCAGACTCTAAACAGAAATGGCGGCATTGAATGCCGCCACGCTGGCTCTGGCTATATTACGGCTTCGATATTACCACCGTGCTTGCTTCTCTGCCGAATTTTCGGCGCTTCTAAGCATAATCCTGTCTCTCCCAATCTATGCCGAGATTGTAGATTGCAAGTCTTAATGAATATGAAGACTTGGACAATGTGTATCCGCGTCGCTCCCGTGCCCCAAAGAAATCAAAATACAACAGATCTGCCGAGTTCATCCTGTGCCTTCCATGTCATAAGATCGCAGGTAGATCTCGAACAAGTCTGCCGAGGATTTGCAGCCAACATCGCAAATAAGCAGCCCTCGCTTGGCACGTCTTTGCTGTGGTCTCTGCCGGGGTCTGGGCACTATCAGCCCTTTCCAGTGATAGATTGCTGCTGGCCACCGCCGCGCAAAGGTCTTCTTGTCCTTCCTCCCCAGGTCAATCTGCGAATGTGGGGGAGCCCACCATGACGGCGATAGACGGACCGTTCGGTTCCAGTGTCGGGCCTGTTGCCGACGAGGATGGACCAGTGTCCAAGATATTGCTCTCTATCTCATGCACGCCCGTCTTGGAAAAAAAGCCTGGTTTGAGCTATGCGTGGAGGGGTGTCGAGATGGGAGGGCGGGCGCTTGCCGGCCGGTGATATATATAAAGACAGTTGTCTCGCCTGCCTCATTGCAGAGTGCAAGATGTAAGTACACTGTGTGGGACACAACCTAGTTTGCGACCAAGCACAGCATCACAAGACTCTGCACAATCGTTTTTCCGATTTATTTTATTTATTTATCCTTTTTTTTTTTGGGCTGTCCGTTCTTGTCGTGGGCATACTTCATCATGAAGTTCTCGACAATCACGAACCTTGCGTTTGGCGTCGGTGTCCAAGCGCACTGCATCTTCCAGGTAAAAACATACCGTCACCTCAAGCGCCATAGGTGCTCCTTGCTAACAGCTCTCACGTATAGCAAGTGTCGGTCAACAGCAAGTCGTCCGGCCAGCTCGTGGCGCTGCGCGCACCCAACAACAACAATCCCGTGCAGGATGTCAACAGCAACAGCATGATCTGCGGCCAGCCCGGGTCGACCTCGCAGACGGTCGTGGACGTTGCGCCCGGTGACAAGGTCGGTGCGTATTGGCAGCACGTCATTGGCGGCGCACAGTCTCCCAACGACAAGGACAACCCGATTGCGCACTCGCACAAGGGACCCATCATGGCCTACCTGGCCAAGGTCGACAGCGCGGCGTCAGCCTCGCAGTCCGGCCTCAAGTGGTTCAAGATCGCCGAAGACAGCTTCGACACCAGCAGCAAGCAGTGGGGCGTCGACCACATGGTGTCCAACAACGGCTGGTCGTACTTTGCGATGCCGTCGTGCATCGCCCCGGGCGAGTACCTGCTGCGCGTGGAGATTCTGGCGCTGCACTCGGCAAAGACGACAGGGGCCGCGCAGTTCTACCAGTCGTGTGCGCAGATTCGCGTGTCCGGTTCGGGCACGTTTACGCCGGCGGCCTCCGACCTGGTGTCGTTCCCCGGCGCGTACAAGGCGGAGGACCCGGGCATCCACATCAACATCTATGGGCCGATGGGCCAGCCGGACATGGGCGGAAAGCCATACACGGCACCGGGGCCGAAGGTCATCAAGTGCTAGAGGGGCGGTTGCGTATGTGTACGAAACCGAAACTGGACTGGATATCGAGGTCGAGTCGATAATGTGTGGACACATGACGCTTGGCAGAACGCAAACCGAGCGAGAGCCTTGCCGGAGTACATGGTACATGGGGCCGGGCCCATCCTGTTTTTGTTAGCATTTTGCCAAGCATGTTTTAGCATCCCCGAGCTTCCTTCTACCGCGTTCTGCGCATGTTCTTCCTCATGCTTCTCCCGAAACTTGCCTGTCCTCTCTTTACCGCCATCTCATTTGCCTTCCAGGTCATCTGGACTGTCTCTGTGCTAAACCCCATTCATACTGTACCAACTTTGCCCGCCCCGGGCCTCTCCACGGCTGTCTAGCAGAGAAAAGAAGTGTAGGCTCCGCAGCTCCATACTGTGCACAATGGACCTGATCCCTTGTCGGGTTTGGCCGGTTCTCGCAGCGGACCGTCCGTGGCCGTGGTGTGATGGGTCAATCAGGTAGATGGTTGTGGTATTCTGTACTTTGTGTGTCGGAGTGGCTCGTGTGTTTTTGCCCAAGAGGCCTGTCAGGTCTTGGGGCTTGCTTGGCCTGGCCTGGACTCGCGCCTCGCGCCTTCTCGCTGTCGCGTTTGGACGTAGTGGGACCTTTTCCGCCCCGAGGAAATACGGAGACCACCAAAATTGTTCCTTCTTGTTTCCTTTTTTCCTTTTTTCTTTTTCTTTTTCTTTTCTTTTTTTAACTGGTGCTCCGGTTCGTGCTTTCCTTGTTAGTCCCGTTCTCATTTTGTCTTTCTTTACTAGGACCAATTTTTTTTTCCTTGCCTCGGTGGTGCTCGCCGGATGGAGAATAGGTCATGGCTCTTAGATCGTCTCTGGGCTACAGATGAAAACGATTCGTAAGTACGACATGCCGGCGCTTCGTATGGCGGCGCTTTTCGTCTCGTACTGCTTGTTCTGGGTAGAATCTGTTTCCTCAGCCTGATGGCAACTTCATAAAAAGTGGAGAGCGATCGGAGGAGTCGGCAATGGCAACTCACACTGTTGACAAAAAGGGAAGGGCCATACGGCAAGCAACGGTCGACGAGACGGCGAAAGAAATGGCAGGTGCAATGGTGCAGAGTCAAGAGTACGCCCAGTAAGTCCAGAATGCGTGTACGAAGCATTGCTTTTGGACGGTGAGCAGGTAGAGAAGGCTGGCCAGAAGGCCAGGATAGGCTAGTTCCAGTCTACAATACGCACGCAAATGCAAATGCCATGCACATCTAAAAGCCGCACCATGTCTTAAAAGGCCAGGGCCAAGTCGGTGCCAGGCCAAGCCGGCATCGGCACTCATCGGCTCGCTTGGGGCAAACAACAGGAACTGCGATGCCATATTACTCTGTGCAGCATCAATGCGGTGAGACAAGCGTACCTGAGCGTTGGTGGTCGCCGTCGAGATTGAGAACGGCCCGGTTGATACGAGCGAAGCTGCTAGGCAAAAGCGTGGTGTGTTCTCGGCCCAGTTCATTCTTTTAGTGTGCTGTTCTTTCTCAGAAACGGCGACGATCGATTGGCTGGCTGCCGGACTGGGTAGGTGCGGTTCCACATTGCGGCGCTTGCAGTTTATTCCACGCTATTGGCCTATGTGCGCTGTGCTTCCTCAATCCCTGTCTGCCATTCTTCTGGTGTTCACCCGTTTCGGTTTTCCGTTTTCTGCTAGCCTTGCCACTTACAGCTGGCTCCTGTTCCTCCGGGAAAGCTCGGGGTTCGGGTGCCACCTACAATGCAAGACTGATCAGTCTTGTGGGTGGAGCTCGGCGCCCCGTAAATCTCTGCAGCAAAAGCCCGCCAGGAGCCCCAGGAAAACTGCTGTACGATCACAATGTATCTTTGCAGCACCAATCATACGGTGAGGTACGTCGTATTTCTGATACCTCTGTCCCAGTAGCTAGCGCACGACGCTGCGGCTCGCTCAGTCCGTTCACCATTGCTGCACACTGAGTAAGGTACAAGCGGCATTTCAACCCACACCGCATGACGCCAGCCAAGAAGCTCCCGTTTGCAAAGTATCGCACACTAGATCACCAGACCGCAGTGGTCGTTCATCGACATCGCAGATGCTCTCTCTGGTGTTTCGTAGAGATTCTTCAATTCCTTCCTTTCCGTCGCCTGTCTTCTCGTACCAATTGATAGACCATGAGCCTCCTCGTACTTTCAACGGGCAGTGTCACCGTCGCCAGTGAGGAAAAGCGCCGCACAATACATCGTTTCGCAGGTGTGGCCGAATGCTGTCATTGAGCCAATCTCATCATTGTCCATCTCTGTGCTCTGTTCTACAGCGTCCCAGCTGCGTTGTACCGCGCCGCAGTTCGAAGCTGGTGTCTGCTGGCCGACGAGCGTAATCAAGCTTTTGATCCATGGGCATGCTCCTCCGTCCGCGGTATATCCACTGCGGGACAACTTAATCAGCGCTGCGAGACGTTTCGAGGACACGACCGACATAAGATAAAATACGAATGTACCCCATCGCCTTACGTATTCGTAGATGAGGATGCCGCACGGAGTAGCAATGTGCTCCGTATTACTGCGGGACAGGCGAATCTCTCGATTTGTTACGACGCCGCAGCGCTGTCCCGGGTATGGAGGCATCTTGCTTAATTTCCAGAATGGCACAGAGACAGAGACTTGCGCCAGCTCCATACACAGTAGCGCACTGAGTACGAGAGTATGGGAAAGAGGATCCTAGCCAGGGCAGGCCAGCCAATGGAGCAGGGGCTGGGATAGGCGAGCCATGGCGAGAGAAATTCGCGCAGCCGGCCTGCCCAGCTTCCTTAGCCCTGCCGTCTTCCGTCCGCGACTGTTACCGTGACAGGGCCTTGATAGCAAACAGCTTCTTGTCCTGGCCTGGCCTGGTGCCATTGTGAGCCCTTGGTGGCTGGCACTGTGTCCACCGCGAAACGAAATGCCGCGTCCGTGCCGCGTTCTGGGTTTGCTGTTGTGCTGTTGTGCTGTCCTATTTTGATGAGAGCGCACAGGCAAGTCAGAGGTGCGACCGCCAACCACGCGCCGCACCATGATCGACACACACGGACAAAAAGCAGACTGTCATCGAGAGCTGCCAACCTTGGCCCCTGCTGCCGGCTCTGTCGAGACTCACAGAGATCAGGGAGCACGAAATGAAACAACAGAGGACGGCACGAGCGGACACATCCTGCCACCAATGCCCCCTCGCTAGAATAGCACACGAAAACAAGAAACCCGTTTCGATGGTATCGCAGAAGCGGCCAGTGAGCTGCTGAGCGACATCCAAACAACCCGAACCAGAAAGCACTAATTCCACGCACACACACCACCGCGACCGCTTTTGTACGATACACTAAGAGCCACCCTCCTCTCCAGACATACCTATGACAAGTGCGCTCGCTGTGGCTCGCGCGCTTTCGCCTGTTGTTTTCTTGGTTCCAGGGGCCCGTGCTGTCGTTCGTTCGTCGGTGCCTCTTGTGTTTTTTCTGTTTCCTTTTCTTTCCAGCCTTCCTACTCCGTACGGAGTCTGTTTGTCATTACTTGCCTTCTTTGCTTTGTCCACGACATCTGCGAAATACCTCTTTTCTCTTCCCCCGTCCCCATCTCCACTTCTTCCGGCTTCTCGCTGTCCTCTGTTGTTCTCGTGTCGACATAAACAATCGTCGCTCGCCAGTCTCCTCTGCTTCCCGCGCCGGAACCGCTCTGGCTGTTTTCCTCACAATAAAAGTTAAGGTACGAAAGAAACCATCAATTCATCTGCTGCGTCGAATCGAATAATCAATTCGAGGCTCAATTGCTTCCTCCATCGCACCGTCTTCCCCATTCTTCATTCTCGCGCTTTTATCGTCCTTGTATTTTGCTGTCAAGCGACGTCAAGCAAGAGGGAAAAGCAGGCCACTACACAAATAAACCGGGTCGCCAGAAGCTAAAGCTAAGCTTTTCGCCGCCTCCGGAACTCGCGGCGATAACAAGAAAAATTGCGAAAATAAATTAAAATAACAAAGCACCCACCCAAAAACAAAGAAAAAAGACTCGCTACGATTTTTTTCGCTTACCTGCCGGCCTACCCTGGGCTGAAAAAAGGCGCATCAAAATAACGTCACGCTACCCCCAAACCACCCCAAAACCACCCTACTGGCCGCTTTTTCCTCCCCAGTCGCGCCGTCGAACTTCCTCCTTCTTTTCTTCCCTTCTCATTTCTTTCCTTCTTTTGCTTCTTTTTATTCTCTTTCTCATCCTTTCATCTTCTCTTCCGCCCACCACTAACTCTCCGCCTCCCCCCCCCTTTCTTCTCCAGACTTTTTGTCACCACACAACACAGTCGCAATGGCCGCCATCCGTTCCATCACACTCGCTGCGCGCGAGGAGGCTGTCGCCCACATTGCCAAGCGTTCCAACTGGGCCGGCCGCGAGGCTGGTGTCATTGTTGTGTTCGCCATCGTCTTCGTCGTCGGTGTCGGTCTGATCGGTCTGTGGATCCACAAGCTGCTGGCCGCCCGCAAGGCCGCCAGAGCTTCCCAGAAGTAAGCTGTCCCGCGAGGGCGGCGAGACGGGGAAGGAGACGGAGGACAACCGATTGGAGGAGCGAATGCGGGAGAGACTAATGAGCAGTCTGTCGTTGTCCCGGCGGCAGGCTACAGGAGGGGAGGGTGTCGTCACTTGAGGACGAGGGTGAAACGGATGTGTGTTGCGTGGCCTCCTAATATTGGATGAGGCGTTGAACAGCTGTCTGTGCCTCGTTTTCGATCACAGAAAGCCGTGCGCTCTCTCTACGCTCTGTTTGTTTACAAGGGAGCTTCCGGCCACAAAACGACGCGCTTTCTTTTCTTTTATTCATCATCACGCCTTTCATTCGGACATGTTGCGACAATCTCGAGAACCAATCAACAAAACGAACCAAAAAGAAAAAAAAAAAAAAAAAAAAAAACTAACGACTCGTGCCGCAAAATCAGTCAACGTTCAATCCCGGTCGTCGGAATATGCGCTGGGTTGTCGCGATGTACAGCAACACGCTCGGCATTGGCCCGTGTCGGCGATCATCCGGCAAAGCAAACCCGTCTTGCACTGCTGCGGCCATGCTTAGCAAGGGAACGAATCACTCGAAATCGCAGAAAGGAGATGACAAAAGGAATACCAGGCCGTCGTCTTTCTATGCGCACCTCTGCGCAATTCCACGTTTCTCAACTGCATTGCACAGGGGCGTGTCAACAAAAATACCTCTACTTTAAGCACGTTGGCTTCGGCTCTTTTTTTTCGCTATACAACACACGACGATAACGGGCAAGGACCGCCGCTTGTTGGATAGAGTCGGATAAAGACAGCTGGTTATTTTTGATGTATACCTTGTCATATTTGTGTATTCCTTTTTTTTTTTGTTTCTGCTGATATCACTGTAGAACGCATTTGACATTTTTTGACTACTGTTTCGCTTCTTTCCGCATGAATATTCGTGACTTCATATGTGCGCAACATGGTTTTCAATTCGCAGAACATATCGCATCAACTCATCAACCGCTGCTGCGTCACCGGCCAACCCCTCCACTTTCGAGATCAACAAATCACCAGAGACAATCTCATGAAACGGTCATTCTATCGAGGTGGATGAGGCCTTGCTTGGGCTTTTGAGAGTCGTCAGTCGGTCAGTCAAGATCTTCAGAGTGAATGTGAAAGGAAATCGAGAAAAATCGTAAAAACGCAAAAACGCAAAAACGCACCGGAATATACTGCCGCAGGCGCACACCGGCCTCTTCGAAGACGGCGGCCGTCTCAGCATCCATGCTATAGCCCTGGCTGTAAACCACCTCGCCGATGCCGACCTGCACGATCTTGATGCTACAAGTCAGACACGGGCAGGTATCGCAGTACAGGATCGTGTTGGCAAGCGACGCCGTCGGGATGCGCTCGCGCCCGGCCTCCAGCAGCGCATTCTCCTCGGCGTGCAGGCACAGACACGTCGCCAGCGCGACACCCGCTCCCAAGCCGCCGTTGCACCGCCCGCAACCGCCCTCGCCGCAGTTGCGCAAGCCGCGCGGCGTGCCGTTGTAGCCGGTGCTCACGACGCGCTTCTCGCGCACCAGCACACAACCCACGCGCCGCTTCATGCAGTTGCTCCGCTGCGCGGCGAGCGAGGCCAGCGACATAAAGTAGCGGTCCCACGACGGCCGCAGCAGCTGCTCGACGCCTTCCACGTCCAGCCCGGCCTTGTCGAGGGCCGCAAACAGCGGCTCCGTCGACAGCGTCTTCTCCTCGAGCCCACCGTTGGCAAAGCGCATGGCCGCCCGGGCCATGATGGGCAGCAGGGGCGCGTATGCCTTGGGCCCGCCGCCGTACAGCTGGAAGTCGGACTCGGTGACAAACGTTTCGAGGTCCATCGGCTCCTGGCTCTTTGTGCGCCGCTGGGCCCGCCGCCAACGCACCGCAACAGGGGCGTCCACGCTGATGAGCAGGAAGAAGGGGCGCCGACCAAAGATGTCCAGGACGGGCTCGCTCGCAACGTCGGTGGTCACCCAGCGCCCCCGCCAGCGCAGCGTGACAAAGTCGAGCAGCTCCTCGGCCGTGGCAAAGGTGGTCTGCGAGCCAGGTGACGAAGACGATGCCACGTCAGGGCCCGTGTCACCGCCAGCATTCGCCCGGATGCTCAGCCGTGTAAAGCCATGGCGCTCAACCAGGTACTGTGCAACCGTCGACTTGCCCGCGCAGATGCCTAAGCGGTGGTACCGTACGGTCAGCCTAGAAATCGACAGTAAAACACATACGCAGCCCACAGAGCAGAGTCGCCATGCATACTTCCACAGATTCCAATCAACATTGTCGTATGATGGTTAGCAACCAGTCCTGAATGTGTCTGTTGAATAGCTGCAGAGCGTCTCGTTCCCGTCTAACCAGATTGCAATATAACAGCTGTGAAACACAAATGCATGCAGATATCGAGCAGAAGACCCCCCGTGTTCAATTGCTCCACCAGACAACATGCCCCCTTGACAATCAAAAACGAAAAACGCGAACGCGGTGGGTGTCCCTTCTAAATTACGGCTCTCCACGCGTTTGCCCAAAAGACGCGACGGGGTTTGGCTCCAGTAGCGCCCAGCTCGTACGTCAACCTGCGGTCTGTCCCTGGCTGCAATGGCCGTGGAAGACTGAGCAGAATGTTACAAATTGTAAAAACAGACTGAAAATGTGTGAAAGCCTTGCTTTGCGTCAGGCAAAGCTCACATTAAGTTGCACACAAGCAGAGACGGGTCCTCTTCCTCGTCCTGTTTAGAGAGAACATGACTAAGACAGTCGACTTCCTATGAAAGAATGGAAACAGCAGCCCTCACGGGACTGACACTCCGTCTTGGCCAGGTGACTTACTCTATGATTCCGTCCGCCAGAACGCACCTGCCTCCACCTACAACCATGCCCTGTACGTTTCTTGCGCTGTTGTTGCCTGACTTCTGCCTTCGCTCACGGGTCAGCAGGCCTATGTGAGGCCTGGCCAGTTCCCAAGCTCTTGCCGCGTGACGCAATGCTAGCTGATTAGCGAGCAACCAGGCATGCAAGAATGCCTATGCAACTAGCTGTCTCAGACAGGTCTAGGCGGCTTCTTCTGTAGGGCGAGCTGTGCCGTAATTATTACCCCGCCTCGAGCCCGCGCCATCCACCATTTCACTATGGCTTTTTGTACGTCGCAATTACGTCGTATGTCATCCGGCCAAGACTCACACCAAACTGACGGTTTGCAGGCCTAGTTCCGTAGTTCTAGGCGGCTTCTGCATTGCTCTGATATGCGCCTTCCTTAATACCAACGACTGTCGTTTTGCCTCCTGCCGTGTCTTCCTTTATGCCGCGTAGCTTGTCCTTTACTTTCCTCTCGTGATTAATTCAAACATCATTTCCATCACCTACAATCATTCCACAAACAACAACGTTCCATCGTGGGCACAAACGACGCATATTGCTATACACGAACGACGAGCTACCCTACCATAGATAGCACTTGCGACCCTTTATTCCTCCGCGAGCAGAGCTATCACCCAACGGCTGTCGACCGCCAGCGATACATCCGCATCGTAGCCAAGAACAGCTGGCATCACGCAACTCGTTGCGAAGCGCGACATATAGAACAAGCCCATAAAGGGGAGGAGGAGATACAACACGCACACGCACATAGACAAGGAGAGGGAGACGGGCACGCCTGCAACCGCAACCATGGCCGGTCTCCAGTTTGCGACGTTCAACTCGCTCGTCGAGATGCCGTTCTACTCGGCCCTATTTGCGTCCAAGCTCGACCATGACAAGCTTGACGACTCTGCGCGCGCCGTTTTGGGCCTGTACGAGCCGCGCGGCGAGAAAGACCCGAGCATCAGCTCTCAGATGCAGATTCAAGGCGGGGCCTTGACAAATAACCAGTACGTACGGCCGCGTGGCCACGGTCGACAAGTCGTCATAATACAGCGCTGCGTGTTTGAAGGCAAGCTGCTAACCAGGACGTAGAGCACCATCGGGCATGATCCGCGCAGAGGGCATTATCAAGAACTTTAACACGATAGAGGACTTCAAGCAGGCAGACAAGGCTGCTATGATGCATACAGCGGCCCGCCAGGTAGGCTGAGCCCGACTCCTCCAAGGCCACAGGCACCACAAAGACTAACCGCGTGTTGTACAGATCTGGGATGCGATCAAAGACGGAAGCATCTACGAAGTTCCCTCCCTTCTCTCCTCCTTCAACATCATTTCGTTTGCCGATCTCAAAAAGTACCGCTTTACCTACTGGTTCGCATTCCCAGCCCTCCACTCCGACCCGCAGTGGAAGCGAACCGGCGCGGTCAGTCAGCTCGGGAAGAAGGAGACACTCCAGCTCGTGGACAAGGTCGGCACATGGCGCTATGCGACGGACGGTCGGCAGCACGGTTTCTTCCTCGCCAAGCGGGTGCCGATTGGCAAGTCCGGTAGCGGTAGCGGTAGCGGCAGCGGTGGCGGTGATGTTGGTGATCGTGAGAGCGAGAACAAAGGCGAGAGCGGAGACGCCGAAGATGGCGGTAGCAGCGTCCGCTCGCGCGATTCTGCGACATTCTTGGGCCCAGACGAGATCGAGCTTGGGTTTCGGTGGGAGATTGGGTCCCTGCGGGACGGTGAAACGGGCTTCTTTAACGACGTTCCTGAAAACGACCAGTACATCTCGTTTGTCGACCCATCAACGTACCCCGAAAACCCGTCTTGGCCGCTGCGCAACCTGCTCGTCCTGGTTCGACAGCGGTACCATCTGCGCAAGGCGCAGATCCTTTGCTACCGCGACACACAGGCACGGCGCGACGAACCGCGCAGCATCGTCCTGCCGGTGGAGCTCGATGGCAACATCGAGCAGATGCAGACGTCGGAGATGCCCAAGGTGACTGGCTGGGAGCGAAATGCGAACGGCAAGCTGCAGGCCCGCTTGGCGAACCTCGCCGACTACATGGATCCCGCGCGGCTCGCTGATCAGGCCGTCGATCTGAACCTCAAGCTGATGAAGTGGCGCATCTCACCCAATCTGGACCTCGACAGCATGAAGAATATGTCGTGCCTGCTTCTCGGTGCAGGCACCCTAGGTAGCTATGTGTCGCGCAACCTGATGGGCTGGGGCGTGCGGCGCATCACATTTGTCGACTACGGCTCCGTCTCGTTTTCGAATCCCGTGCGCCAGCCCCTCTTTGAATTCAAGGACTGTCTTCAGGGTGGCGCACCAAAAGCAACACGCGCGGCCGCTGCACTCGAGTCGATCTATCCCGGTGTCGAGGCCGAGGGCCATGTTCTCTCGGTCCCGATGCTCGGCCACCCAGTCGTGGACGAAGCAAAGACACGCGCCGATTATGAGAAACTCGAGGCGCTCATTGACAGCCATGATGTCGTCTTTCTTCTCATGGACACGCGCGAGTCCCGGTGGCTGCCCACGATCATGGGCAAGGCCAAGGGCAAGATTGTGCTGAACGCGGCGCTCGGCTTCGACACATATGTGGTTATGCGCCACGGCGCGACACCCCACGACGGCTCGGAGGATACGCTGGGCTGCTACTTCTGCAACGACGTCGTCGCCCCCGCCGATGTAAGCCCATTTTGTTTTACCATTGTCTCCCGACCTTCTTCTCAAATACTAACACCCTTCTTCTCAGTCCGTCAAAGATCAGACGCTGGATCAGCAGTGCACCGTGACACGGCCAGGTGTGGCAGCCATTGCTTCGGCGCTGCTCGTCGAGCTATTTGCAAGCATCATGCAGCATCCGTCACGACACCACGCTGCCGCGCCGAAGACCTCGAAGCGCTCCAGCGAGGCGCCAAGCTACGAGCGCGACCCCGAAGACCACCCGCTCGGCATCGTTCCTCACCAGATCCGCGGCTTCCTTGCCAACTTCCAGAATGTGCTCATCCACGGCAAGTCGTATGCGCAGTGCAGTGCCTGCAGCCGGCCGATCCTCGATGCCTACCGCAAGGAGGGCTGGGACTTTGTCAAGAAGGCGCTCGGCGACCGTGAATATGTGACGGAACTGTCGGGCCTGGCCGAGATCCAGCGCCAGGCTGAGGCTATGGCCGAGGCACTCGACCTGAGCGATGATGATTTGGAGGAAGACGATGGAGAGGCTGTTATGCTGTGAATGTTTCCAAGGCCTTGGCCTACGTCTGTTGTCGGATGCGGCGTTTTCTGTAATGATATGGGCGCGTCTTTATTTTATTCTATTATATTGGGAAAGGCGTTTCCGTTCGATTTTTGAGTTCCGTCACACATTTGAATTTTATTTCGTTGGTTCGATATTTTTTGTACAAAAAATGTCTATCATTTTTATTTATTTAAAGAGGGCTCTGTCACTTCCCACTGCAAAAATCTGGGCCTCGTGGCTCACTTTTTTGAGATGCTGTCAATATAATTGACAGCTCTTCGCCGTATATCCAATGCCGTTCAATCAACTGCTCCGAAACCATAGACAGTCATGAGGGCAGTCGCGATGCCCCCGTGCTTGGGTCAGCACTGCGCGTGGGGCAAGAGCTTTGCGTTCCTGGCAAGGAAGTTGCATTAAATCCCCACTTTTTGACACATTCCGTCGTGTTCGCACCTTCCCCGTGTTATTAATGCGCCCCAGAAAACCGAGCTTTGTATCTCTGCACGTCGTACGAATTACGGAGTACAACATACTCTCGTAATTACAGGGCATTTACCTAAAGTTCCTTTCCCCACAAAACATCCAACTTCGTTTGATCTGTTCTCTAAGCTCACTTCACGCCCTCTCTTCCAGTTCGGAAGCAATCCGTTCGTTATCTGTCGGCTTGCGCCAAGATTTCGCCGGACATCTCCTTTTATTGCGCCCTTGGCACGCTCGTTACATTTCGAGGTTCCGAATTTCGATCTTTACCAGCTTTTGTCGTGCCTGTTCGGCCAACCTCGTGAACCCGTCCCTTTCCCTCCTTATCGCTCGGCATACGACAGCAGACACGGCGGAACACGCGCCTACGGTATATTCGAGCCCAGGGGACTGAAAAACAACAAAAGAAGCCAGGTTTGCATCGTCTAGGAAGCACGGGGTCAATCAGGAGCTATTTTGAGTATTGCACATCGGCACCGCACAATGGCGCTCCGCTCGCGCTGGTCGGCGATGGCTGGCCGGCTGTTCGAGTTTGGATCCTACCGTACGGTCTCCGTACACGACTATGCAAACGTCCTCGTGCCCCTGGAAGAAGCCCACGACTATAGCCATGCCGCCCGCACGGGGCGCCGGTCCGAGTACGAAGCGCCACCAGGCGAGGACGATAGCCATGGCGTTGATGACGACGACGACGACGTCGAGAGCGGCAGCCGAACCGACCTTGACAACGGCGAGCGGCGAAAGCACACAGGCAAGTCTCGGCGTGTTGGCCCGGCCGACGACGATGAAGATGAGGACGACAATGAAGCATCCGCGGCATCTGGTATGCTGCCGATGCGGGCCTGCGAATACAGCATTGAAGGCCTGCGGCGGGAGGTACGGAAAAGCCCTGACGGCAGCAAAGAGGGGCGACAGCGATGGACAGACTATGAATGTGCGTTCCCTCCTACACTTTCGTGGGAATGCCCACGATGCTTCATCTCCTGCCCCCGTCTGCTGACAAATATGCAGTAAAATCGAAGCTCATCAATAAAGCGATCCAAGACATCGGCATGGGCCGATACAACTGGCAGCTCTTCTTCTTGTGTGGATTCGGCTGGTTCGCAGACAAGTAAGCCCCAGCCATGTTCTTTCGATTCTGAAATGTGCGCCTACTGACATGCTGGGTTTACTCTTCATTGCAGCTTATGGATGCAAGTAAGTATACTGTATCCCGATAATTTACGTCTGGTATGGTTGTTTTCTAATCAAACCCTAGGGTGTCTCCTTAATTCTCCCGTCATTATCAGCCGAGTTTGGTATCTCAGAGAAGACCGTTCGTTACACTACGAGCGCGCTTTTCCTGGGACTTTGCTTCGGTAGCTTTTTCTGGGGCATCGGCTCCGACGTAATGGGTCGCCGGCTCGCTTTCAACTGCACCCTTCTGATTACCAGCATCTTTGGCACGCTAGCCGGCTATGCCTCTTCATGGGGCATGGTGTGCTTCCTCGCTGCTGCCCTTGGTTTCGGCGTCGGCGGTAACTTGCCCGTTGATGGTGCTCTCTTTCTTGAGTTCCTGCCAGACGCTTCCAGCTCACTTCTTACGCTTCTCTCTGTTTGGTGGCCCGTGGGCCAGCTGTGCTCCTCGCTCCTGGCGTGGATGCTGATTGCAGACAGCAATGCAGAAGGCTCTCCCGACGTCACAAGGTGGCGGGGTTTTATTAAGGCAATTGGCGTCATAACGTTCATTATGTTTGTCGTCCGCTTTTTCGTCTTCCGCCTATTCGAGTCCCCAAAGTATCTACTTTCACGGGGCCGTCAGAGCGAAGCAATCGCCGTGATCCATGGCCTAGCGCACCGAAACGGCACCAAGACGTGGCTCACGGAGGAAATCTTGGAATCTGTGGCCGAGGACAGCGAGGGCGGCCCTTTTACCGCAGCTGTGAATGAGAGAAACAGCTTTGTTGGCTACGATACTACCAACAACGATGACGACGACGATGAGGCGGGTCTTTTCGACCATGGTCGTCAGAGCAGCGCGACTGCTGCGCCGCACGGCCGCAAGCCTCAGACGGGCTCCGTTATCCGTGACCGCCTGAAAGCCTTCTCAGGCGACCGGTTGCGGCCTCTCTTCCACACGCGCCAGCTTGGCATGGCCACGGCGATTATCTGGTTCGTGTGGGCTACGATCGGCATGGGCTATCCGCTGTTCAACGCTTTTCTGCCGCAGTATCTCTCCCATGGCGGGGCCGCATCGCCCTCTGCGCCTGCGCTATTGGCGTTAAGAGACGAAGGTGCTGGTGCAATTGCCGACACGCCCATAAGCGTGACCTACCGCAACTATGCCATCACTAGCATCGTCGGTGTTCCTGGCAGCCTTCTTGCTGCCTACACGGTCGACAATCCTTCGCCGTTCCTCGGCCGCCGTGGTACGCTGGCTGGATCGACGTTGATGTCGGCCATTTTCTTGTTCTTCTTTGTCACATTCGGCCATTCGCCCGGCTCGCAGCTGTTCTTCTCGAGCGTTGGGGCGTTCTCTCAGAACATTATGTACGGCGTCCTCTACGCCTTCACACCCGAGATCTTCCCGGCCCCCGTCCGTGGTGCCGGCACGGGCGTGGCCTCTTTCCTCAACCGTATTACGGGCCTAATCGCTCCCGTGATCGCAGCGACGTTGCCGGGCGATGGCGCGACGGGGCCCATCTACCTGTCGGCCGTGCTCATTTTGTCAGCGTTTTTCGGTATGATTATGATACCCATCGAGACACGTGGCCGCCAGCGGCTATAGAGCGTTTATTTTGGGCGTGTCTGCTTGAAAGGCTTTGATTTTTATAGTCTATTGTTTGAGGTGCATAATAGAAGAGAAGCGACATGTAGGGTAATTTTTGATACGACACAAGCATTTGGAGAGGTCTTTAGAAATTTTATTATTTGGCATTAAAATTATTTTTGTTTTATTTGTATTCACCATTTCCCACGGATACGCTTTTCTTGTGCCTCCTTCACCCGGCTGTGCCTCCTCCAGAGCACATGGCTACACACAACGGCGGAAGAACGAAAAAAGCCACGAATCGAAACGGATGAGGTACAAATTGAGATTTATATTGCTTTTTGGGACTGCGCCACGCGTTAAATAACCCGACAGGGAAAACTAACCCCCCTAAAAAGAAAAAAAAGGCCCCAATAACATCAAGACGCTTCCCCGGTCCGGTATACAACCTTGGCAAAAACTACAGTCACATTGAAACTACGAGGATGGTAGATTCGGGTTATAGGCCATCGATCCGATCAAAATCTGCTAGTACATACTTTTGAGACAAAAAGGGGCACGTACAGCAGGTTTTCCAACGACCATTACCTGCTTGGCAGACTCTATATGAGCCCACGACGTGGCTAAGAACAGATTCGTTGCCGCCAGCCAGACAACACGGGAAATGTCCTGGTACAGACGGGCAGTGAAGCGAAAGCCAGGGAAGAAAGCCATCGCGGAACGGAAGGGGAATCTATGGAAGACGCCGGGCCGCTGCTCAACAAGGAAGCTGGATTTTTATGTATCCCGGATTGCGGGTTCGGTATCGATTTACTCGCCATATGCTCTTCAAGTGATGCTATATTTGGCACCGTGTATGTTTCCTGATGCTACGTGATGAGGTGGAAGAAGTGGAAACGGCGACGATGAAAGAGATGCGCTCACATACAGGGTTGTTTGCACATGAGGCGGAGATCGTATTGAGCCGTTGAAATGAGCCGGCCGGATGCGCCAGCGGATACTGGTAATGCCATCCTGTCAGGTGCACACACGTATTAGGTGGAAAATAAAAAAGAAAGAGGGTAGAGAGACAAAACGAAGATGACATGGAATCGGAACCATTGTGAGTCGAACTGATGTACACGGTACACGTTTGTTTGAATCGAGGACGGTTATTGACGGTTCTCCAATTCCTGGTATTTTGATCTTCCATCTATCTCATTAATGAAGTCTGTTGGCATACTATGCCTCTTATAGGCCAATTTGACGACTTAATATGTAGACATGATAGGCGCGCCTTGAGTTGTGTCTATTTTTGCTTTTATTTTCGCTGCCATCGAGCGCCAAGCATGAGATGGGAATTAATATCAGGAGGATGTCGATTTTGCCGTGAATCCCTCTCCTATCGCCCCCCTCTCCACTCTGACTTGTGTTTGTTTCTATTTTCCTAATTTTTACACTCACTGACGTGATATTCTTGACATAGTCGACCACGTTTCTTCTGCTCTCAGACCTGATAGTTTCCAAGCATCACAACACCATAGCAGCTAACGGTTTAAATGCCCGGCCAGGCGACTGTACCCCAGTGCCGCAGGCCTGCATGAAATAACAGAGCCAGGTTAAACAGCAAAACGCCGAAGAAAGGTAACGCACGACATCTATAACCCTATTTCGGGACGGAAACATGGAGTCTTAGCAGGGGAGTCAGGGCAGAATCAACCGAAGTCCGTCACCTTCCTCATTGAGAACCCCATTGAAACGGCCGCGATTAATTGAAGTTGAAAGGGAAACAAAAGAGAAGAAAACGAAATCACCAAAGATAAAGAAGAGGAGAAAGTAAGCAACCTGCCGCAAAAAGCATAAAATTAGTGCCGTTGTATGTACAACTTGCCTGCGATCGTCGACAAAACGACGATCACATCTCATACTAAGCGACGGCAGCTCGACATAGCATCACCAGCATTCCAGTTGTCCCGAGTTCAAATTCGTGTTTTCTTTTTTTGTTCTTTGCGACGAATACGACATCTGGTGAGTTAATTTAAAAAGAAAGTACAAAAGAAGGCAAAAGAGGCAAGCACATAAGAGACACGCCGAGGAAAGAGCGACCGATGAAAGTAGATATCGCGACTGCGTTTCTATAACTGTGTCTCACCTTCCCTTTCACTTGACATTGATGTTTTCCGTGGCGACTCCCATACACGAGCAAACTTGCTTAGTAACGCCACAGCCCTCTTTGAGGAGACAGTTAAGAGTTGCAAATCGCCGTTTCGCAAAGTATCACCATCTCATCGCCTACACCCACCCGTTTCCTAAGAGCCATCGCAATCGGAAAGCATGAAGTGGTCCAGCTCACTGTCGGCCCTTCTGGCCAGCACGGCCACTTTTGTCTCGGCAAGCCCTGTTGCTTCTCGTGAATTGAAGCTCTACAACCTCAAGATTGTCGCGTACGTTTTCTCATCGTCTCCGCCCGCTTCGATGTGCGTCTGTTCCATAGCTCCAAGTCGCTAACAACACAGGCCCCTCGCATCCAACCTCAACGGCCGCTACCTGTCTATCAACCCTGACGGCAGCGTGGGCATATACTCTAACCACCCTGTCGACTTGGGCGGGGTCCCGCCGAGCGCGCCTGTGCCGCCGTCGGCATCGTCTTCCCCTGCGAGCGGCCAAGTCCAGCCACCGCCGGCGGCCAAGTTCTACGTCACCCAGTCCGGCCCCACGGGGTCCCCGGCGGCCAGCTACTACGAGCTGCACACCTACCCCATTGGCATCGTCGACCATGCGCTGGGCCTTAACGGCTCCGCGACTGCCGGTCTCCGTCACCTCGTCGACGTGGTCAACCCTGGGGCGGCCGGTGCCGGCACTGGTGGGGACAATGCGCCCGACTGGAGGTCGTTTACGCTGGACAACTTTGATACTCTCGCGGGCGGCGATGACAACGGCGACGGCAACGGTGCCGAAGGCCGTGCTGAGATTGACATCGCCAAGCGGATCCCACCGCCTCTGCCACTCAACGGTTTCTCGTACGGCGGCTCCGGCCACGGAAAGTGGTTGGTGTTCCCGCGAGGCAGCAATACCTTTGTCGTGGCGTGGTATGATGGTAAGTTTTTTTTTAATCCCTCTTTGTTCTCTTCCGTTTTTGCTTTTGTTTGATAGCGTGACCTAACAACTTCCCCAGGCACATCGATCATTACTCAAAACTACCGTTCTGTTGATATCATCTACGAGCCGACCACAGCGTAAAACCTTGGCGAACGGCCAGTTCAGAAGGACGTTACGACGGTAGATGGGTGAGGGAGTTGAAAAGGAGACGACGCAAATTACGAGACGTGGCAGGCTGTCATGTCCCCATGTTCGAGCTGCCTAGGTTTTAGTCCGTGATGTGCTGTGATGAAAGGACAATCTTATTCGTGACGTTTTGATGCTCCATTCAATTCCTTATCTTTTTCACGCCCATACTGCGCACTAGCTTTGCATGAACATAAAGCAATTGCCCCCTTTAGTACATCTTGGCATCCTGCTATCACACACAGGTCGGGAGGCTGGGAAGCGATATAATGTGAAAGCTGTTTTTTATACTTTTTTTGTATCTGTCTCTTGTCAGGGTGTTTTTTGGTTTTTCGTTAAATAGACGAGCATATGTATATGCTCGTTATCCCCCTCTTTCTATGACCGTATTCCTTCGACGACCGGCCATCTGTCTTTTTCTTTTTCCTATTTCAGCTTCCGAAGATCGGGTAAAACACCAAGTCTCTCTCACCCACTGCGTCTTTCCTCCAAAACGCACTCTCCAATCATGAAATAGACGAAAGAGGAAATTTGAACTAAGATACCAAATTCCGATACAATATAGATGAAAGGAACAAGAATAAAACCGACATGGCAACTATGCACCATGCAGTATGCAAGACGAGAGGTGCCAAAAAAGAAAAAATGCGGAATCCAAGACACAGCGGCCTTAGAACGACATCTCCTTCTTGATCTCGGCAATGGCACGGCCAGGGTTCAGGCCCTTGGGGCATGTCCGCGTGCAGTTGAGGATGGTGTGGCAACGGTACAGGCTCATGGAGTTCTCAAAAGCCTGCTTGCGTTCGGCCTTCTTCTCGTCACGGGAGTCGGCCAGCCAGCGGTAGGACTGCAGCAGGACAGCGGGGCCGAGGTACTCCTCCGAGTTCCACCAGTAAGACGGGCAGGACGTAGAGCAGCAGAAGCACAGAATGCACTCGTAGAGGCCGTCGAGCTTCTTGCGGTCCTCCTTGCTCTGGCGGTATTCGCGGCCCTACGAAAAACGGGGTTAGTCTTGGGTTTCCCAGCACCATCTCGCCCTCGTTCCAACTCTTTTCAAACTCACATCAGGCGCGGGAGTGTCTCTCTGCAGATACGGCTTGATCGACTTGTACTGCTTGTACAACAGAGTCAGGTCAGGAACAAGGTCCTTGACGACGTAGGTGTGCGGCAGCGGGTAAATCTTGGCTTCGGACGTATCGGTGGGAATGCGGCCTGGATTGTCAGCGAGACGGAGCATGTCAACAGGAAAAGACGAAAAGAAAGAGCCCTGCAGGGCGAAGGGCGACTTACAAAGACAGGCCAGGGTGTTGACGCCATTGATGTTCATGGCGCAGCTGCCGCAAATGCCCTCACGGCACGAGCGACGGAAGGTGAGCGTCGGGTCCTGCTCGTTCTTGATGCGGATCAGCGCGTCCAGCATCATGGGGCCCGTCTTGTTCAGGTCCAGCGTGAAGGTGTCCATGCGCGGCTTCTCCGACGGCGTGTCGGGGCTCCAACGGTAGATCTGGAAGCTCTTGAGCCGTGGTGCGGCCGCGGCGGGCGCGTCCGACGTGGTGGCCATGGAGCGGCGCACAGATTGTGAGGGAGAGGAGGGCGAAGCGGAAGTCGACTTGGCGAAGGCAGCAGCCATTGGCCGGGCGGCCATCGACGGACGCGATGAGGCCGACGCCAGCAGGCGCATTGTGGAGGAGCGGAGAGCGGCCATTGCGGCGGTTATGAGGCGAGGTCGGATGGAGACGAATGGGAGAGAGAGAAAGAATGCTGCGTCAACAGTCTCGACGATTGGTACTTTCCGGAGGTCGACCGGATGAAAGCCAGTTGCTCAATCGAAAGAAAAACAAGAAAACAAAAAAGACAAAGAGCAATTGACGGACGTAGGTCGCCGGAGAGGATGCAAGTGCGCGATCACGAGGGTGCGTGATAGACAATGCGTTGTCTGACGATGCTGAGATCAAGATCGGAACACCAGAAAGAAAAGCAGTGAGAGTTGCAGTAGTGTGTGGTGGTGGTGGAAGCAGTTCACTGGAGGTTTGTGTGTGTCCGGGTTTTTTGCCTGCAGTGTCCCTCGTCCCCCCCGTTCATGACGATGGAAATTCGGGACACCTCGGCTAGTGAAGCCAGCGCACTGTGGTGGTGCTGTAAATAGGCGCTGTGGCCAATGAGAGCAGTCATATTGTCAACCCGTTACCCCAAGGGACGATTCGGAGGCATGCTGACTGGGCAGGAGACATTGGTCTTCACGTGCTAGCCGTAGAGGCGAGCCGTGGGCAGGAGCCGTGGGGAGTTCGGGGGAGGATGAGGGTGAAAGGAACAAGGCACATGCTTACTGTGTGGAGAAGGTGCGAGGGGGAATTCTGACTGTGTACCTGTGCTACTGCGGTGATTTCTTGTGCGCAAAGGTACCGATAAAGACGCTAGCAGGGTACATACATTTGCACCCATAGTACACAGACAGAAATGTACTCCGTAGCATCGAAATCTTGTGGGTAGCTGCAAGCGTCGGTCTAATGACATAGCGTCGGCCGCTCTAATCTGGTAGCGAGCAGCGAGCCAGGAACGACACTGCAAAATAGTATCGCCAAGTTTTTTTTTTGCTGCAATCTGCCGCGTTGCTTTCGTGCCGCGCAACAGCTCACGACAACGATTTGCAAGGGCCCTGTGTCGCATCCCACCCACGCCAGCGTACCTAGTGCCATTCAAAGCGCGTCCTGGCCAGCGAGCAACACGGCCGACACGCTTCTCGAGTCCATCTTTTCGCTTCCGACTCCCCTGCGCCGGCGGCCCTTTGAGAGTCAAAGGGCTGCCATCATCGTCACGGCAATTGGCCCGACGCCAGCCGTGCGCAAGCAGCCTCTTCAGCCTACCTGTCGTTGGCTCTCACTACACACACAGGACGCTCGAGCATGGCCATCCGATCTGCGCAAGCGGTACTGTCTGCTTCCTGGCCCTGCGTACGACAATGTAAGTATATATGATATCTGCTGGCCGCTGAGCTACAAAAACGCCTTGTGCCAATATAAATTATGTGCTCGTCATGACTGACACGCGGCGCAACAGCAGCATCCTCAGTAGCTTTCACAGTTGCACGACGACAAGAAGCATCCCTTCTGGCGGCGCGTACCCTCTCCCTCGCCTCATCTGGTCGGCATTACTCGGCATACGCCTCCTCCTCTGCGTCCTCCTCCTCTCCGACCATGGCGCCAGCTGCTCCGAAGCGGCCGTCTCTGGCAAACGCTGGCCGTGGTCGGGTACAAGCACAAGCCTCGTCGGCGCGCAGGAGCATCTTCTCCTACAGCGTCGCTGCGTCGTACATCGCCAAAGACCGCCCGTTTGACCCCAACACCCACGTCTTCCACTTCAACCCCTACAACCGCCTCCAGCAGAACACCTCCACACAAAAGAAGAAGCCATCGCAGCGGCCCGAGAGTGGCCAGGATGCCTTTTTCGTGAGTCGCGTCGGCGACACTGGCACAGTAGCACTGGCAGTAGCCGACGGCGTCGGCGGCTGGATGGACTCGGGCGTCGACCCGGCCGACTTTTCCCATGGCCTCACCGAGTACATGGCCGCGGCCGCCTACGAGCACGGCAAGCCTTTGGGCCAGGGCCAGAAACAGCAGACCAAGTCCGCCGGCCAAGGGGCATCCACACCCACACTCTCGGCCCGCCGTCTCCTGGAAATCGGCTATCAGGCGGTGCGCCATGACCGTTCCATCGAAGCCGGCGGCTCCACCGCCATCGTTGGCTTGCTCTCGCCGGACGGCGAGCTGGAGGTCGCCAACCTCGGAGACAGCGGCTACATCCACCTGCGCCTCAACGCCGTACACGCCTGCTCCGAGCCGCAGACGCACGCTTTCAACACGCCCTACCAACTCAGCATGATCCCGCCCAACATCCTGGCGCGCATGGCCGCTTTCGGCGGTGCGCAGCTCAGCGACGAGCCGCGCGACGCCGAGGTCACGCGCCACGACCTCTGCCACGGCGATGTGCTCGTCTTTGCGTCCGACGGCGTCTGGGACAACCTCTTCAACCAGGACATTCTGCTGCTCGTGAGCCGCGCCATGACGATGACGGGCGCGTGGCAGGCCACCACCAAAGACGCAGGCGCCGCCGTGGCTGTGGCGCCGCCGGCCGTGCTCAAGCGGTTGACCGACCCGGACACCGCCGAGGAGAGCAGCGGCAGTCACGTCATCACCCTCCAGAGCCTGATTGCCACGCAGGTCACGGGCGCGGCCAAGGCGGCGAGCGTCAACACCAAGCTCGATGGGCCCTTTGCCAAGGAGGTCAAGCGCTACTATCCACAGGAGACGTGGCACGGCGGCAAGGTGGATGACATTTGCGTCGTCGTGGCCATCGTCTCGGAAGAGCCTGCTGCTGCTGGCAGCGGCAGCAACGACGGCGACGCACCGATCAAGAGCAAGCTCTAGAGCCAGACAGCGTCCCACGACCCACTCTTCCTTGCTTCCACATCGCTTATAGACGTGAGCTTTGTCTTGTCATTTCTTTTTACTATTTTTCAACGCCCATTTGGAAATTTGGGTACTGTGGCTTCTTTCTCTTGCATCGTTTTGGCATATTCACGGCGTCCATGGCATGAGTCCGTTTTACGTTTTTTGTCCTCATATGTGTTCTTGGTTTCATTCGTTCTCTTTCTTTTTGCATATAGACCAATTAGTACGAAAATCAGCTTTTCCCGGAAACGGACTTGGACGTCGGAGAGACATCTTTGTATATTATTAAACTTATACAGGGAGAGAATACGGGGTAAAATACATGACATGCTAACGGCGTCGATTTTATGGCTTTCTTGGGATCTCTTGTCTTTCGTTTGCAGCTACTATGGTATCATGTTTCCGCGACATGAATGCGCAAGACACAACGCAACACATACATGCGAACATAACATCATGCACGTCGATTGTGGTTCCCAATGCCGATGCCGTTGGACGATTGACAGTCTGCGGGACAGAGGGTGCTGCCGACGGATGCATATGCACGTCCTGCCTATGGTGTCTAGGGTATCTTGTACAAAACCATGCGTGGCCCCGTAAGTATGATCCTGTAGTAGTAATCTTGTGTATCTTTGTACTCCTTGCCAATCTAAAATGGCCTCGGTGGTCGCCCAGTCAATTTGCTTTAGATGGAGTACCCGACAGTACTCCGTAGCACAGCGGCGGGTTTTACTCCAGGACGCCCGTTTTTTTTGGGTGGGGGGGGGGGGGTCCCTGAGAACGAGTGATGTCTTTTGCTTCTACGACGTATTGCTAGGACATTTTATGCAGACATTACAACTGGCCTCATGGCCAAACTGACGAACAATACAACATAGTCAAGGCCAATACCGAACGACAGGACAAGCCAGATTCCATTGCGTATCGCAGATCAAATCTCAATGATGCCGAAATCAAGCGGGAGCCGAGACGGAGACATCTACAGTTCAAACGGGCCCAAGACACTTGCTGAACACGGGACATCGGAGAAGGGAACACGCGCAATGAGAAACTAACGTCTCATACTAGCCGAGAAGGACGCGTTAAGAAATGGGTGAGAGAGAAAGACACAGACCATGGGGGCCAAAAATGATCAAAAAGTTTGAAGTAACGATGCGTGCCAGCCCCAGTGTTTGATTCACACAAAATTCAATCAATGTACTCTAGTCTCAGCTGTATGTTGTGTATATTTGCAAAGAAAAATCATATTAGGCGGGGGTAGGAAGGTTCATGCGAAACCCCAAAATAATAAATAATAAATAATCCGGTCATTCATCTTTTCCAAGCCATCTTTGAAAAGAGTAAATCAACGACATAAATGAGAATCCCTTGGTAAAATAAAAGGTCAACAAAACAACGCAACCAGTCCTAGTCAGTCTTAGCTGCTTAGTTGAAGTACAACAGAGCAGCAATGGTGACCAGGACGAACGCCAGAGGCGACTTGGCCTGGGGGCTGTTGTTGGTGTTGGCAGGGACGGTGGTGGGCGAGGTGGTAGCCTTGGTGCCAGTCGTCGAGGCTGCAATTGGTTAGCACTAAATTCAGACCACTGCATTATCACAATGACGGTGATGGACACGCGATGATGGGAACTCACTCTTGGTGGCAGTCGTGGTCGAGTTGGAGGCGGCAGTCGTGGTCAGGTGAGTGGTCTTGGACGACGAGGAAGACGACGTCGACGACGACGAAGAGGTGGAGCTGGAAGACGAGGCATCAGACGAGGACGAGGTAGCAGACGAGCTAGACGTCGCAGCAGTAGTGGACGAAGCAGTCGAGGCGCTGGCTGACGCAGATCCGGTGCCCGTCAACTGGAACTGCTTGCTGTAGTTGGGGCCAGTCGAGTCGGAGATCTCAAAGGCGTAGGTGCCCGAGACAAGGTCAGTCGGGACAGGCCAGGTGAAGCTATCACCCGAGTCGTTGGCTGCGACGTGGTCAGCATGCGATGTTGGTCCTACAAAAAGGAAAGAAAACAGAGTTCCGGGCAAACATACAGTCAATGGTCCGGACCTTCTTCAGGTCGGTGGCACTGCCGGTAACCAGAGTAATGGTGACAGGGCCTGTAGCGTTGTGCCAAGTCAGGGTGAAGGTTGAGCCAGGGGTAACATCGAATGCGGAGTTCGTGAAGGCCGGGATGGCGCTGACGGTGGTGGCCAGAACGGCGACAATGGAGGCAACAGAAAACTTCATTTTGACTTTGTGTGTTGAGTAACAGCGAATGTGGTAGAGAAGTGTAAGAGGTGAAAGATATTAAGCGGCGAGTCTGGTGTGTTGTCGAAATAAAGAGGCGTAAAGATTGTAATGGTTGTTGAACGAGAGACTAGAAAGTTGTGGATTCTGTTGGCCACGAGGAACCGAAGTTAGAAAAACGTGTCAAGAACCACCAAAAAAAGTAAAGCTAACTGAAGTGGATGAGCGCGTGTGAATAAATGTCAAGGCAAAGGAAAGAGAGGTGAAAAGCAAATCAAAGAATATGGGATGTGCTGAGAGAGAAGACGATTCCAGAAGTGCGAGCAAAGGCTAGTATGCAGGAATGAAACAGGGAATGGACGCGCAACGGGCGTAACCTGGCAAACTAGGCTGGGCCGAGCAGGAAGCACTGTTTTGTGTGTTGTTTTCTCTGCTGCCTTTCTTTCCAATCCGAGACAGTGCATATGCTCTGGATGCAACAGGCAAAAAGACAAAGACACGAGATTTCGGGATTCCCGCAGGGGCTCGAGGCTGAATGTCAGAGGGCCTGGAGGCTGAACAGAGATGATGCGTACGAGACAAAAGAAAAACACATGCGAGGGGTATTGGTCGGAGGCGGCCAGAGCAGCGGGGAAGGGCGAGGTGCGAGCGTTGTGGAGCAAAGCACAAACAACACTTACAATTATGAAGACGTGAAGTCGCTGAACGATTGTGAACTCGACGATGCAGAAGAGGAAGGGAAGGAAAGGAAGAGGAGGGAAAGGAGTGAGAAAAGCTAGGTATTAAATCAAAACTAGGAGCAATGCAGTATTCCAGAAAGAGCGAAGGAGCTTTATACTGATGCGACTACGGAGAAGGAAGAAGAATTTTCTTGGCAATGAAAGGGTGGGCTCATGGGGGGAAGGGGAAGGCGCAAAGACGCGAACATGGCAGGCGTGAGGGCGTGAGGGCGTGAGGGCGTGTTGTGACGCAGCGATGGTGTCGTGGAGTCGCGGAGATGGGGCAGGGACAGCCCATGTCCGTTCTTTCCCTTTTCGTGGGTGGGCCTTGGCTGGCCGCTTGCGATGGGGCCGAATAAAATGAGAAATAAAATAGAATAAATAAATACCATAAGGGCAACAGGGGCACAGGTTGGGGGCGTGCTCGCTGGCGTTGGCGACAAAGTAAGTTAACAGCTGGTCCCGAGCCACCAACGCCAAAAACACGCCGTAGCTGTGATGTACGGGGTACACTGGAGCATAGCTTCCTTCTATTGGACGCGCAATGCCTTTCCAGATGCGATGCACTGCATCATATTACGTCGGAGCATGTCAATGTATCCCTGCGCGGGCTTGTAGGTTGGTCGCGGCTTCCTGATTTTGTGCCATTGGCACCTCGCACGACGTAGGCAGGTTTTCTATCAGTTGCGGGTTGCACCTGCTTGATGCTGTTGCAATTCTACGACGTCAGTATGGGCGGGCGGATTTGGAAACTAAAAAAAACAAGGCAAGAGCACAAAGCTTGGCCAGGGAAGGCCATTACGACCGAGAATGTCTGTAAAAAAACGACATTACGCCCGAACATAGTCTCATAGTGCCAGCCGCAGTTGGCAAGAGCGTTCGGTGGCGGAGTGCCTTCTGAGCGACACACTGATGGTTGCTTTTCACCCGCGCGAAAATGTACCCAATACATCCAAGCAACGTGCATCCACACCAACTTGGCGATGAGCCCTGGAACAGTGCCTGGACTGACCCAGCAAACAAAGTTTTCGCACGCTGAAGAGCAGCAGGGACCAGCACGCGGTAACGACATGTGGGTGCTGCCTCGCAAATCTGCACACATCAGTGGCTCGGTCAGCGACTGCGTTCCTGGATGCGCCCGCCTAGCGCCAAGCAGCAAAGAGGATCGGCGCGCTGGCCTGACAGGCGGAGGGTTCGCAAAGAAAGGGGGTTCAGAGAAGTCTCAACTCTTAGACACAGACGGCAAAGGGGATGTTGTCGAATGGTCCAGATTCCAGCCCGCTGCGTTGCCCCGAATTGGTCCACCTCGTCTCCAGCACTCAGCCCAGCATCTCGACGGGGAAAGACCTTTGCTGATCCTCGATCTCACCCACACATCGCGCGTTCACTATCACCGCCCATCTCTCTCGGTGGAGCTCTGCATCCTTCCCAGTTGTATTGCCGGCTCACGAGTGTGCATTGTCTAACGGAGCACAAAAAGCAGGGCATCCTCCTGCGGGAAGAGCGCACGGGGGCGGAAATATCTCACTCTCAGCTGTTCCCCAGGGCCGCCAAGTCTGTTAGGCCAGGCCTGGGCGGTGCCCGCGATGGTCGCGATCGAAGCAGGCGCAAAACCAACGACCAGGGTTGGTTGTGGGCTACCAAAGAACCTGGCTTCAATTCCTACCGATCTGGCCAAGAGCCCCGGCAAGCAGTTCACTTGCATATGGTGTTTTTCGCTTTCTTTCTCGAGGTTGTGCCCAAAATGACGGCAGCAAAACGACCGGTTTCTGTCACAAAATCCCTCGCCCGCTCCGGAATCAGCCAGTCTCTCCTTTAGCAAGCAAGCGTTTTGGCTTCTCCTTTTTCCTCTTTCTCTCGATTAAATACACACCCCCGGTCCATCTCCACCGGTTAGGCCTCAATCCAGCTTAGCCCAGGTATGAGTGTGTGTGGGAAGCAGTTTGGCAGTCATTGCCCTTGCATATTGCCTGCCAAGCCACTGCTTGTGGCAACTCCCGCCGGCCCTGTCAAAAGCCAGATCAACCATCAGAGCCAACGTTTTCGACGATGCCTCACGGAGACAATTTCTGCTTCGAATTGTCATTTGCTTCTATTCATAGCGGAAAAGAGTGTGACAAAAAAAAATGCAACATGCGGCAATGGCGAAAGGCGACAAAGACAAATGTTAAGAAGAACGCCGAGGCGACATAAAAACGTTCATCTCGTTCGGCCCCTTTGTGTGAAGACCAACGACGTACTGCCTACGTGTAAGCCCTAATTGCATCACCCAACTGTTAGGCATGTTTCCTTCCCCCGTCTTTCCCACGCCGCACATTGCTTAGGCAATATTTTCTCCGTGAACCAAGCGGCACATAAACAGGAAGGGGACACCAGAAAAGACGAGAGACAGAACCTGCGGCAAGCGGCATGCCCAGCCGTGCCGCACACTGTTCATCTATCCCATATTGTTTGGGCAGGTTTCCTTGCCCACTGAAACGCATAGCGGCCGCTTTTATTCCTCCTTCCCTCTTTCGAGACCCTCTTCCAAGGCAGGCCTTGTCATGGGGGAAGATGAAAGCCGTCCGAGCTATCGCATCGCTATGACGCCACGAAATGACGTTGTCAAAAACGTGCGCCAAGACAACCTCCGAATAGTCGGTGCAACAGTAAACAAGGCCGGAGTTGTCAGGCCTTGTGCTCTGGTTCTTTGGCGAAGCCATCAAAACCCTGCAGTAGGAGCGGGATTTGCCAAATTTGACGTCACATTTTGGGACTTATCTTTCAATGGTTAGGAGCGTCACTCGACATTCCAAAAATGTGCATGGGAGTGTTCAGTGTTTAATGAGAGGTCGTAGAGTCCGGACGGGAAGAGAGAGGTGGCGCCACAAATCAGACGACAAGCAGCTTTGCCTTGTATTTGCATTCGCACTATTCCGTCCAATTTTTTGTGCCTTCATTTCAAAGGTGCCATGCGCCACACATTCCGGACCGTTTTTGGGCGATGATGTAAAAACGGTTAAAAATAGCCATCCCAAATACGGTCGCGAAACTATGGAATCACAATCCCAGCATAGCAGAGCATTTCCGTGGCTAGTCTTGGCAGGCGCCAGCCATGGAAAACCTTTTGTGGAAGAAGTCGTGGTGGTGGTGTGACTTCAGTCTACAGATGCCGTAGTGTAAGATACGCACTACGCCCAACGCCGTCGCTTTTCACTCGCGTCCACCTTGGCACTGGTCATTGGCGCCGATCACAACGTATCGCCAACGAGCCAAGCCAGGAACATCAGGCAACCAGCTTTAAATATGCGGTTGTCTAGTCGGGCATAGCATTTCTCGATAGAGCCATGCGCTCGTGTACGTCTACGTCTTAAATTGCAGAATATAGTATATCGTTGAAGTACGTCCCTATCCCGTGCCTTGCTTCCCCAGTTTGCCTTCTTTTGGTTCCAACTCCATCAGCCTTTTTGTATGGTTCTCACGGACGTCACTTGGTGTAGCGATTTAGCTGCGTGGGCCTGCTACCAATGTCTCGTACAAGTTATAGGTCCTTGACGATGTCATGATTTTCGATGCTCAATGGGTTCGATCTCGCCTTTCCTGCCGTTTACTTTGAAATTTTATTCTCATTCCATTTTACTCCCATTTCATCCCCTTTTAAAAGTCTCAAATTTTGCTTCAGTGGGCTCCAATAGTAAAGTCCGCAGTGGCCCTAGATGTGTTAAGTATGTAGACAAAGTTATGTCGAAAGTACCAGTGACTTAACTTCGCATTCCCTTGCACCATACATAACTGCTGCTTCGCATTACCCACCAGCCAAACATGCATTGTATCAAGAGTCAGTAGGAATGATGGGCAACGTTCGACAATGCAAGTAAAAAGGAGAAAATGCCCCAAAGGAGAATAAACGCCGTCGGACAGCCGCCGGGGATCGGCGCAATGCCGTGTCTGAAAAAAGTACTCCGTCGCCATCATGTTTCAAAAAGTTTAAATGCGGTCCAGGCTCTATGCACAAATTTAGAGTTCTTATCCCCTTGTTCGGAATAAACTCATCCGTAGGTGACGAGGGTTATTATGTTTTCGAGAAGTTGTTGCCCATGGTCACTATCCGTCTTTGTTTGTATTGTTGCGTATATATTGCTACATCCAAGCGTCAAAACCACGGAACCGATGGTTTTGTTTATATACATATATATGCATATCTAGTTGCCATCTATCAAGACAACGATACGCAAGCGCATTTTTGTCGGCGCTAGATGTCTAGCTATGAAAGGATACATAACAAGACAATGAACCCGGAACGAAACTGCTCAACAGCACAACCAAGCGGAAGAGCAAATTGATGCTATATGCCCGCCCACAGGGTACACATTACCGCGCACGGCGTTTTCGAAATGGGATTAACGGAGACAAGCCTGGCCTAATTTGGAGATGGCGGACCTCATCTGCCAGGGAAAGTGCCGAACTGCATTTCCAGGGAAATATGAAACCAGCACGTTCTGTCGCATCACTACGGCGGCAATAGTCGATGACATTATGGGCCGAGCAACGTCGCCATTTCGCCAGTGTGCAGCACGAGAGGGGGCGGCGCAGGAGCTTCCGGAAGACCGGATGTGTCGAAACCGAAGAGAGAGCATGCTCTCCTACCTTGGGTGGATTTGGGTTGGAACAGAGGAATGCTCATTTACAGCACGCACTGCACTACGCCCCGGCGCACACCGTCTGCCTCCTCTCGCAGCTCGTTGACCGTGGCACCGGCCTCGCGCATGCGCTTGACAAAGTCGTCCAGTGAGCCGCCGACGCCAAAGTAGAGCTTCTTGGCACCGATGATGGCTTTGGCGGTGGCCGGAGCGGACACCGGGCCGCCGTCCCGACGCAGGATCGACAAGAGCGTCACAGCAAACGTCTCGAGGGCAAACGGCGAGTAAATGGTCTCGGCGCCGAGGACCAGCGTATGGGGAGCCGGCTTTTCAGCAGCTGTGGTGTCATACAGCAGGTCGACAAACTCGGCTGACCAGCCGCCCGACAGGAATGAGAGCGTAATGCCGGCCGAGGCCACATAGGTACAAAACGCGTCCTTGACCTCGTCGGTCAGTTCTAGCTCGCCGTTGTCGTCGTCGCCGTCCTCGTCGATTATCAAAGCCTGCTGAAGGAGGGGACTGGCGTGCCGCTGCTGGAGAGCCCATGCCAGGACAAAGTTGGGTAGTGTGACCAGGTACAGGACGCTGGGGTTGTAATCGGCAACGGTGATAGACAGCGGGTGACTCCGCTGTGCCTTGCTGTCAGAGCCATATGTTGCACATGCCCAGTGGAAGAGGGCTAAGGATGGCAGTGCTGTGCCGCAGCCGAGCTTATCGCAATGTTAGCAGAGCCATTGAGGGAGCAAGCGGCAAAATCAGAGAACAAAAGGACATGGGGTTCGGACAACACACCTCGATAATATGGACGGGTCCGTCCTTTAACAGAACGGCACTTGCAACATCCGATGGCGTCGGCGCGGATGACGAGTCGGCTGTCGTTGGTGGCTGTTGGAGCAGCACCTTGACCAGGTCGACGCTGCTCTCCCAGCTCTTGAAACCGCCCTCGTAGATGCCAGTCTTGACATCGTGGGTTCCAAGACCGGGCGCAAGCTCGCCACCGCCGTTAGTGTTGCTGCCACCGTCCTCCTCGTCTTCCTCCGCCATCAACTGAACCTTGACGTCCCACAGCTCTCGTCGCGGCAGACGTATCCGGAACGGCGTCTCTCGCGGGACTGTGCTGCTGCTACCTTTGGTGCCATCAGCATCCACAAGGCTGTCTAATGCCACGTCCAGAAGACTGTAGGCAATCTTGGACGGCAGCTTGGAGAGCATCTCCTTCAGGTCGTGGCGTTGTGGCAGTAGCTGCGGCTTGCCTTGGACAGGGAAGGCACTGGCTGCTGGTGTCGGTGTGACCGTTGCATCCTGGGCTTGTACACCTGGGCCCGGGACGGTACTAGTGGTGCTGTCGTCCTCGATGTCGTCCCCAGAAAAGGAAAATGAAAAGGAAGCCATGGAAGCGTGGCAATGGCGGTTTGATTTGTCAGGCCGTCTGGATGCGTCTTTTTCCTGAGTCTTCTGTCTTCGGAGGCTATCCCCTCTAAGAATAATTGGTTCTATGTCTGTCGCACCACGACGGACGCCAGTGGCTGCATGTGTTGTGTAAGACCTTTATCAAGATGCGGCCCCTCTTCTTCGGTCGGGTTGTACATGCAGCAGTCCACAAGTGTTGTTTCCAATCGTGTCTTGCAGATGGCCAGTTTCCGAAATTGGATAAACAGCGTAGTATGCCAACTCGCTTTCCAGTCGTTGTTTCCCCAATTGGAAAATTGTTGTCTCTCTTTCCCTTTCTGCTTTTCTGAGTGTACTTTCCTTCCGCTGCTATTCCTCGCATGTTCATGTCGTCGTTCCTTCTTCGTTTTCCGGCGCAAAACAACTTTTTTTGTGGGTACCACGCAGCAACAACTCCCACTTTCCCTCAACAGGCCGCCACCGCCTTCCATTTTCAGCGTATATGTTTAAACCGGCACGACTCTCCGCAGCTGGCCACACAATCCCTGCACATGCAGCGCCTTCCTTTCAGCCCCTCAGCAGAACTTCAGTTGCTTTTGTGCTCCCCTTTGCCATTGGCCACTTAACATCCCACTTGTGATCACCTTCAACTATTTTCAAGATGCAGCCTTCTCGGCTTGTGGTTGGACAATTTACGACCTCACGCCAGCCTTATTTATTGGCAACGTTTCCCTCTTCGGGCTATCGTTTGCATTGTGTTTCTCCTTTGGCTTTTTCTTCTCCACCGAATGCTTCCTTTCATCCTCCATGTGCTCCATGTGGAGTGGAGGCGTCTTGGCCCTCTTGTTCTGCTTTCTTGTTTCGTTTCATTGCATTGTTTTCCATGATTCAATGGTCTCTGCTAAGTTTTCGTCATGCTGGCATCCGGATGAGACAGGGCACATAAGCGATGCCCGCCACCACTTGTCCACCGGGGCCGCCAACAGGTCGGCTGCAATCTCGTTGTGTGCTGTCAACTCGTGTTTCTCTCATGCGTTTATGCTTCTTCTCGTGTTCAATTCCCTTCGTTGCTATCTTCCACGCGGCCATTGTTGATGGGCTCCCGATCCTTGCAGCTGGGCCTACGGCTCACTTCTGCTTCGTTACACGAATCTTACTGCCAGAGGTCCTCTTCTTTTGTCCATCGAGAAAGCCCTTTCTCTCCAACTCGAAGTTCCCCGTCTCCCGTTTAGCTGGCCATTCCTATGGTCCACTTCCATGCGGCCCAGATTGTCCATCTCACTATCCCGGTCACACAGCATCGTCGTCTAATACGGTCCTCTCGTCTCGACCGACTAACTCACTATCATCGGGCCTAGCTCCAAGTATGCTTACCTATCTGCATGCACATGTTCCCCGCACCAAGACTATCCTTGCTTGCACCTCTCTTACCTTCCTTTCCCAGTCTTTTGTTCTTCTCTCATCTTTTCCTATTATCCAGTGGTTAGCACACGGCGTGCACCAAGTGACCGTTGAACTGACACTCGTCGTCATTCGCGGTCCCCCCCCCCAGCTTCTGCTCCAGTCCCTTGCACGCGACCTGCCAACACGGTTAGCCCTTGTTTTATGGCAAGCGCATCCGTAAATTGACCAACGAGGTCATGAGGCTTATCCTCCTCCTTGATACTCTACAGTCCGCCACCGCTTCTATCCTCTTTCTGTTGTGGGGCACGTCCATTTCCGGCACCGTGTGGGTTGGCTGGAAAGCGGACGGAAGACCGCATGTCTTACACCATAACGATATTATTTTATATTATTACTTTCTTCTTTCTTTTTCTTTGCTCCACAAAGGCCGGGAAGATGTTTTCAGCGCGAGTTGTGGGCGTAGTCCACTCTCCCCAAATCAGTCGACAAGATGTTGACCGAGGCATCCCGTTTTGATCATTGATTGATTTTGTGTCATCATCTGTCGGACGCTAGAGCCGGTACCTGACCACTCAAATAACTGACGACGGAGACATACTAAAAGAGATAGAGACACTGCGGGACCTGTGTCTGTTGGCACCCGTGCGTTTGCTGTTTATTTTGATCGACACATATGCGCCGACCCTCCGCCGGACGGATCCTTTTTCGGCCATATAAGTTCTCCGATTACCTTGTCTTCCTTTGTTCTTATGCGGCTCTCTGCTTTTATATTCTGAAGTATATTTTTATCTATCTTCTTGTTTGTATCGTTTTCGAACAAGCTCTACTTTGTCAATATATCATCGCCAGACAGCGAGTTATTTCCCTCATATTCTCTGTTGTTTTCTTGTCGTGGCCTCAATTGCAGTTCACTTAACATCCTCTTTGTTTCATCTCAACTTTTACAGAGAAAAGGGAACGTTTGATAAACGCCCTTTGTTTATTGTACCTATCTGCCCTCTGGAAAGGCTGGGTTTTACTGACTTCAATACATCCGTACCCACAAGATGGCCGGCATTGGTGGTGGTCCTACAACTCGCCTATCCCTTGACCCCAGCCGCACCGACAACGTCATGTCTACGCCTGCATATACTGTCAACGAAGAGCCGCTCGGGACGGCGCGGCATCTTCGAATTGTCGGTATCGGCGCCGGTGCCAGTGGGATCAACATGATCCGCACTTTACGTCTGAAGCTGGGAAAGAACTATGAGCACGTTGTCTACGAAAAGAACACGGACGTTGGCGGCACTTGGCTCGAAAATCGCTATCCAGGGTGCCGTTGCGACATCCCCAGCCACAACTACCAATTCTCGTGGCGACCAAACCGGGAGTGGTCCAACTTTTTCTCGGCGGCCGAAGAGATCAACGCGTACCTGTGCCGCATCTGCGAGGACGAGGGCATGCGGGGCAGTGTGATTAAGACGCAGCATGAAGTGCTGGGTGCGCGCTGGGACGAAACTCAGGGTCGGTGGCTGCTAACCATTGCCAATCTGCTTACGGGCGAGCAATTTAGCGACTGCGCCGATTTCTTGATTGACGCATCCGGGATCTTGAAGTGAGTACCAACCCGCGATCATTCTGTCTCGGGGCAATAGTAACAGTCTAGCAACTGGAAATGGCCTGATATTGAAGGGCTGCACGATTTTGAGGGCGATCTTGTCCACAGTGCCCGTTGGCCAGCCGAGTTTGACTACAAGGATAAGACGGTGGCCGTTATTGGCAATGGCTCGTCTGGCGTCCAGATCGTGCCGGCCATCCATGCCGATGTCAAGAAACTCGTGCACATTGTTCGGACACCAACGTGGATTATCCCGCCGCGAGTCCAAATATTCAAGATGGGGCCGGCCGCCGAGGTCATGGGCACGATCGAGCTTGACGTCGAAGAAAACTTCACGCCCGAGCAAATTTCGCGCTTCCAATCCGACCCGGCCTTGTACCGCACATTTGTCAAGACCATTGAGAAGGAAACCAACAACTCGTTTCCTATAGTGTGTAGCCCTTCTGGCAGAGCTTGGTTTTTGGCTGGTTCTTTTTGCTGACGGAAAAGCTCCTCAAAGATAGCCCGATGCAGTCGTTTGCTGCCGGACACGTGCGCCAGTATATGACTGCCATGTTGGGTGGAGACGAGCGGCTTTGCAAGGCTCTGATCCCAGATTATGCGCTCGGCTGCCGACGAATGACACCGGCACCGCACTATCTGCAGACGCTGACCCAACCGAACGTCCAGGTTGTCACAGATGGTATCCGCCGGGTCCTTCCACGTGGCCTGGAGCTGGATAGCGGTGAAGTTGTCGACGTCGATGCTATTGTCTGTGCCACGGGATTCGACGTGTCGTTTTGCCCCCGGTTCCCACTCGTCGGCCGCAACGGCAACCTGCAAGATCTTTGGCGGGCAAACACACCCCAGGCCTACATGTCCTGTGCCGTGCCGGGGCTGCCCAACTATTTCAGTAAGTTTCATCTCACGTTACGTCCGGATGTGTCAGGGAGTTAAGTGCGAGAATCTCCCACTGATTCTCCAAACCAGCCTTCCTGGGCCCCAATGCCCCAATCGGTCATGGTAGTGTCTTCACCTTGGCCGAGCACATTGCCACGTACATTGCTGGTGCTATTCGCAAGTGCCAGACCGAGGGCATCAAAGCCATTTCTCCCTCCCAAGCTGCCGTCGACGACTACAGCGAACACATCCGCGCCTTTATGCCTCGCACGGCCTGGTCCTCCTCCTGTCGCTCGTGGTTCAAGGGAACCAGTGATGGCCAGCGTCAGGGCGAAGACGAGAACGGACCGGTCACAGCATTGCACCCAGGCAGCCGTATCCATTTTTTCCACATGCTCGAGACATTCCGCGGCGAGGACTACGGATACGTGTATGAAACCGACGACAGTCGTGACGGAGCTGCCGTTTCGAGTCGCAACCGCTTCCGGTACCTCGGCAATGGGTTCTCGACCAAAGAACTTGACGAGGAAGCGGATCCGACCTGGTATCTGGATGGCGTCGCACTGACAGCGACGACGCCGGACAGCAGCGCCGGTCCCCAGACGGGAGACAGAATCAAAGCGCTGCTATAAGCGTATGCATATCCGAGCACGAAGTAGACGTGGCGGAAATGTGATTGATATTATGAAAAACGAACTCGTTTCGATGGTTTACGATATACGATGAACATGCAATGCAATGATACAACAGTTGACTACGAAAATCAAAACCATGGCGTGCCTTTTACTTTTAAAAAAATACTCGGCGGTCCGGTCTGCTGCTGCAGCCGTCTTTTCATAAACAAGACCCCATTCTGTGACCGTATCCGCACGCTCATCCTTCTTCCTTAGTACGTCGAACTGGCAGCGAAATATGGCCGTAAGCACCGTCCTAAATCGCCGCGTCCTGTTGGCAGCACAGCGAGACCGTCTTACACAGGTCAGATAGTGCGACAAAAGAAAGACCATGCTAAGGTCTGTCAGATCATCCTGCTTGACCACATGGCTCTCTTGACCACATTCCAGGGCCGTATTCAGAACCGAAAGTCAACAAGGCGCCCTAATCAGCTACGACCGAAATAAGTCAATAGAGTCACGTGCCATATATTGCGCCACATAATACCAGCCACATCTGTGAGAAAGTAGGGAATGGCGCAGCTGTACGGAGTATTAGGTGCAGCCTACAGCCGCCAACGCGCGCCAAAGGCCAAAAAAGTCTAAAGGAGGTGTGTCGCGATTCAATCCCAGGACCTCTCCAGCTGCAGCCAGCGACGACGATACGAGCCCCACGACGCGCGGGCATTCATCCACCCATTGACAACAGCGAGTAATCCCACGACGGCTGGCGGCTCCTTGTCGCTCCATCGATTGCGCGTACCTATTCACCCGTGTTGTGGCCTTTTCATTGCATTCGCGACGCGAAGTGTCTTCGACCAGACGAAATCGAATCGACAGGTCTTTCGCATCGACTCTTCGGCGTATTACTCCTATACCGCCAGGCGCGCGAATCTAGCACAATGGCTGCAGACCCCAGCCATAACGTGCACCCGGACTTGGTATGATGTGACAGCGATGGCAAAATGTTGGCCCTTCAAGTCAGACGCAACACAACTAACCTTTTCTTTCCTGTCACCCACAGCTCCCGCACATCCACCTCATCAGCGCGTACCGCTACCCCCTCGTGCCACGCTTTGGCATCCCCGAAGTGACCGAGTGGCTGCTCAACTCGCCACGCATCGCCCGCGACGGTGCACCCTTTTTCTGGACGTTTCTCGACACGCCTCAGGATGGCTCCATCATCTTGACCTGGCAGCCGCTGCAGCGCATGGGCACCGAATTTGCGTCTGACGGGTACGTCTGGCCGCGCGGCGAGACGTTTTACCAGCATGAGATCCGCGACGGTCTGATTCTGGAGGTGTTCCACCAGCCCATGGGCTACCGCCCGGGCGAGGAGTACGCCACCCACTCGCGGCGGCGCTTCCGTCTCATGCCACCCAAGGTACCGAACCCCAACGCGCCCCAGGTCGACCCCAGCCTGTGGCTCGTCCACTACGGCCCCGTCGACGAGCGCGAGCCGACGCCCGTCAAGAAGATCCGGCTCGACGCGCGCCTGCGCGCCATGATGGACCACCGCCAGAACCTGCAGCGCGCCGGCCAGATCACGCGCAAGGAGTTTATGCTGTCGGACCGCGTCAACTGGCCGCAGATTCCGCTGCCGCGCGATGCCCGCGTGCCGCCCGGCTACGCGACCGCCGGCGTGCCCCAGCAGATGGCGTACCCGCCGAACGCAGGTGCCGCCGGAGGCGGCAGCCTCGCGCCGCCGCCTCCAGCCAAGCGCGCGCGGCACTCGGCAGCCAACGCGGCCGCCAACGCTGCCGCTGCAGCCGCCGCAGCAGCCGGCGGTGGGCCGGGCGGCCACGGCCCCTCGCCCATGGACGCAGCAATTTATGACGACGAGGAGGAGTACACGCGCGGCGACATGTTTGATGTCATCACCCCGCGCGACGTCAGCCTCGACCGCTACAAGCAGAACCACGAGTGGATGGAGGAGGTCATCTCGTCGCCGTACCGCATCAACCAAATCGGGTACGCAGACCTGGGCCTCGGGCTCAAGGGCGAGCTGGCGCCGATCACGGAAGGCATCTTTGAGGGCCAGGCCTTTGACGCATCTCAACGCGTACCCAAGAACCCGTATGTGGGCCGCCTGGATGCTGGTCTCGCCGCCGAGTTCCGCAAGCGGGTGGAGGACAAGATTTCGGCAACGAACGACGAGATTGCCGAGATGAAGGCGCAGCACGAGAAGCTGGTGGCCAGCCTGCGAACCAACTCGGCCATGAAGAAGGCCGAGCACGATTTGCGGTTTACGGCCGAGGAGACGGGGCCCGAGATCTGGCGCGTGGAGGGTCGTCTGCACGGCGACGACGACGCAGCGGCGAACAATGGGGCGGCCCGCGGCGACGCGTCTGGCGACGGCCACTGGAGCCACCAGAAGCACCAGAAGACGGTCGATGAGGTCGTGTCGCAGGTGGAGAGCACATTGGGCCGCAAGGTAGTCGCGTCGGGTGCGGTGGTGCGCGTGCAGGACGGTGGCTATCGGGAACCGTCGCCTGAGCCCGAGCCGGAGCCCGAGCCGGAGCTGGTGCCTGAGGTGCCTCTGATCAGCGCCCCTGACGGCACAGGATTGACGGCACCAGGCAGCGTGTCTCTTTCACAACACCCGTCGCCCGCCGGCTCGCAGCTGAGTGGGATCTTGATTGGCGACGCTGACATGGATATGGGTGACACGGCGGCCGGTATGCTGGACCAGATGGAGTCGGTGTTCTCCCCGGCATCGACGCCTGTTAACTTCCCGACACCGGGGGCACAAGCACCCGCTGCACCCCCTCCTGCTTCAGGCCTGTCCAACGTGGCTACAGCGACGGGCGCTGCCGGTCCGACTGCCCCGACAGCTATCGGTGCTGCTGGTTCCGGCACAGGCGCACCTAGGCAAGCAGCTGGCGATGTGGCCATGGCAGATGCCGCTGGCCAGTCCCAGCCTGGTGCGGGCCCCACGGCTGGCGGTGCCGACGACTGGGTCGTGGTGCCCCCTGGTGGCGATGGGCCCCCCGCAGGCGCTTCTGGTGCGGTACCCAACGCGACGACAGCTGCTGCCGGCACAGCACCAGTACCGCCGTCAACATCAGGGGTACCTACACAGCCTGTCAAGTCGCCCCTGGCGGCTTTAGGTGGCGGCAGCAAGCCCGAGTCGGCTGTGCCAACGCCGGGTGCCGGTGCTGTCGTCGATAGCGACTTTGGCTCACTTGCCGATATGTCGACAGGCGGCGACCCGCTGGCAAGCATCGACGACGGCCTGGACCTGAACATGGACATGGACGACTCGGCCTTTGGTGACGCCTTCCACGGCAGCGGGGACAACTAGATCTAGTCCGCGCAGTTTTGCGGCAGGAGAGGAGGACTACGGCGATACTAAGGAAGAGGATTGTTTACTTTTTTTTGTCCTGCTTGACTTTGGCGTCCGAGAGATTCAGACTTTCATTTCCTTTTTGTTTGTTTATTAGTCGGTTGAAATTTTGCCATTACGCGTTTTTGTAGGGGAAAATATCAGTGCTCATGGGGAGCAACCTTTTTGTCGACATTTTTTTGTTTTATTTTATATCAATGTACTCATATTCTCTAATACCGTCTTGTATTGTGCGTCTCTTGTACGCTTATCCAAACATTGTCCCTGGGCGATTCGTCTTGTCTTTACCACGAGATGAGATGGATGCAATGCAACTCTATTGACGCCAAAGAGGGTGCGGACGGCTTCCGCTCTAATGAAAGTGCATAAAAGCAAAGGACAACTGCCAATACATATTTCATGAGACTCACAGTGAAGCTCACGACAAGTAACAGAAACGTGGCTGGATACGTGCAATACGCAATGTCGAGCCAGGCAGTCACAATTCGCCGGTTTCTGTAAGGAGACGCAGTGTGATGCGCGTTTCAGCCAAGACAGCGTGTCAGAACCGCAACATGGACCCTTTTTTAGGGAGGAAGGGCAAAACGACGGGGCAGGAGGCGGCCGTACCCGCTTTTAGTGGCTTTTAACGAAAGGCGTACTTTCCCCATACGACCCTATGACGGACCACACCCTACTTTGAATTCTCGGAAGAATGGCTTCCTATCTATTTCTACCAGTCCGCCACTTCGCTGAGAATTATGGAGCACGTACAGGGTTAAGAGAGAGAATAAAGCTTCGATTAGCGTCGTCTGGAGCCCTCTGAGCTTAAACAGGCCCCTCGTTGCTTCTCGAGCGGTCGAGACCTTTTGACCAAGGCAAGGGGATGCTTTTTTTTCTTTTCTTTTCTTCACCTTCTCGTTCGTCCACGATGCCCTGTCTGTCCTCATTCTTTCTCGCTTGTTTTCTCTTCCGAACGAGACCCTTGCCAGACTTGACGTCGGCTCGCCGTCGTCCCAGGAGCTCGGGGGCAGCTGTGGCCAATGTCACAGTGGCAATGACGAGAGGTTGTCTTTTTCTTCATGCAGATTCAGCCCTCGACATTTCCTTTCCGTGATTATGGCCTCTCGTATTAGAACCATTATTTATTTGGTGAACTAGGACGCATCTTGCAGATGTGCGTCCGCAGCGACCATTACCAGCCCAATGTGCCGTGATGTGCAGTCCAGACGGCTAAGAATAGGACATCAAGCAATCCATACCCAGTACGATGTGCTCCATAAAGAGAACGTGGTTCATGCGCTGAGAGGCGAGTGGGGAAACAGACGCGTCAGTTGCAGCACTCCGTAGTTCGATGTGTGCTGGGTCGTTTCAGGCTCGGGTCACAGAATGCCAAGACATGTTTTGTGATGCCCTGCATTGCTGAGCTTCTTTTTTTATGTCGCCTTATCTTTCCTCCCGTTCTTTTCGTCACTTTTGCACCCCACTCCAAATCACCATCATGAGACGCACCCGCTTCTCACGGTGCACGCCTGCAGTGGCCATGCCTAGGAGTGACCTCGACGAGCCCCGTGTTTCTACTGCTCCACGTGTACCCTTTCTTGTCCGTCGTATTTGGCCTCTCGTTCGTCCTCGCTCACCTTTCCTTTTTGTTTCCTTGGACACATTTTGCCCTCAGACTCCAAGTGTCGCAAATCATTGACGCTCTCGACTTCATCCATTCACTGAATTTCACACCCCTTGGTCATAGACTCCCCTGGCGAACCTGTCGTCTGGGCATTCGTAGTTGATTCCTCGGCCCATTACTGACTGCCGCTTGCTGCCGATCAGCCCTTCTCGATGCCCTGTAGTCTACGCATTCTGGATTAAACGTCATTCTCACTGTCGAACCCTGCTCGTTCCATGCGGCAGTCTGTCAACCCGGGAACCCCATGGCCGGCTCCATGGGAGACTCCACGTTTATGTCTTTTGCCTGTCTTCTCGTGACTTTACCTGCCGTACGTTCTGCCTTTTGTCTCTACCTTTCCTCTTCCTCCTGATTTTTTTTCTCGTTTCCGTTTCTTCCGTTTCTTCCTCTTCTTCCTCTCTTTCCCTTCATCCAGCTCTGGTCTGAAGTTTCGTGACTGTTCTTTTTGTTTGTCGGCGACAACATTTCCCTTCATTTCGCTTTCTCTTCGTCTTCACTTCTCTTCTTCTCCTTTCTTTATCACCAACCACTGCAGAGCAGGCTTTTTTCCTAGGTTGATCCTATTTATTTTATACAATACTGTTTTAACTCAATCACTCGATCACTTGATCACCTTTTTTTTTCTTTTCGTACTTTCTTTTATCGAGTCGACCCCGGCGGTTGTGTACATTCTATACTCATCATTTTCTTTTTCGATATCCAACTGGATTTTCTATACAAAAATAGCCACGATGCATTTCTCCGCAACGGCTTTGACGACGGTGCTCCTGGCCGCCTCGGTCATGGCCAATGGCAACAACCAGCAGCAGAACAACAACCAACAGAACAACAACAACAATAACAACAACAATAACAACAAGGCCATCGCCAATGCCGCCACCGCCAACATCAACACCTTGAAGGCCAATCTCGCCAAGGGTGCCAAGGGCGCCAAGGGCACCAACAGCTTCAACAATACCGGTGGCGGCGCCACCGCGGTCACCGCCAACGCTGCCACGGCCGGTGGCCTCACCAACAACGCTGCCGCCGCGTCGGCCGCCTTGGCTGGTACGGGCGGCGGCCTCAAGCCTCTGCCGGGTCTGCAGACGGCACTTCCGGCGGGCAGCTCGCTGAAGCCGCTGCCTAACCTGGCAGGTGCAACGGGAGCGACGGCGACAGCTGCAGCAGCCGCAGCAGCCGCGACAGCCGCAACTGGTGTGGCTAACGCCAACACGGCGGCCCTCAAGCCTCTTGGTGGCACGGCGGCGGTCGCGTCGGGTCCACTGAAGCCGCTGGGCAGCGCGTCCGTCTCGGCACTTCTCCAGTCGGTGCAGACGGCGGCGGCGGCGACTGCTGCTGCTGGTTCGACTGGTGCTGGCGTCAAAATTCTTAGCGGTGCCAATGCCAACGCCAACGCCAACGCGGCCACGGCTGCCGCCGTCGCCGAAACTGGTGTGGCCCCTCCTGCTATCGGCACTGCTGCTGGTGCTGCGCTGACGCCTCTCGGATCGACTGCCGCTGCCGCCGTTGCTGCCTCTGCGACCCCGGCTGCGGCTGTGGGCTCGTCTGCCGGCTCGTCTGCCGGTTCGGCAGCTGGTGTTGCTGCTGCCGGAGCCGCTGCCGGAGCCGCTGTCGGTGCTGTTGGTGCCGCTGGTGCCGGAGCTGTGGCGGCCGCTGACACCGAAACGCTCAAGCCCCTGCCCGGTACGATTGTCACCAGCGATGCGACGCTCGACCCTCTGCCGACCGAGACGACGACGGAGAACAACGCGGGCGGTGCAACTCAGCAGACGACGGGTGCGGCCGAGACGACGACATCCTCCTCGACTGGCGTCGCTGGCGAGACCGGCGCGGCCGGCAGCGGTGTGTCGACCATGGTGATGACGACCAACGGACAGACCATCACGATGACGATGACGGGCTCGATGACCATGGCGACGGCCAAGACAACGGCGACGGCGACGGGCCAGGGCAGCAGCACCAGCAGCGGCACCGTGTCCACGAGTGGTGCGGCACCGGCCGCGGCGCTGATGGTGGCTGGGTCGGCCGGGTCGGTGGTTGTGGCACTTGGTGCGGCCGTTGTAGGCCTGGCGGTGATGCTGATGTAAGGAGTTGGACTGCGAACCGTCGTTGGTATTTGCTAGTACCTTCCATGTTCCTGGGTGGTTGAAATCTTAGATGGAACTTGAGTCTATCTCTTAACTCGGGTCTTTTTTTCTTTTTATCGCTTTGTTGACTCTCACGCTCGTCATTCTCTTCACTTCATTTATTCATAGGTAGACCATATATGATTTCCAATATAAGGGTTTATTTTTAAAATGGTTTTTTATTGTTCTCAAGAAAATAAGATCATCGTATGGGCCAACAAGACTCTGACGAGCTCGCGGAAATAGAATGTAAAGATTTGTGTCTGGGCAGTTGCAAAAATGCATAGGCAATATATTCCAAGTGCCGTAGCTTGCACTTGCAAACTCCCGTAGTTCCGGGGCCGTTACAACCGGCCTAGGTGGCTTCGAACAGTCAACAGCTTAGAAAAGCTTGTGCTCGAGGGTCATGTCCGACTCGGGCTCGAGACCAATGCAGGCGCGGAAGATGTTGGTCAGGGCGGCGCGCTGCTTGGCCAGAGCGTTGACGACGGGGGTACCAGGCGGGGTCAGGGGCGCCTTCAGCATGTAGCTGAGCACGCTGAGCACGGAGTGGAAGCTCTTGTACTCGGCGGCGCCGTTGGCGCGCCACTGGATGCGGGTCATCATCTCACCAATGAGCACCAGGTCAATGATGAGGGGCGAGGCCAGCAGCGAGTCCTCGCAGACGTTGAACAGGCTGATGGTCTGGTGGCCGCCCAAGAAGATCTCGGCGTAGTACTCGTCGAGGGCGCGCTTGTTGTCGCCGACAGCGGGCATGTACTTGATGACAACCGTGTGGTCGGGCTTCTCGCCAGGCTTGTACAGCACGGTGTTGGCCTCCACCATGTCGTCGACCACGTTGGACTTGGAGATTTCCTTGGACCGGAACTGGCGCTGCGAGCTCAGGTTCTTGCCGTCGTTGTTGCCCAGGTGGTTGTAGCTGGCAATCGACGTCAGCCGGATACCGGCGTTGATCAGGAAGTCAACGAGGGCCGACTTCATCTTCGTCTGGCCGGACTTGAAGTCGTCGCCACCAATGAACGCGTTGTGGCGCTCGGCCAGGTCAATGGCACCCGGAACAAACGTGTTCTGGGGCGAGCCGTTGATGAAAGGCGCATTCTCGAGGATCGAGGCGACTGCAAAAACCGTCGAGGGAGCCACCTCCTCGTGGCCGGCCTTGATGGCAGCCAACAGGTTGTCAGCAGTGTCGTTGACGCCCGCAATGATGTCGGCGAAGCGCTCCGTGTTGGCGGTCCACAGCACAATGACCTTGTCCAGGTTGTTGGCGGCCTTGAACTCGCGGATGTCGGCACGCAGCTTCTCGACGTGAGCCCACTCGGCCTTGGAGCCGGGGAGGACGTTGTCGGCGCGGTCCTCCTGGTTGGCGGCAATGAAATCCGGGTAGTAGATGCTGGGCAGGGGTACCATGGCAGCCATCTCCTTGTGGACCATCTGCTTGAGCGTGGGCTCGAGGACGGCCGCACGGTCCATGGACTGGGCCAAGTTCAGGCTGCTAATGTCCCAGCCGCCAATGACAAGGTCGTTGGGGTGGACCATGGGCAGAACATCGTGGAAGGGGATGTTGACGTCGCGGTTGGTGGCCGCGTCAGTGCCCAGCTTGAGGGTCGAGCCCATGACAATGGAGCCGTAGTAGTTGGCGGTACGGGGGCCCTCACGGGTATCCCAGGTCAGGCCACGGCGGTTGGCAATGATGCCGGCGGTGACGGTCGAGCCGTTGTTGCCGCCCCAGCCGACCAGCATGACACCGGTCTTGGGGACGGCGCGCTCGGTCTTGAAGTCGTAGAGCGTCTCCTTGGGCGTGGCCGTGAAGCGGCCGTCAGCACCCGTGGTGACGGAGGTCGTGCGGTACGTGTACTTGGACTCAATGGTGCTGTCCGTGTACGTCACGTTGGGCGAGCTGACAGTGAAAAGGTCGCCGGCGGCGGCGGCAGTCTGGCCGTTGCGGCCGTTGATCGGTCCATCTCCGTTGCTGGAGGAGTCGATTTCAGCGTGGGGAGCCATTTTTGAAATGAGACGTTGACGGGATTGGAGATGTCGGTTGGCGGTTGCTTGCTTGGCGATGTGAATGGATTTGAGGTTTGCGGAAAGGAGCAGACCAGGAGATGTGAAAAAGAGGTGTTGACGGTTCAGACAAGTGCCTCTTTATTGAGTCTGGATTGAGTCCGCTGAACTACCCGGGGACGCAGTGCAACGGCCTCCAGCAAAGGGGTGATGGACCCTGTTGAGGAAGGCGTCAGTAAATGGTCAGGGCGTCATGAGACAGAGATGGGAAGGAACGACTATGATCGCCTGTGGCGGGCATGCTCAGACAGAAGGAGCAGCCCGTCACCGCAGTCATGGGGACAGTCTGAGAGCAGAGCAAGAGGGAAAGAGCGACCGGCGTCACCAAAGTCGCCCAAAGCAAAGGCAGAGAGAGGCACGTACGAGTTGAGGAGATTAGAAAACGTTTTGGCGGTATTTGGCGATCGCGACCCTGGAGAGCGCGATCATCCAACTTAAAAACGGTTTTGTTTATAGTTAGCGGGGGGGCCGTGGCCGTGTCGTAAAGACAAAAGTGACGGTGAGAGTGAAGATGTTGGAATGCAAAAGCAGAAAGCGGAGGTATCAAAGTAGTTTGGGAACTGAGAGTTCGTTGAAGAAAAGGAAGGAACGATCGTGAGAGGCATCCGATAGGGGGATGAACAATATATAGGTGCGAGCCGGCCGGGTCCCCTTTTGGCAATCTCTAGTTCGTCTCTAAGTCGTTCTTACTGTAATTTGTTGAACTACGGAAGTACGCAGCCCATGGGGACAGCCTGACACTACGGGCGAAAGGGGGAAGGCACGGAAAAAATGGCATGTGGTGGAGACCGAGGGGCACGGCGGTGAACAGTATCTGACTGGGACGATAACGGCGGGTGGAGGGGCAAGTGGGCACAAAGTGGGCGGTCGCGCCTGCTTATCGTGGTGGCCGGAAGGCCTCGGAGGGGGCAATGTGTGTGGATTGACTGCGGACTCTGCAAGCGAGCCAAACATCGACAACGGCGCGCGGTCTCGTTAGCGAGAAACAAACTGACATGCACGCTACTGCAGCCGAGTAAGGCGGTTTGCAGCACTGGCCAGTCGCCGTCCGCTGTTGGACTTGCTTTGTTCCGCACTTCGTCCAGAAGCGTAGAATTGCGGCACATCACGGAGGCCCCGTGGGAGTGCGGACAGATGCACCTTCCTTCCTTTCGTCTTCAAGACGTTCTTATCAGGACATATCATGGGCGATAGCTCCTTCCTGCACACAAGACGTCAAGTATTGGTTCTTACCTCCATTTGTAGTTGTGTCTTTGTCGTATTCGTAAGAGTGATAGGGGAGCCACCTGGCCTCCCCCGACGATACGACGATCGTTCGTGTATGTTGTGGTCTATTTTTTTTGTCAAGATTTTCATCTAATTTCCATGGCCTTGCATTCATAAATGCAGACTTGCTGTCGCATGATCTTGGCCTTTTGATTCCAACAAAAAAAAAAAAAATACCTTGCAGAAGCGAGGATTGACACTACCTGCTAAATTGGCGCTCGAGGTTGCCCATCTTTCTCACTCGCACAGGCGAGGGACAAGTGCTCGTCGTTTGTGCTCCTTCCTTTGTTGGTTCTGTCACTCTTGGTTCTTTCCCATTTCGTTCTGTTCTGCATGTACTCCGTATTCTCGCAGCTGCTGAGTATTGCCCCTTCCTGCAGATTGTCTGCATCCTACCTGTTTGGGAAACCCGGCGGCGCAGGTCGTTCGAGGAAAGAGCGGCTGTTTCTCCGAGCACGTCAGGCCATACCAAGCCCGACCGATCGGCTGCAGTTTTAATTCTGCTGCCTGTCTCGCCCGCTCCTGCCTCCTGCCGACCGAGACCACCTTTGCTGGACAAGTGGCATGACAACACCCCCCCTCCCCATCATCATTTTGACATTATCCCCATTTTCCCCTTTGCCCTCTTTTGACTCCCACACAAAACTTTGCCTACAGTCCCACTCTCCCACGATATTCCCACAGGCCCCGCTGTAAAGACCCCCACTGTATGTCGTACATCGTACTTTCACAGGGCAAGACAGGCTGGCTGGCTGGGAACCCCGCCGCCCGCCATCCGATGCAGCAGTTGCTCGACGACCCACAGCCATTGTGCTCGCTTCTGATCTGAGGAGTGTCGGACGGAGTCCGGAGTACTCCCACTTAGCTGTCCTCAACATATCTTATTTGTCCCCGCCGCGGCTTTGTGCAATTTCAGAAGGCGGGTCTGGTTGGAAAGCTGCAGCTGGCGGCCGGTGGTTGGCAGGTCTGCTCCGTGCGAATAGTCGACTGGTGACCAGTGGTGGATGTGGTTGGCTGTTTTGGGTTTTCTTGCTTATTTTTATTTTGGTTTTCATGTATTCCCAGACAAATCTTTACGTTTAATATGGGAACGTAACTGGGACGTGGCTGGGAACAGGCCGGCCAACAGACGACCCTCGGCTCGGATTTTGGACATACTCCGGCAAACGGCGTTCTTCAAATGCACCCGATGTGCGTGGAGCAGAAAGATCAGAGCTCTGCGTGCTGTGTCCTCGGACTTGGCCATCTCCCGGAGAGGCAGTGTCCAATATATCAGACTCCAGCACTTGCTCGATTTGGCTCCAAAGTACATACACCGTTGTGGAAGGTGTATGCATGTCGAGTTGGATCATGTTCTCTCTAAAGGCTGTCGTGTCCTGGCATTTTTCCTTTGAGAACCTTCTTGAGCAATCCCCAACTGCTCCTTTCTAACTCGACATGTATATGTCCCGGCGTACATCCCATTCTGCACCTCGGGCAGACAGTTACCGCAATCTGTCGTAAACAGGTCGCGTGTACTCAATCTCTCAGCTCCATACTCGATGGGGATGCTGACTATTCCACATGACGAACACCAAACTGTGTCGACTGTGCCCGGGTTCGCAGGGCCAAGCAATTGATGTGCGATGTGGCGGTGGCCCATGGTACCGTCAACGGTGTTGCAATATTTGTAGGCAAGAGCATTTTTGCTGGAAACGAACTCCCATTGCCAATGGCTTGGATCGATGGCTGGGGTGGATGGCCGGAGCTTGACGTGTTACCAGTCGTCGCTTTGCCGGCGCTGTCCACGTAAGTTTCGTGATCGCTGCGGTGACTACCTAGGTGGAAGTTGGTATTCGCCAACGTCTGCTGGCGGCTTCTACCATCTCTCCGAGATCTCACGTCGCTCTCTGGTGTCGTCAATTGTTGACCGGTAGTGGCATTCGTGGCCGTCCCCGGTTTCTTTCCGCAAATGGCATTAACCTGGGGCGTTGGGCAGATGTACACAGACTCTTCGCTGTGAGGCTGTCCAATAATTATGTGCCGGTGCAACATATGTGCCATGACAACGACAAACCAAGCTTATTTTTGGCCGCGTTCGTTGCATCTTCATCCTATCTGCGCAACAACGCAGGCGCGGTGTAGTCCTCGGAGCCCTCCGATGGCCTCCAGGTAGGACAGGCCCGGCGACATAGCAGTCCTTCGTCGGTCGTCCACCCGTGACTGGTGTGGGACTCTCTTGTTGCCAGTCGCGCTTTTGCTTGCCTACCATCCAATGTATAGCACCTTCGCACTACCTTATTGTAGATATGCTTCAACATGGTTGATACAATGGAGATTTGGCCACAGCTCGCCACAGCGTGCCACAGTCCCTCGGTCGCCCTGCCAATAGCTGGGCCATCTGTCACCTTGAGCATCTTCGTTACCGTTTCCAAAGACACTCGTCTCTATTTATGGCCGGCAAACAACGAGTCTTCCCTACTTAGAGAAGAAGTTAGTCACCACGCACGATTCATCTGGGCGATTCCTTCAGTGGCAATTCCCATTGCATCATACGCTGGCCGCACTCGACGGATTGGAACAAATATTTCAACGGCCTTGACAAAACACCTTGTCTCGTATTCGGCCGAGAAGAGCTGTCTTCAAAACGATCAAGCCACTGTATGACGTAGGTGTGGTTCGACATAGTGAACTCTACGTCGTACGACCATCACGCTCTTGTTCTCTCATTGGAACATGTGATGAGATGGTAGACGAGACCCTGGCGCATCGTCAGCTTGGTGGTCTAAAGCAGCGGCCAAGATCGTCACGGAGGCTTTCCGGTCCGAGTCCGAGAATTTACCAGCGAGGTCCTTCCGTTTACCGGGCCGCAGCCCGCCATGGCCGGGCGGCCACGGTAGGTGGCTCAGATGTCGCGTCTGGCATGGGACCTGTTTCGCAGTGCATGCGTTTGCTGTGTGTTGGGAAGGTGCATATCGGCGGCCATACATTTCTCTAAAGCAAACTCTGCTTATAATTTCATAGTTGGTTTTCAATACATCACCTTACCGGCTCTGTTCCCGCTTGTTAATATAACCGACCGAATTTGAGATACGTGGGGAACAGGGTCGCAGGGAAGGAGTCGAATAGAACAATGAGAAAACGTCGACGGGAGAGGCTGAGAAAGAAGCGGACAACGGATTTCATGCATGTCCATGCAGGTCATTGTGTCAAAAACAAAGGTAAAAGACAAGAAACCCACGGGCCGCGAGGCCATGGGCGAGCGGAGACGGAAGGATGATCAAGATTTCTACAGAAGTGTTTGATCACCACGTCACGACAGGCTGCAAACGTCGCAATGCTACCCTCTTGTCCTGTTCTCTTTTGAGACGTCGTGTTTTTCTCTTCTTTCGTCCATTCCCTCGTTCTACATGTTTTCTTTTCTTCTCCTTTTCATTATCTCATTTTCGTTTTCGGTTTTTTCTTTTTTCTTTTCTTTCTTTCTTTTTTTTCCGTTAATTCCGTCGAGTTCTGTGTTTGTAGCCATTTTGTTTCATTCCGGTAAAATAAAATATCATTTGATCATTTATATTCGACTTATTCACAAACCGTTCGTACTCACCAACCGATTGCCTTTTCTTCGCCACGCCGTTTTACACAATGACCAACGTCGTCATGAAAGGGTTCCCTTTCATACGTCTTTTATTGAATCCGAG